TTGGTTTCACTCGGTTGTTCGTAAAGTAGTAAAATTTCTGTGGATTTTTTTTTACATAATGTTGCAGAAATTACGAAGTAATAATTAAGTCTGTAAGTTTAAAGTTACGAAGGTTGATCAAAGACAATTTTTGTGTATTTATGTAGAACGTAATTTACAGAGCTTGCACAATATCGGCGTGATATTTGTAAGAATAGAATGATATATCTATCGAAAGTGTTTGCCGAGTATTTGTAAATCAAGTTTATTTCAATGATTGCAATTATTTCTTGGTTGGTGTCATACTTAGACGTTTACATTTAACAAATGTTAATTGCTTTCAATGATTGCAATTATTTCTTGGTTGGTGTCATACTTAGACGTTTACATTTAACAAATGTTAATTGCTTTCAATGATTGCAATTATTTCTTGGTTGGTGTCATACTTAGACGTTTACATTTAACAAATGTTAATTGCTTAATTCTTCTGGTGAAAAGCTAGTTTCAGCAAGTATCATCAAGCTCTTGATAAAAAACTAGTTTTTTTCAAAAATATCTTTAAATTTTGCACGGATTTATTCTCACGAAGGTTAGAAAACCATAAAACGAAAATTTAGAATTTACGAATTTCCATAATGATTACACGTTTAAAACGTTTTTCTTACAACTTCGGAGTCAAATGTGAAGTTTGTAAAACTTTAAATACCAAAAAATTTGATTAGGTTTTACATGGAAGCAACTGAGGGCGTAATCAGACGATCTTCTTATTTCGCAAATTTAGCTATATTTTCAAGACAATTCACGCAGTCCTTCGTAACTTGTAAAATCCGTAAACTTTTACAAATATTTATAAGCGAAATTAGCTTACAATTTTGTGTAAATATCATTGCAATGGTGACGTCGAGGGTTTTATAGCCAAAAAATAGGAGTACATGAATACACCAAATCCACACTTTTGCAAGTTTACAGTTCTACATTGTGAAAGTTCCGTTCAGTAAATTTATACGTTTCAGTTTCCTGAAAACCTTGAAATGTGAAATCAAAAGCGAAAACAATCATAACGAAAGAAAAAAAGAGAAGTTCAAGGTTGATGAAAATTGAAATTTTGTCCAATTTGATGAATGATTTCTAAAACATTTTATTTAAACTAACTATTTTCAAACTATTTTATTTCGTGAGGTACTAAAAAATAGTAAAAAATCGGAAAACCGAGTTTAAACCGGTAAGCTTAAAAAAACTTTTTTTGCGAAGACCATACTCAAAACGCGGTTTTCGGTTCTTAATTTCGGAGCTAAGATTGAGCATTTTGACATGTCGAGATAAGAATTAATTGTTGTGAAATACATACATTATTCCCAAGTTTATATTTAATTTTAATATGTATTGTTTGAAATTTTAGCTAACTTTTTTAACGTTTGACCAATTTGACGCCAAAATTTAATTTGATATTTTATTAGTGATTTTAAATTTCGTTACAGATCCTTCTCAGGGAATGCAATTGGTTACTCGTCTCTTGGTTTCATATTAAGCCTGCGTGATATTTTATCTCCTCGCTCTATTGAGCGAGAAAAGCTCTCGCTCTGCATTTCCTCTCTATACTACGCATGAGTCCAGAACTCTGACCGTATTTTTCACTTTGAGAGTTTCAAAGTGCACGCAAAAATTTGAAATTTTCACAATATAATTATTAATAGTTTTGCAACAAATTACCATTCATCGATAAGCAATTGTGATTGTAGATTTATTTATATTAATCAATAATCTCAATATTACCGAAATTTGCACAAATATTGATTAATATAAATAAAACTACAATCACAATTGCTTATCGATGAATGGTAATTTGTTGCAAAACTATTGACAGCTATATTCTGAAAATTTCAAACTTATGCGTGTACATTGAAACCCGCAAAGTGAAAAATGATGTAAAAATTGTACTACTTTTTGAGATTAGTCTCAACTCGTCATAGAGTATGTGTGGCGGGAAGCCACCACCACACACTCTTCCCACTGGAAACCACTAAAAATGTAAACAACTCAAGCTGAGTTTTGCAGTTTTTTGCAAATAATTCAAAATTCCCACCGAAACTCGTGAACTTTTTACCCCACCGAGTTCATCAGTTTCGCCACTATGTGATGGATAAGGATTTGTTTAACATGAAATATAGCCAATTCTTAACGTTCAAGTTAGATTTACTATATTTACAAGTTTTTGTAATTATCTCCTTAATTTGAACCAATTTTTGGAGTATTTTAAGAAATTCACATCATATGTCCGAAAATTAAGTCTCACATATTATTTACCAATTGATAAACTCCGGTCAAAAAGGTGGTAATTTCTCGTTAAATTTGTATCACGAGCCCACCAAACGTGTGCGCAGCATGTGATCTAAAAGAAATTAGCACTATATGTAATTCTGTAAAATAAAAATTGTGGGGATAAACCCTACCAAAAAATATGCCATTTCTGAAAAATAAAAAAGTTCATTAGGGACGCAAAATTTCTTAAAATTATAAACGCATTACTATTACTGATCCTGTTAAAATTATTGATATTCTTGTATTTTCTACTTATCTGGGTAAGAACATATTCATGCAATTTTACTCTGTACTACAGAGCGTGAATCAAGATACAAAACTCACTTTTATTTTTGAGATAACAAGTGTTAGAGACACTTGGGATTATTGAAATTTACACGTGTCGTACCCAGATAGTCAAGGAACAGTTTGCAAAATCACTCTTAGTTCTGTGCAGCAACATGCCCCCACTCCCCCCACGGAGTGCGAGGTAGCCGTAAAAGAGTTTTCCAAAGATGAATTGTACCATAAATTTTTTTTAAGAAACTGGCGACAACTGAATTCAAGTACCAGTCAAAGCCATGTTTCCATTGTATTAAATGGCACTATCATAAAGAGGCAGAAATCATTGGCTGGAGTTCCACCTCCACCAAAGTGGCGTTCAAGATCAGTCAGGATCGAGCATGAGTTATACTAGATTGCAAATTTCATCAATAAGGAACATCCGTCACCACAGAAAAGTATGCAAAATGTTGGGGGTGAGTCAGGCAATAGTTTTTAGGATCAGTCACTTTGACCTAAATATATTAACGCGGAGGAGGACCCGCTGTACGCCCCCACGCCGTCTTACATCGCGTTTTTCGAAGCAAATTCGCGATAACTGCATGAAAACTTATTTTCCAGAAATAAATTTTTAACTGCAATTACTCTTGGCGAGTCGCATGACATTATTCGGATGGATTATTTTAGATTTGAGTACTTGAAGCAGAGATTTTCAAGCTGACGGCTCGGGCGCTAAGTGGGTTTTGGAAAACTTTTCAAAACGGGTAGAACAAAATCACTCCAAAAAAGTGTCAAAGGTGATAATGGCGTAGAAAAAGCGATTGCACCTCGTTAGACAAACTAATGGGCTACCCATTGAAGCAATTTATAAAATTCACAAACGAAAAATAAAGCTGTAGAAAAATAAACAAAAGTGAGTTTTGTATCTTGATTCACTCTCTGTAATTATGGAAATAAAGTCTACCAAAAAATTACCATTAAAAAATAAATAGAAAATAAAGAAACTACCAATTTCCTAAAAAATATATACAAATCTCATCAATGCCACAAAAATAGCATCTTTTTTTGCCTAAGTTACTAGCAACTAGTACACCTCCTTATTCGACTTCGCATCGGTCATCTGTCAATTAAATTTATTTACTTCATCTCAACTATTTCCTTGTTGGCGTAAAACTTACAATGCAAGTCTTTTACGTGTACAACTCAGATTGGGTTGGGACCAATTTTATTTTGTTCACCACAAAAAATAAGCATACCCGTATTTTTTCATTTTTCATAATGCGCTAATTTGAGCGCAGGGCGCGAATTTTAAAACATTTTTCAGCCAAAACCTCGGTTTTTAAAAATTCTGTAAATTTTCGAATTTTAGCGCGAATCCAGAAATTCGAAAACATGTCTCTTCAGAATGACTTACCTGACTTATGAAAAATCCAATTGTCTCGAAATTTGAATTTCAAAATTTTTTGCCAGTTTTTGAAATTCATTAAAATTATAAACTCTTTCAAATTTTAATTTTTCAAAAAATAATGCATTTGGATTTTTTAAAAGTCAGATAAGTCATTCTGAAGAGACATGTTTCGAATTTTTGGATTCGCGCTAAAATTCGAAAATTTGCAGAATTTTTAAAAACCGAGGTTTTGGCTGAAAAATGTTTTAAAATTCGCGCCTCGCGCTCAAATTAGCGCATTATGAAAAATGAAAAAATACGGGTATGCTTATTTTTTGTGGTGAACAAAATAAAATTGGTCCCAGCCCGATCTGAGTTGTACACGTAAAAGACTTGCATTGTTAGTCGATTACATTTGAAAAATGCAAAATACTTTCGCTCTTCTGGTGAGAGCAGATTTTTAGTTTTAGCAAGGGCAATTTTTTCAAGTATCATTTTTTAAGAACTGTTTTTTAAACACATTTTGCACGGATCTATTGTCATGAAGGTCAGAAAGCCACAAAGCGGAACTGAAGAATTCAGGAATTTCGGTGACCAAAATATTGACATATTTTAAATTATATTTTAAGTTATATTAAAATGCGTTATTACACAATGGCAGGGCCCTTTATTACAGAAAACTGTCGTGAATCCACAGATTTTTTCATACTCCTTGTCGTGACTGTTTAAAATTGTTGTCAATAACAGCACACCATAAAAAAATAAGCAATTGCATCAACTTGCCCCCAGATTAAAATTGCTTGCACTTTTTCGTCCTCAAACAAACTCGAAATTCGATTGCATATTGCGGCATTTTACGTTAAAAAAACTATACCACACGGTCAGAATGGATAATGAAATCGAGATGGATGACGGAATTAATGACATTGCTGACATCCCAGTCTCGCCAGCGTTGACAGATCCCGTTGTACTTAAGAGACAATAATTAAGAATTCTTTATAACCACTCAATACTCGATATGAATATTTCTAGATCCTTGTCAACCTCCTCACCCACGTGGCCGCCAAAACGGCCCGCCGCGTCTGCAAAGTATGGAATCAAACCGTTCTTTCCCTCCCAGAAGCGACGATCCACCTGAAACTACGAAAAGAAGGTGACACGACACCATTGCCCCGAATTTTGACGTCCTCCTCGCCAAATCCATCAAATCCTCCGCAAAAGACCCGAATTTGACTCCACTTTCCTCCTTCTCGTCACACATTTCCCGTCTCAATCTCCACCTGGACACGAGTCTCCTGCCTACTTTGTCCAAGATCTTGCAAAATGACTGCCCCAACTTGACCCGATTTCACCTCCATGTTTATGACCGCACTGGAAACGCCCCCGACGCAGACACAATTTTTCTCCCCGCCATTACTCGAAATCGTCTCACTTCCATCTTCATCAAAGCGACCCCCACGTCCACGATTACGCACGCGCTGCACATCGTGACCCAAAATCTCGTCCAATCCTCGCCCAACTTGACCCACCTGGAATTATCGTACGGCTTGTTTCCGTTCCTCGGTTCGTGCCAAAAATTGACCTCACTCGTCATCTGGATTACTGGATATTTACCGTGTGAAAACTACCAGCCGATAATTTCGTGTAGCCATCTTTCCGAGATGCTTGTCCAGGTCGCGGAGGGTTTGGAATCACTGCATTTTCGAGGATCATGCCGGAATAGCCGAAACCATCGCGCAATTCGGCGTCGAAACGTGGATCTGCCCCCAATGCCGAGATTGAAACACTTTGTGAACGAGTTGGTCGATCTTTTCGGGTGTGGATCGGATTTGGAGGACATTTCTTCCTTGAGGATGCCACTCTTGGAGAGATTGGCGTTGAAAAAGGGGTGGAATTATGTGCCCCATTTGGACGACGTATTGACTAATGTGTCCACCCGGGTGCATTTGTTCGCTGGGGTGACGTCCCTGAAATTGGGGGAGGTTTATGACCACGAATGTCTGTCCGAGTTGAAGTTGCCGTTTCCGAGGTTGGACAGGTTGGAAATTGAGGCGAGGACATTGACCAGGATTAACGGGGTGGTATCGCATCTCGAGGTGGGGGAGGTGTTGAAGGCGTGTGAATTTTTGGGGTTGTCACATCTTGGGTTGAGACTGCTTAAAAGTGGGGATTCCTTGGGCAACTTGGTGGCTGGGATGGAGCTGTTTAAAAGTAAGTGAGGTGACCGATATTTTGGGCTGTTTTTGGGGTGCAAGTAACCAAAATAATGGCAAGAAAGTGGGGTTTTGCAGCTATTTTGACCCTCAAGAAATGCATAGTGCAAAAAATTACTTTCCGCCGCTTAAGTTCATACGGCGCGTGGCTAGATAGCGCATATTTCTTGCACTTGCACTTTCTTGCTTTGCAGTGCAAGAAATCTTGCAATTCTGCACGAAATGAAACACTGATTTTTTTAAATTGTGAAAATTTGTGAGTTGAAATGTTTTACTTTTTAGCTTTGAAGTCGTTCCACGTGGAGATGAAGGCGTCCCCGATTTGTCGGGTGGATGACGACACAGATGATTTTGCTGGGAAGTATGGGATTGAGACGGTAGAACAGTTCTTACTCAAGGATTTAGGAGGATTAGAGAGTGTGCGGATTGGAGGGATTCATGTAAGTTTTAGTACTTTTTTTTAGGAAATTTTGAAGAATTATTAGTCAATAATTTTAAAATTGTAAATATGTAGATGAAACCCGCTACGAGGGAAAGGCTGACAAGATTCATTGCAGAGAATAAGCTACCAATCAAATTTTATTAAATTTTGATGGATTTAGTGATATTTTGAAAAAAGTCTGAGAGGATTATTCAATAAAAAGTTTGTAAAATGGACCACTGGCATGTAAAATGATTTATTTGTGGAAGAGATTTTAATGATTTTTTTGTGAATTTACTAACTTTCGTAACGGTAAAAAACTTTGACGTGAAATTCTTTACTATATTTCTGGCAAGTGTTTTAAAGAAATAGATAAGTACTTACATAGTTTAATTTTACTCTAAAGTTTTTAAAATTCCGTGAATGAAAGGCACCGTACGCCAACTTTCGTAATTTGACCTTTTCTACATACACATGTATACTACTTATAAATAGAGTAAAAATAATATAATCTACACTTTTTAATTTTTTGAAAATTCGAATATTTCATGAAGCGTAAAACAATCTCCGTCTCCATTCTTATTCCTTAAAATCATATATATGCTCCCAGTTGTGTACAAAAGCGATAATATGCAGATCACTACGAACGCTCCCAATCGAATTTTGCTTCCCTGCAATATCAGTCAATTTTGCATTAGAACATTAAGACCAGAAAACTTATATTTATATCACTCACCGGCGCTTCGACCGGATCTTGACCCTTTTCAGGCTCCAGATTTGGCTTGAAACCCTTATCGTCTTTGTTACCTAGACGTGTTTGTGACCCAGAATCATCGGACGCGTATATGGCTGGAATCGGGAAGAACCACCTGCCTCGTTTTTTCTTTAGATCTAATATATAGTCGATCCACCAGTACTGATACTAAAAAAGAACCCATCAAATTACAAAACTGAATTTAAATCGAACATTACTCCGAAAAACCGATAGTATTTACCGTGAAGAAGCATTGGAATACGCAGTAAATGAAACCCCATGCTCCCACGATCCACTTGATGTGACATGCTAATCCGGAAAAGGAAACTCGATCCGCCAAAATTATGAGGATGAAGCACAAGAAATAAACCAGGTTTCCACCCACAACGTGAACCGCCGCAGGTATGTTGGAGCTTCCGTATTGCGACGGTTTGATAAAGAAACCCATCCCGTACACGACAAAGGATAAGCCATACGCCATACATCCCACGTACGAGTGAAAGTTCGGTGGCGACACAGCTGTCCAACCCTGATGGGCCATAATTTCTGCGACGAGGGCAAATACGAATAGCGCCATCATAGCGGTCATGGATATGGCATGGACCTGAAATTAGTAGTTAACTTGTTATGCCTGATACAACTATAAATTTATAAGTGACTCACAACTAGCCAGAGCGGAAAGATGCAAATTTTTACACTGACGCATGTCTCCTTGTAATATCGGCCAGAAAACATGCCAAGGGATAGAAAAAATAGGACGGCTGCTATCAGGATCGTCGAATGCAAACGAAGAAGAGCCTTTTGTTCGGGGAGAGGCTGAAGGAATAATTAAAAAATATATTTAGGGTGAAAGCTCCTAAGAAACTGAATGCATTATTACCGAGAGTCGTGTTCCAATTGCAATTTTCTTGGACGAGGCGCGGAAATCCGTGTGTTTCAGCAGATTCCCTAACAAAATAAAACGTTCTCTTGCGTAAAACCTGGGTATTTTTTAAATCTAGGAATAACTAGTTCAACATATAAACCTGTAATGCCATCCTCTGTCACAGCGTTGCCCCACGCATACAGCAGAAAATACGGTACTCTGACCAAATCGTAACTGTGCACAATCTTCGTGACGTTCGGGTCTCTAACAAAAATGTGTCTCTTGATAGAAAATCTGCAGTAAAGACCTGTATTCCTTCGCTGGTAACGCAACAATTTAACCACACCGACGTGAGAATAATTTCCTCGCTGCAAGATACACAAATTATAGATTAATACTCAAAGTAGGACCGGGCCGATAAGCTTTGTCGATGTCCGTGCCAACAAAGCTTATCCGTCAGTCCGGCCCAATTTTGCGAACACTAATTGTAAGTACAAGAAACAAATTATGCTTGAAGAAAAAGCTACCATTCTTCCATTTCTGCGTTGTTTCTCAACATTAAAAGAGTGATAAAGGTTAACTCGATCCTTCTCAATTACGCATTCGACAACATAGGCTGGCCCCTAATGAGAATTAATTAGTGCAATTCCAATAATACTCTAAAAATCCATTATTCTTTAAAATGGTACCATGTTATCTGAATCTGACAGTGCAATTGCCAACCACTTATCCACGGAAGGTTTGAACATTTCCAAGATAAGCTCCTTCTCCAAAACTAAATTTTCACCTTCAACCGGAGCGTCTCCAAACGTCACCAACATCTCGCAATTACGATTTTCAGGAAGGAAGCACTGATTCGCATCCGGCTCTGGTTCGTCTTCATTTTTTGGGGGAGCGATGCAAGCCTTGGATATCGCACACCCTTCATACGCATCGATGTCAGGTTGCGGCGTCTAAAATTAGAATATATGTAATTTGGAGCAATCTTAATTCGCCACTTTTTATGCAAATTTTTGCACATACAGTGTTCGGAGTTGTTGATTTGCGTCTGAACTGGGTGCCAGTAACAAGAACAACGGGTGGAAGAGTTTTTCGATCTCCATCCTTGAAGAAAACGGGACATTCTTTAGACTCTGCACAATCTGTGACGAACTCCGCCACTTCGATACTCGGATCGTCTATGTTCAAATTAAACCACGAATTTGGATTCGGGTCATGACAGTTGCGCTTCGGAGGATTCTCGGTATTGTCGGGAGGGTCCAAATAATTGTACACTTGTGACCCCAGAACGGAAACTACTTTATGCTGCGCGATGAAGACTTCGGCACTAACCGGAATTAATACAAGAAATTACTTAACTGCATCTTAATAAATTGCATAAAGTCACAAATTCCTCACTATATTTGCACCGTTTTCGGTGGTGGAACTGGAGAGTTTGGGCGAGCAGGGAGATATTTCCAAATGAGACAAATGTCACCATCAACTTTCGACCGTACTTTGAATCCGAACATCTGCGGGACTTCCGATGGGGACGTTACCTAAAATATTAGCTTATGTATTTAGCAATCAATATTAATTCCAACATTTATTTAATAAAAATTTTACATGTTGCGTATATTTGAAACTTTGTCCATGAATGTAATGGCATGGATAATTTTTTGATGCTTGCACATCAAGATCGGGGGGTTGAAGTAGGTCATCATTCTCGCAATACTCCTGGACAATCTTTTTGTCCGCATCAAACACGTGGAACGACTTTTCTATAGAACCGATCGGATATCCTTGCTCATTGACGGCTTGGAAGGTAACTTCCGAGGCAGAAAGGTCAGCGCAGGCCGGATTTGTATTCGCATGTTGACGAAATTGGACATGCAGCGCGTACGGAAGGGATGTCGGAAAGGCCTCCAATGTGAAGCAATCTTTGAACTTTTGATCAGCGGGTAGAAGCGTGATGTCCTTGCCAAATGTTAACTTCCTATTTTCAATTGGAACATCGGGCCGAAAATGGCGACATAGAATGAAGTCTAACAGGGTTGGTGGTTTTGGTGTAGTTGTATGATGAGTTGTACTCAGTGTAGTTGTTGTAGTTGTAGTTGTACGAGTAGTTGTAGATGTTGGCGAAGTTGTAGTAGTTGTAGTCGTTGTAGTTGTTGGAGTAGTTGTCGTTGTTGGCGTAGTTGTAGTTATTGGAGTAGTTGTCGTTGTTGGCGTAGTTGTAGTTGTTGGAGTAGTTGTAGTCGTTGGCGTAGCTGTAGTTGTTAGAGTAGTTGTAGTCGTTGGCGTAGTTGTAGTTGTTAGAGTAGTTGTTGGAGTAGTTGTAGTTGTTGGCGTAGTTGTAGTTGTTGGAGTAGATGTCGTTGTTGGCGTAGTTGTAGTTGTTGGAGTAGTTGTAGTCGTTGGCGTAGTTGTAGTTGTTGGAGTAGATGTCGTTGTTGGCGTAGTTGTAGTTGTTGGAGTAGTTGTAGTCGTTGGCGTAGTTGTAGTTGTTGGAGTAGTTGTAGTCGTTGGCGTAGTTGTAGTTGTTAGAGTAGTTGTTGGAGTAGTTGTAGTTGTTGGCGTAGTTGTAGTTGTTGGAGTAGTTGTAGTAGTTGAAGTTGTTGGAGTAGTTGTAGTTGTTGGCGTAGTTGTAGTTGTTGGAGTAGTTGTAGTTGTTGGAGTAGTTGTAGTTGTTGGCGTAGTTGTCGTTGTTGGCGTAGTTGTAGTAGTTGGCGTAGTTGTGGTTGTTGGAGTAGTTGTCGTAGTTGGTTGAGGTTTAAAAAGGCCTCTGCAATTGTCCGTATTTTGCCAAGTTTTGTACATTTGGTGAATATGCAAATCTGGCCTTTGTATCTCCTTTGGTGTCTCCACAATTGTAAATTTCCTGTCAATCTTAACTTCATAGACGGGTGATCGTATAACAACAACTTCCGGATAAAACCAGGCAAGTGGATCAGCATGAAACAAAGGAACCTTGATATCCTTTCCTGTGTGTCTGATAATCTGAACCTCGGCACTGAAAAATTACGAGAAATTTAAAACAACTCACAAATGCAATGTTTTAAAGGAATTTACTGAAATTGAAAGTTTTTGATAAATAAAGATTTCAAGTAGTTTGCTTGAAACTTCAAGATCCACGATATTCCGTCGCATGGCGTAGTTTGGGCTGAGTCAGTGAAGCACTCCTTCTTCGGGTCGGTAAACCCTAGCTTCCAAAAGTCATGCGGATCGGACCGTATGAACATTTTCTAATTTGCAAGAACAAAATTCTCAAATATACAAAACATGAAAAAATATGCGTTAAACTTATACCGGATCTTGATTATTGTATTGTGGTGGTCTTCCACATGTCTCCTTTCCATACCTCGTGTCGTGTATAACTCTGGCTTTATTATTATCAATACATGCATTCGGATCAGGACAATCTTTTGGTCCATTTTTATGCCACCTTCCGAAAGGAAGACCGATTGAGTCCAATGCCGTAATGGCCCCACAATTTCCAAACACCGGTTTCTGCCTATATTTGACATTGCCCACTTGTTTGGTGTACCGACAATTTTTTTCTTTCAGCCACAACCGCACCCATATTATGTCGGGACGTTCGAAAGAATAGAGTTTCAACTCATAACAGTCATCCATAGGGTCCGATGGATAATAGGAATTGCGCAAATCGCGAATTGGCAGCAGAGGTTTATCTAATTGTAAGCTGGGTTCATAGCCGGTTGAAGGTGCATATTTCTTCTTCGTACAACGGCACATATCCGTAAAATAAGTGGGTCGATCTTGGAGTTCGTATTCGTCATTGGCATTTTCGTTCACTTTTTTTACTCGTTTGCAATTGTCCCGTTCCGCATAGGACCATTCCATCCAATTCCGTTTTGTCAAACTTGTCCATCTCGCAGCCACGCCGTCAACTCTAGTTTTAATTTCCGCCCTAGAAAAAATATGAATTGAATTGAAATCCTGATGTAAATTAAGCAAAAGCAACCCATCATGATTTTATATTAGGTATTATTTTTTTATACACAAAATCCAATTTTAGTGTGTCGCCTCCATCCGGGAGCAATTGAGTGAGCAAATCATCGTTCGGTTGATATTCCAAGTAGAAACAGATTACAGCTTGCTGGGTATACTTATCTGGCTCTCGGTCTTTAAGGTCCGTTTCTCCAAGTGAAAGATGTGTGTCGAAGACGACAATGCTTTCAGTCTTCCTCTCCGCGGCGGACTCGGTTGATCCGACCTGTGCAGCAGAGTTGATTTCAGTAAAATGCAGAAAAATGACAAGCATTATGAGTGAGATTACCCAATGGTAGACGCTTCCCGTAATGGCGGCATAAAAAGCGGAAATTTGAGGAATAGTGTGAGGAACCGTGTGGTACTTTATTTTTGGGGACAGCGTCGTCCCAGAGCAAGCCTTTCGCTGTAAAACCGTGTCATCAAGATTTTCCACGTGGCGACTAGGTTTTTTTGCGTCGTCGTAATCATAGCTGCCGATGGGGAAGCGATCCTCCGCCAGTGTCATCTTCCCTGCTAAAACTGCAAATTGAAGTCTGTCCAGGTATATTTTGGTGCATTCTTCCGTCGTACTCTTGAGCAAGGAGATGTGAAACACGTTCGGCTGTCTGTCAACGAGAGGGGGTTTGTCATTCATGGGGATGTAGGATAACTCATAACATCTTGATGCTAGAGCATCGAGGTCAGGGTTTGGAGGCTGATTTGGTGTGAATGGGTGGACAGTTGTTCCGCCGTTCAATTCTAGGTCTTTCAGGTTGTAGCCGTATTTAGTTCCGGGGACAAGCTTGAAAATCAGCGATGTAAGAATGATACGCAAGCTGGTGGTGGTCATTTTGATGACTCGAAGAGAGTTTCGGAACCTCAATCTATAAAAACTAATAGAAATTTTGCTATTATGTTTTCCAGACGGTATGTTTTTTTGCGCAATTATTTGACAATTTGCCACTCATATACATATATTTGTCCCCAGATATATGCATATGTTGCTATGAAAAACTATTTGAAATAAACCGTTAAACGCATGTAACGAAAGGGTGAAACCGAGAGAACTTTATAACATTTGTGAGGTGACATATGTATCAAATTTAACATTTTGTATCAGTTAACAGTTAACAAACAGTTATTTAACTGTTATTTGAGGTCAAAATGAATGTCACCATTGAATTCGGGGTTAAATTTAAGTTCAAATTGACATATATATCAGATATAAAACGTTTAGTGACCTTTCAGTGACCTCTAGGTGACCTCCAAGTGACCTTTCGTGACCTATGAGATCAAAACAGAGGTCACCATTGAATTCGGGGTTAAATTTCATGTCAAATTGACATATATATGCAATTTGAACCTTACGTGACCTTTTGGTTACCTTTTGACCTTAAAGGGTGTGATCTACAGTGCCCATCTTCGAACTTGACCTTTGTTTTTATATTAAGTATTTATGTTCAAAATTTCAAGTCCATATGTTAAACCGTTCTTGAGTTATCGCGCGGAAAGACAGACAGACAGACGGACGGGCATATCAATCTTATAAAGGGGTTTCACCCCTTAATAAACTCATGCAAAAAAATTTGAAATGAACAGGAATACGGCTTCAAGCCAAGATTATTTGGCACTGAAAACCAATTGCATTATTTTAGGAAAATTTTGTATTTTGGCTTACAAATAAATCCTTGAAATACTCAATGAAAGGGTAAATTACTGGGCGTGCTCACGTCAATGTCGTATTTCACTTTGCAAGTTGCAATTTTCAACTTACAAATATAACTTACAAAGTTTTGGGAATAATCTTGCAAAATAAAAACACGTCGAATTGACGGGTAAATTCGCGAAAAAAATTTAAGTATCTAAATTTCCAGGAATATTTACAGAATCTGTAGCACGTTATTTTGATCTGCTTAATTTTCAAAATATTCCAAGATTGTCGCTTGCAGACTCAAGTATTTACATACATACAAATTAAGAAGCAATTAAATTTTTATTTCATGTGTAAAACCATTATCATTATCGACACTACAATAATTATGAGCGATGTAAGCTTTGGTCTAAAAGTGGGATCCGCTCCACTCACGAAACATTTCGGGGCGTCTGTGATATTAGTTTTGGCGACGGGTCCTCTGCCCCCGGCGCAGACGCCCATGTCAAGCTGGTCACAAAGCAGGGGTAATTTTTCCTCGGGAGGGTTGCACCTTCCGCGACCCGCGCATTTGGAGAGGACCTTCGTAGCATCATTTCCCCAGTGGATGCACCTGCAAAAAGTAGCCACATAATTTATGGCTGACAGTGGAACCTTTTTCAAGCTACACAGGGATTGCCTAACGAGTTATATTAAAAAATAATGCCAAAAATTAGGAATGACATGGCGCTTATCATTCCGTTGAATAACCCCCTTGAAGAAATATGGGGGGCAAAGTACCCACGAGCGCATTGGTTTACACCTTAAAATTTATTAAACAATTGAACTTTGCCGTCAATATTAAAGGTGCCATTCAACGGAATGATAAGCGCCATGTGATTGCTAATTTTTATTATTATTTAACTCATTAGACAATCCCGGTGTAGCTTGAAAAAATGTTCCACTGTGAGATCGATAAGAGGTTATCTTAAGTCCTCACCAGGCCCCATTTGGGCTGACACAGTCTCCATTTTCTTCCACGAGATTCATCGGCGCCCAAATTCCGGTCTTGTAGCAGACGCAGACTTTGTCAATGCACTCGAGCAGTTCGGGAATTTGACCTTTCGTGACGCACGTTTGATTGATCGTGGCCTCGGGGGTGGATTGAATCAGTTTCCGGATCTGGAAAAAAAGACAGGAAAAAGTCAAGGGTGGAATTTGTGACGAAATTATGACGGGATTCACGCTAATTTTGTAAACTCTGTTAAATTATTTGTAGAAGTGATCTAATTACTGGGTACCATTTTTGTGAAGTCAATTTACGTTTGTAAAAAAATTCATATCGTTTTAATAATTACGCAAATGACATGAAATATTCGCCCAAATTTAACCTCAAAACTTTGCTATAAAATGCTAAAGGAAATTCAGTTACGAAGTTGTCGTAAAGCTGCACAGATCAAGGCATCTTATTTTTTGCGAAAGATTTTAAAATTGATTTGGCAATTTTAACTTTTAAAGACTCACAAGAAAGTCATCTTTTCATAAAAATAATTAATCCAGATTTACAAAATACACTCAATCCACGTTATCACTTATCAAATTGCGACTAAAATCTCATTATTTCCTACCCATGCAGGTAAAAACTTGATCTATTTAAAAAATTTGCAAGACTTTCCTTTCCAAAGTCTAATATTAAATTACAAACATTCTCAGTGAATTTTCCCACAGTTTACAAAGCTTCTAAGCGTGTTGCGTGTCCATGTTAATTATTACGGTCACCTCTTTAAAAACTCTGTCGATCCCGGCTTTGCTGTTCAATTTGCCATCGGTCGCAGCAATGTTGAGCAATTCGAAGAACGAGAACTGCTTGAAGGCCGTGGTGTCACATTCTTGGCCAAGTTTTGAGTCTGGAGGGCCCTGAATTTCGATCCATTTTTCGAACGAGGATGAGTCCGCACTGACGCCAATGTCCTCCATCCATTCTTCCAAAGTGGGCCGCTCGACGGAGAAGGACGATCTTTCATCAGACACGGAGGAAGGAGAAACTAAAGATAAGAAGGCAAAGATAAGAAATAATTTGACCGGAGGCAGTCCCATTTTTGAAAATTGGTAACTTCGGGTCTTGGGAAATGAGTAAATTTTAATAAAAATAAAAATTTTGGAAAGTGTAAACAAAAAGTTTCCGTGACTTCTATTTTTCTTTCCCGAGGATTTTGTAACATTTGCATTTGCGAAGTTTGCAAAAAAAGCCGGAATGCATAAATTGTAGCAGGGGTGACGCTCATCATGCAAAAATTCTTATTCTGCAAAATCACAAATCATTCAACTCCCCAACTTATAAAAATCAAATTCAAAAATTCAACTAAAAAATTTGCACACCGTTTTTAAAAATTGATAATGTTGTAAATTTTAAATAAAGATAAAAAATTTGGAATTTTGGAAACTGCAGACAAAAAGGTTCCGTGACTTCTACTATTTTATTCCAAATATTGTGTAACATTTACGTTTGCGAAGTTTACAAAAAAGTTGGGATGCATGAATTGTGGCAAATTACATGGGGTGACGCTCATCATGCCAAAATTCTCATCTGCAAATCTCCTTCCCAAACTTGTAAATATTACAGACAGAATCTCAAAAAATTATGCAATCTCAAAAATTTCCATTAAATAAAACATTCCTTTCTGAACTATCCACCTGCATTTTTTCTCAGAATATCAACAATTAACTAACTGTTATGCAAACAACAATTACTTAAACCCTGTCGACTCTTCACTTCTCAGAAGTACATAAACTTCCGCACACGCGATGAATTTCTCCAATTGTGCATCATTCCGCTCATTATATAATAAAGGTACGCGTCACCTGGACCCGATTCGAAATCTGCTAGTCACTCGTGGACGTGGACGTGGACGTGGAGGTGAAATTCGTCAGTTTTTAAAGCGATAATTGCTTACACATAAAATTGAAAGTTTATTATTTATAAATTTGTTATTTGTGTGCGAATCGAATGTGAAAGTAAAATATTTCCGAATTAGAAACCGAATTTTCTCACCTGCAACAAGGAAGCTTGGCGAAATTTATTAATTAATTTACGCTTCAAACAATATACCGTGCAAATTAAATTCGAAACCTAGATTCACCTCCCCTCGTCCTCTCCTCGTTAGCTCTCCTTCTTGTGGGCATTATTGTTATGAAAGTAAAACACGGAAGTGTAACCGGTATTGAGGTCGATATAAAAAGCAAATCAACCGAACCCTCCCCTCATTCTTAGTTCGTTCCACATTTACACCAACCGCACAGTTGAGCAGCTGTGTGTTATCGTAATGAAGAAGTTTCTCGTCCTTATCAGCCTGGCAGGTAAGGTAAACACAAGATAACGTGCCCTTATCTACATAAGTGCGTGACCTACTTGTTTATTTTGCACAGTCGCCGTGGTAGGGCTGCCCAACAAACCGGCCGCCTCCAAGGCCCACCACCACCAGGAAGTCGCGTTCAATGATGATGACCTAGTTCAAGGTGAGGTTACCAACCACCACCACCATATGTTAATCACTACTCATTTACATATTGACCCCTGACCTTTCCAGCCTTCGTCACCAAACGTGGCGGCGATGACCTCATGTCCTCCCTGTCTGGCTCGGTGGTGAAACAGATGCTCAAAAAAGTCTTGGAGTCTCCCATGTTGAAAAAACTCGCGACCCCCGACGTTCTCAAGACTTTCTTAAACTCCGAAAATACCGGATCGGGTATCTTCTCCCAAGAAAATTTGGACCTTATCATCAACTCTGACGTGTTCAAGAATCTCGCCACCCCAGCCATGGCAAATATCGTGTTGGAATCTAAGGCCGCGAAGAATTTGGTCAATAAAGACATCATGAAGTTGATCAGTCATCCCACAATTGTCAACTTTTTCACGGCCGACCTCGTCACCAAAGTTTTGAATGCGGACGTCGTCGTCAATATTATTGACCCGGAACTCTTCAAGTGGGTGCTGGACCAGTCGTTGACCAAGAATTTGTTCACAGGAGTGAATTTGAACGGGTTCATGACCACGAGGGCGTTCAAGGCCTTGGTCAATTATCAATTCTTCCATCATTTGTTCTACTCGGATGTGGGGAAGGCCATGTTTACGCCCGGGTTGGCCAACGGGTTTTTGAATAATGACCAAATTGCGGGACTTTTTTCGCCGGCGAATATGGGGGATTTCTTGAAGTCGCCGGTCGCACTGCAGCTCGCGAATCCGGACGTTATCTTGTCCGCGTTTGATACGAAGGTGGCCAAGGCCGCGTTGTTGCCGGCTTTCTTGCACGAGGTCTTTTATGCGGAACCGTTTACGAAGCTTTTCAGTCCGGACTTGATTGAAAAGGTGTTGAAGACGGATGCGGTTAAGGTATTAAAGGAAAAAAAAATTGGGAAAAATTGAAATAAATTTTGAAAATTTGAAAATTTATTTTCACTTCAAGGCCGCTACCACCTCGGACGCGTATGCTGATTATATCGGAGCACCAGCCTGGAAGGCATGCGCGAATGAGGGCGTTTTCGCCAAATGGGCGGCGACTGACCCGGTCAAGAATGCCGTTAAGAATCCTGCCATCAAGACCGCGATCGACCAACTTTACAAGGCTGTCCCGGGATAAGAAGGAGTAGAAGAGCAAGTGAAAATGAAAATAACTCTGGTTCAAAATTTTGCTAATTTCTTAAAAAAAATGTTTTTCCGTTCTTGATTTTATTTAATATTTCGAACCTATTTATCCCTCTTTCTCGGTCTGACATTTATTTTGTATTTATTTTTTTTTGCGAAACTAAAACAGAATTAAAAAATATGTGGTGGTGTGATTTGTGGGATGTTTTTTTTGTAGAAAGGAATTATTTTTGTCTAAATTCGCAAGAATTTTGAAACAAATTGGAAAATACGATACTAATTTTATTTTTATGACATCATAAAATTGCACAAATGTCCTTGTCCTTGCGTCATGAACGAGTGACGAGGACAAGACATTGTACCGAACGATGAACTACACATTTTACTACGAAAAACACTACGTAAAAAAAGTTGTTGGAAACCGGCCACAAAACCACAAGAATTAAGGAAAATTTGACTTTGCATAAAATTTGCACACTACAAAATTAGCACTCTTCTAAAATTCGCACTCCACTAAAATTCCTGTCCAGCTGACAAACACGAATTGTTCATATTTTCATTAAAACTTTATTTCAAAATGCGAACAAAAACTCGCCTCAAAATTATCTCTTCACAAAAATGAACAATTCTTCCTCCTCCTCCTCCTCCTCCTGGATTTACCAAACCGACCAAATCTGTCCCTCTTGTTCCATAATCTTGGGCCATGACACCCCCACATTTTTCGCCATCCACTCCGTCGCCATCGTTCTCCTCACGGTGTCAATATTATCCTGTTTTTCCGTCCTGATCAGTATTTGGCTTGACTGTCGAGCCAGTTTGACCTCGTTGTGCGACCAATCGTCACGATTTCCCTTCTTCATCGCCACGACAGACGCGATTTGGTGCATTTCCAATTTGTGCGACCATATTTACCTCGTCACCAACAAGACTTGTCCATCCGAGGGGGTTATCAATGTTATGGGTGCAGTGATGACGTTTGGGTTAGGGTAAGAAGCTTTTATTCAGATAAGCTCTTATCATCTCATAATTATCTATGAACTAGGTATCAACAACTCATGCACGCCGGTCTTGCTGTCGACATGTATTTCAAAATTTGCAAAAATTACGCCATCCGGGCCGGACTGGGTGAATGGAAACTCCACGCTTTCACGTGGGCGATGATCACTGCGATGGTCACCGTCTCAATTTACACGGGGGCATTTGGCTGCTCTGGATTTTGGTGAGGATTTCCATGCAAAATTTATTCTAAGTTTTTTTTGCACTTAAAAAAAATTTTAATTGCATATATTTTTGAATTAATTTAGATTTTTTTAAATATAATTTTGGATAAAATAATGATTTTAAATGACATAAGCCACGCCACAGCATGCGACGCAGTTCTTTTACTTATATTTGTTAAGCCATTTAAAAAAATTTTGAACTTTTGAAATTTTTCTGGCAGGATTTACAACAACGTTCAAACCCAAAGTGGTCACATGCTCGCCGCCTTTAGCGCCCTGCTCGGGGCGACGCTCTGTTTCGCCACGTCCGCGAGCTACATCTCCATCAAGAGGATGGTCGATCGCCACGAGCTTGAAAATGAGGGCGCCGTGATTCACAACGATTTCCACGCAACCGCGACCCACTGTTTGACCACGTATATCGCCATGTGCTTCCTCGTCTACTGCCCCTTGTCGATCGCGTACTTGGCGTTTCTCCTGGAAACGGCGTACTTCAAGGTTATCGAAACCACGACGGCTTTGGTGGTCGTCGTGTCAGCCAACTCTCTCGGATGGGCGAACGCCTTCGTCTACTTTTACAACAAGAAGGTCAAGTTAAGGAGAAATGGTGATAATAATAATGTACTGGAAGATGGTGATGTTAGTCGAAAACGAGGAGTGACAACGTCTCCGTGTCGTTTGAAGAGATGTATGTTTAGCCGAGGTAATGTTGGTGGGGGGACGAGGGGAAGGTTATCCGTGGCCACGATAAATAGCACGATTGGAGAGGATAATGATGATGACCATGGCAGGACGACGTGGTATGAGACGACTGCATTTTAAATTAGGTAATGTCGCTAGTGTATAAAAATAAGACTGATCATGTCGCATAATAATTTTAAATAAAATTCTACAATTTTCTGAAAAAGCATATGTAGCTGTCTTTTGGCGTATGACATACGTACATATTATTATATATTTACACGCACGCATGACGTTATTTTCACTTAATACCGACAACCGATATATGTAACGTGCATAAGCCAATAAAAATGAGTTTGAACTTCACCATTAAAAAAATTGGCAATCGAATTTCATAAAAACGGTTAAGTATGTATTATATAATTCGATATAATTAATTACAAATCACAATTTTCCATTCATTTTACAGTAAATCAGTATTTTCTCTTAAAAAATTGTCAATTCGATTTCACAATTTTTTTTAGCATCGTGTTATCAAATAAACCGTTAAAACCCATGTAACCAAGGGGCGAAAGGAGTATGTCATACGTCAAAGTGAATATCAAATTATTCGAAAATTTGTTAAGATTGACACTTCTGACGTGTTTTCGACGTGTGTGTCTTATTTGTGTCAAATTTAACAGTTGATAACCCTTATGTGACCTTTATATGACCTCTGAGGTCAAAATGGAGGTCACCATTGAATTCTGGGTTAAATTTCAGTTCAAATTGACATAGATATGTCCTATGACCTTTACATGACCTCTGAGGTCAAAATGGAGGTCACCATTGAATTCGACGTTGAAAAATAGTTAAAAATGTCGTGTCACATGCCAAAACTGACATGTGACACTTTTTCGTCACTTTTCGTCACTGTGACGACGTCATCGTCCCAGGTGACGATGTGACAGTGTCCATCTTCGAACTCGTCCTGTCCATTGACGTTAGGAGTTTATGTTCAAAATTTCAAGTGTCTATGTCTCATAAAAATGAGAGTGAATCCGATTTGCATGTGATTCCGTTCGTATATTTTTATTTTATTTTCGCAGTCAATTCGTAGTATCTTTAGAATATGCTTACATATTAATTAGCATCGCATAAGCGGCAAGTAAATTACGTATAAATTACATAAATGCGTGGATTTATACCGAGTTAAAATTAGTTTGAATTGTAGCTCCATTAATTAAACCATATTTAATAATATTACTTGTAGATATATTTTCTACCACAATTGCGGAACAACTTTCCCATTAAAAATATATTCCACTATCATCCTGTTGATCATCAAGTCTTGTATGATTGGATTAGTCTCAGTCGCTTCAACCTCCCTTCCGACCCAAGTCCCGTTAACCTTCTCCAAAATAAAACATAGTTCCGAACCTTTCAATCCAAATCCTTTGACGAAATTTTTCCACGCATCCGAATCCCTCTGTTTCACAATTACATTAACGAAGCCTACTAAAATCCACTCTGCCTTTGTCATGTTGGTAGCACTTGCAAGTAATTCAGTGAGATTATTTGTGGACACCAGAGTTATGTTTTTCGCATTAAAAATCCCATCGATTCGTGCATCACCCGAATACTGCTCGACTAAATTTAACTCAAGCAGCTCGACCGGTTTGTTCGTAGGATTTGTCGGTATTTCAAATTGAGCGTGTTGTAGAGTCAGTTTCTCCAAGGTGTGAGGAAGCCAGGTGAAATTTTGGAAAGCATTTTGATAGCGCATGGATTGTTTGAATATTAGGTTTTTAAGTCCGGTGAATTTCTTGATGAACTCGGTAAAATTGGAAAAATTGACCTCATCTAGGATTAATTTTGTTACATTTGTTGGGCTAAAGGTTTCGGGTGGTGGGTGAGATATTTCTCCATTGCTTAGAGCCACGCTTCGTAACCAGGTGGAATTATCACGGGTTGCAGCGTACAGAACTTTTTCATTAATTTTGGTGGAACCGTAATCCCAGAAAATTCGAGACTTTAGGATGCCGTTTGTATGATTTATATGGAAAAGCTGAATGTCATTCTCAACAAAGGAAACGTCCACATCTTCTGCAGCAATAGACTCAAATGAAGTATTTTTTGGGGACGAGGTATTTTTTGTCGTGATAAAAGCGATTATTGAGCTTAGAATGTTATCTTCTCTTCTCCAGCGTTGGTAATCCGCATCCCGCACGAGTACCTCGCCGTGAACTATTAATTGTTTCAGTTTAGGGAGAGAAATTGTCTGGTTGAACTTCCCAGATCGGGTTACGTTAATCAACTGAATAGATTCTAGCGTCTGCTGGTTAGATTCTAGAAAATGGAGGAATTTGTCACTTTCAAGTGACACGTAGGGAAGAAAAACAATGTTTTTGAGACCAACCAGGGAATAATCTGGTTTTACATATTTTATCGGGCACCCCCCTATAAGCAACGATTTTCCAGAAATATCAATGCTACAGCTGCAATTTGACACCAATTGGTTCGTGTCCTTACGCAATTTTGTAATTACAGCGTCAGAGTGGGGTTTAATGTTAAACATGTTGTTGTTTATTCGTAATTTTTCTGCTGCATCGTCAATATATCTTCCCGTCCAGATTTTAGAGTTGGCATCCTTCTCGAGGATAAAACTGGTAAAATTTTTCCTCAAAATTCCTAGTTCCTCTAAAAATTCTTTAATATCTTCAGAAACTTCTTGGTGCCAGTTATCCGTTTTATACTCGTAGTAAATCCATTGCACGTCTGCCATCCTCATTATGCTCTTTAGGAGAGGAATCGACGGAAAGTATGACTTTATGGAAACTCTTTTCGCATTATATAACCGGTCCAACTCATTAATTCTCAAGTCACAGTCCAAATTTAGATGGTCCAATGCAACCGGGTTAGATGGAAATGGGCCCGTTAGAATTAACCTGGTGAACTGCAATGTAAGATTTTTAAGGGACACGGGCAACAAGGTGGGATCCGTCGGTTCAAACGACGAAGGACTGTACGCCAAGGATTTTAAATTTGTGAATTGCTTAATCCAAATGTCAACTTTTGTTGCAGACCCAATTAACGGATTGAGCACAAGGTTCTGAACGTGCTCCGGATATTTTACTGGGCCAAGTTTGTCCCTTGAAATGGATATCAATGCAATCGTTGTGAGAGGCGTATTCACACTTTGCAAGATTCTGCTTTCACCTGTTTTCAGAATTCCGGCATCATGGTCAATTTCAAAATAAGTTTGGCCTTCAACTATGACGACCAGGTTGACCCGTTGTAACCAAACGTCTTCCCTTTTCCACGACGTGGTCGCATTGTTCGTGGTAAAAAATATGATGGCGAAGGCATCTAGGTAATCTTCTTCTCGTTTGCGATCTATGTTAACGTAGAATGACTTCAATTTTGGTAAATACACTTTTTTCTGGTCTCGAAAGGTCCCTTGAATCGTAACTTTGTTTAAGGTGATGGACTCGAGAGTTTCAGAATGGAGTTGAACAAAGGCGAGAAAATCGTCGACTTCGATGGTGACGTATTCAAGGAGGATGAGGTCCTTGAGTCCGGTGAGATTGGCGTATTTGCTGGAGTGGAATACTTCATATTTTAGAGCGACTCCTTCCAAGATGTAAGTGGTGCTGGTGTCATTTTCGGTAACATTATTGGTAAAAGTGGTGCTATTTTCGGTAACATTGTTGGCAGAAGTAACATTTTCACTTGCCAGTTGTAACAATATAGTTGAGTTAAGGAATGTAAGTTGCCTAATTTCTGCTTGGATTTGCTGACTTGCAGTGATGAGAAGGGGCAGAAGCACAATTAATAAATTTATTGTGCCCATTTTGAGCAACTAACAAATAATTTATTTCACCTTTATTTAAATAAAATCACTTTTGCTTTACATATAACACAAGATATCAAGAAAATTCACGCAGTCATTCGTAACTTTATAAAACTCGTGAAATTACAAATATTTTTTAGGTAAGGTAACTTACAATTTTTTGCAAACTTGCTCGGATCAAGGGTGTCTTTTTATTTTAAGCAAGTTTGTAAAATTAAGGATGTTACAAAAAGCAAGGATTTTGCAAAATTATCAAGGTCTGTGTGAATTGCGTGATTTTCAACAAACTTGTTTAAGATATGAACGAAGATTGCATTTTATTCCGCTGTATGTAACTCACAGTTTAATCGATAATGAATGAATTCTCGCATATAGCAATTTATTTCTTGGAATTGTCGGTATCAATGATGATACCGTATCATGTTTATAAATACTTAAGTTATAAAGCATCTCCGTACATGTATCTATATCTTCTCAGTATAAGCCCGAGGAAGGGCTTACGTAATTATCAGAGTGTCCGTCTGTCTCTGCGTCTGTCTTGCGTATCATGTCGACTTTGGTTTCAGAAATTTTCAAGAAAGCTGAAATTTGCCATAAAGGAGGACGCTAATGCCTTCTTTTCGATATTAATTCATGACCTAATTTAAGAATTGACAAGCGAGTTTGCTACATGTTCAAGTTGTGATCTTACCATTCCACAAATTTACATAATGTTAAATTGCAGGTCGAAATAGCAGTAAGTAATCACTTTATTACGTTTACGTGTGTTTCTTGCAAGTGGTTGCTTACATTATTTGCACCCGAAAAATGCTACCTTGCGACAACAATTTCTCGGGCTAAGCAGCACCCAGTTTTAGTCTACTTATTTGCATCTTGACTGGACTCGATTATTCAATAAATATGATTAAACTATAGTCAATCTGTCAACGTTTCGTCGCAATCAATACAAAAAATTAAGTTCGCTTTGTAAATATGTACATGGGTTGATTTAGCAATTTCAGTATTATGACAGCAAAAAGAGCATGAACGGGCACTTCAAGTTCAAGTTCGACATTTGTTACGAGGTTTCTTACGAATTTTCATATACCTAATTAAGAATTTGAATTCCACTCTAAATACTTAAAAATAAGTAAAATTGACTTAACATAGAGTAAAATAGAGGATGACATAGGAGTTGGATAAATTTTATCCGATTGTTTTGGTTCATCAGTAAATGTTGCATAACCAGAGAGAACTTAAATTTTTGGACCAACAATGTATGAAATATCTGTGCAAAGCATACAAATTTGGGTTCACGTATCAAATTTTCATAGCAGTTGAATTTTTCAAAATACGAAATATGTACATATATATTCCAGACTATTTTATCAAGACAATTCACTCATTGTTTGTAACCTGTGCAAGTTTTTGAAAAATACTTTGATGAATTTGTAAAATTATCATTACTAAATAGATAACTTGGATTGAGTTTTAATTTTTCATACAATTTTTATCTGGCGTTAAAATTGCCCAATTTAATTTTTGTAATATGCAAATCTTTTAAAACAATTTTAAAATCTTTCGTAAAAAATTAGTATGAATATTTCATGTCCTTTACGTCCTTTCCAGATTTTTTCCGAGGTGATTTTCTCGGGTTACGCCTTTGCGTATATATCAAAATGATATGAATTTTTGTACAAACGTTGGTATATAACTTGACCCATCAAAAACAATACCCAGTAATTGGATAACTTCCTTAAATAATTTAACAGAGTTTACAAAATTAGCGTGAATTACGTTATAATTTCTTCACAATTTTCATTTTTGACTTGTTCTTGTCTTTTTTTCCAGATACGGAAACTTATCCAAGACACCCCTGAGGCCACGATTAATCAAACGTGCGTTACGAAAGGTCAAATTCCCGAACTACTCGAGTGCATTGACGAAATCTGCGTCTGCTACAAGACTGGAATTTGGGCGGTGATAAATCTCGAGGAGGAAAATGGAGCCTGTGTCAGCCCAAATGGGGCCTGGTGAGTAAGATAACCTCTTATCGATCTCAGCTAAAAATTGTGTGCCCAGTTTTTGCAGGTGCATCCACTGGGAAATGATGCTACGAAGGTCCTCTCCAAATGCGCGGGTCGCGGAAGGTCCAACCCTCCCGAGGAAAAATTACCCCTGCTTTGTGATCATGGGCGTCTGCGTCGGGGGCAGAGGACCTGTCGCCAAATCCAATTTGACACATGCCTCGAAATGCTTCGTTAGTGGGGTGAATCCCACTTTTAGACCAAGTTAGACATCAGTCGTAATTAGTCGATGATGACAATATCTAGTTTTACACATCAAATAAAAAATTAATTGATTATCATTTTGAATGTAAATACTTGGGTCTGTAAACGACATATCTCAGACATAAATTAAATTAAGCAGATCAAAATAACGTGCTGCAAACTCTGTAATGTAAATATTCCTGGAAATTTATTTGAAGTTGTTTCGCAAATTTACTCTACAACTGGACATGCTCCAAGATTATTTTGTAAACTACAGATATTTGCAAGTTGTAATGTGAAATACGACCTTGCCGTGAGCACGCCTAGTAATTTGCAGTTACTAATTTACACTTTCATTGAGTATTTCAAGGATTTGTCTGTAAGGCAAAATACGAATTTTCCTAGAATTTTGGAATGCATTGATTTTCATAACGCACACTTAATAATTAAACGATTACAAAATATCGTTTGTTGTCATACTTTTCGTCATTTCTCCAAACTTGTGGATGTTTATGGAACTAGAAAATTCGGTATGAATTACCTCATTACATGTACAATTGACAATGCTTCAGATGTGGTTGGGATGAAAGCTTTGGTAAAATAGTTTAGAAATATTGAAATATTTGAATGATTGCGACGTTCTTAATAAACTTTGAAGATGGAACCACGAATAACTTAAAATTTTAGGTTTGGTTCATCTACTTCTAATTCCAAAGTATTTTGTACCGGGACCACTTCACCTATAAAATTTGTACATTTAGAAGTATAATTTTGTCAAAATTATACTTCTAAATGTACAATTTTTTGTGTATTTCTCCTCATTCAGCGAAATATTATGTACACGTTATTATCCATCTCTATCTCCACAAAAATCGAATCACAAACTGAATTTCAAATGACATTAAGACTACATACTCAAGATGACACAACCACAATTAAATCTTTATTTAACAAAACAAACCATATATTAATAATAGAAACATGTAAGTCAATTCATTTAAATTTTAAGGATTAATGTACCCGTGCAGTGTGACAACTTATACCACCAATTTTTGTTTTACCGAACTTTGAACTTTCTCCTTCCACGAGAATTATAAGAATTCTGTTTTGTCCAAGCATGAGTACAATTCATTTATGAATTAATCATAAACCTCATCAAGAATACCATAAGTTTTCAAAAACAACTGGTTTCAAATATTTCTATGACCGTGTTGTCTACGTATGTAGATGCAATGCACACATATTTACATATGTACATGGATGATTTCTCTTATAAAAATGACAATAAATTAAATTTGCGTAACTCTTATAGTATATTTTTTATTTATATCGAATATTCTTATTACTTTGTATCCTATACATAAATTACGTATTGATAAGGAATTGTAACTTCTTTCATTTATCAATCACTTCGTTAAATAAACCGTATTAAATATTACTCGTATATTTAATACCAAAATTCAGAAACAACTTTCCCATTAAAAATATAATCCACTCTTAGCCTTTTGAGCATCAAGTCTTGTATGATTGGATTATTAATACTCTCCTCAACCTTCCTTCCGACCCAAGTCCCGTTTACTTTCTCCAGAATAAAACACAATTCCGAACCCATCAATCCAAATTTTTCAATGAGATTTTTCCACGCATCCAAATATATCACATTTGCATTCGAGAACAATACAAAAATCCACTCTGCTTTTGTCATGCTGGTAGAGCTTTCAAGTAATTCGGTGGGTGGGTAGCGAGACACAAGAGTGATGTTTTTCGCATTATAGATCCCATCAATTTTTGCATCAGTAGAATACGGGTATCGACACTCGACTAAATTTAACTCGAGCAGCTCGACCGGATTGTTCGTAGGATTTGTCGGTATTTCAATTTGAGCATCTTGCAGCGTCAGTTTCTCCAAGCTGTTGGGAAGCAAGGTGAAATTGTGGAAAGCTCGATAACCCCTTGATTGTTGGAGTATTAAAGTTTGAAGGGCGCTGAATTTCTGGATGAACGTGGTAAAATTGGAAAAATCTACCCAATGTAGGATTAATCTTGTTACATTTGCCGGATTAAAGGTTTCGGGTGGTGGGTCAGATATTTCTCCATTGCTTAAAGCCACGCTTCGTAACCACGTGGAATTCTGACGGGTTGCAGCGTACAGAACTTTTTCATTAATTTTGGTGGAACCGTAATCCCAGAAAATTCGAGACTTTAGGATGCCGTTTGTATGATTTATATGGAAAAGCTGAATGTCATTCTCAACAAAGGAAACGTCCACATCTTCTGCAGCAATAGACTCAAATGAAGTATTTTTTGGGGACGAGGTATTTTTTGTCGTGATAAAAGCGATTATTGAGCTTAGAATGTTATCTTCTCTTCTCCAGCGTTGGTAATCCGCATCCCGCACGAGTACCTCGCCGTGAACTATTAATTGTTTCAGTTTAGGGAGAGAAATTGTCTGGTTGAACTTCCCAGATCGGGTTACGTTAATCAACTGAATAGATTCTAGCGTCTGCTGGTTAGATTCTAGAAAATGGAGGAATTTGTCACTTTCAAGTGACACGTAGGGAAGAAAAAAAATGCTTTTGAGACCAACAAGGGAATAATTTGGTTTTGCATATTTTGCCAGGCGTCCTCCCAAAAGTAGCGATTTCCCGGAAGTATCAATAGTACAATTTGAAATAAGTTGGTCCGTGTCTCTACTTAATTTCGTACCTATAGCGTCAAAGTGGGGTTCAATATTAAACAAGTTTTTCTTGATTTGTAATTTTTCTGCTGCACTGTCAACATATCTTCCCGTCCAGATTTTAGAGTTGGAATCCTTGTCGAGAATAAAACTGGTAAAATTTTTCCTCTTAATTCCAAGGTCCTCTAAAAATCCTTGGACATCTTCAGAAACTCCGTCTTGGAGCCAATCCACCTTTGTATACTCGTAATAAATCCATTGCACGTCTCCCATCCTCATTATGCTCTTTAGCAGAGGAACCGATGCGAAATATGACTTGATGGAAACCCTTTTCGCGTTATATAACCGATCCAATCCTACTTTAATTCTGTCCACCTCGCAGTCCAAATTTAGATGGTCCAGCGCAACCGGAACCGATGAGATTGGACCCCTTGGAATTAAGCTGGTGAACTGTAACGTAAGATTTTTTAGAGACACGGGAAACAAGGTGGGATCCGTCGGCCCAAAAGGTGAAGGACTGTAGGCCAAGGATTTTAAATTTGTGAATTGCTTAATCCAATCATCAATGTTTCTTGCAGCGTCAATTAACGAATTGAGCACCAAGTTCTGAACTTGCTCTTGATATTTTACTGGACCCAGTTTATCACCTGAAGTGGATGTCAATGCGATCGTTGTGAGAGGCGTATCCACACTTTGTAAGATTTTGCTCTCACGTGATTTCAGAATTCCGGCATCATGGTCAATTTCAAAGTAAATTTCGTCATCAACTATGACGACAAGGTTGACCCGTTGTAACCAAACGTCTTCCCTTTCCCAAGACGTGGTCGCATTGTTCGTGGTAAAAAACATGATGGAGAAGAGGTCTTGATACGTCTGACCTTGTTTGTGATCTATGTTAGCGTAGAATGATTTCAATTTTGGTAAATACACTTTTGTCTTGTTTAGAAAGGTCCCTTCCACAGTGACTTTTTGTAAAGTGATCGACTCGAGAGTTGCGAAATGGAGTTGAAGGAAGGCGAGAAAATCGTCGGCTTCGATGGTGACGTATTCGAGGAGGATGAGGTCCTTGAGTCCGGTGAGATTTGCGTATTTGGTGGAGTGGAAGACTTCGTATTGTGGAGCGATTCCTTGCAAGATGTAAGTCGTGGTGGTATCATTATTGGTAACATGGTTGGCAGAATTCGTGCTATTTTCGGTCAAATTGTTGGAAGAAGTAACGTTTTCATTTATCGGTTGTAACAGTGAGTCTTGGTCAAATTCTGCTTGGTTGTTTTGTTGACTCAAAGTGATGAGAAGGGACAGAAGCACAATCAGTAAATTTATTGTGCCCATTTTTACCAGCTGAATTTATTACAACTTTGTTTTAAGAAAACCACTTTTCATGTATAAAAGTTATTGAGGCAATTCACACAAGTTTTTCGTAACTTTGTAAACTTGCAAAATTTTACAAAATTTTACGAATATTTTGATAGAAAATTAGCCTACAAATTTTTGCAAACTTACTCAGATCAAGTCATCTCTTAATTTTGTAAAAGTTTGTTAAATTATTTTACAAACCACACGGATTTTACAAAGTTATCAAGGACTGAGTGAATTGCCTTTAGTACATATTTTCCACACAAATCTTGTTAGAATGACATACGAATATGAAGCTTGCATCGTATTCCGCTGTAACTCACAGCTTCATCGATAATGAATTCTAACTCGTAAAAATATTAAGTAAAGATAGCAAGCCTTTCTTGGAACTTTGTGAAGTCATTCCATTTCCATACGTAAGACATAAGGCATCTGCATACTACGCATATCCATCCCTCGTCAGGAAGGGCTGATGTAATTGTCAAATTGTCCGTCTCCCTGTCGATTTAGCGATGCATTTGTAGCTCTCGTAAAGCGTATCATGTCGACTTTGGTTTCAGAAATTTGGAAGAAACCTGAAGTTTTGTATAGAGGGGGTCGCTATATAATGCCTTCTTTTTGATATTGATTCATGAGTTCATTTAAGAATTGATAATACAGCGTGCATTGTTTCCTTTCTTGCGGGCGTGCTACATGTCTTGAAGAAGTGCGAGGTGCAAGAAAGTGCGAGAAAAATGCGTCATCTAGCCTCGCGCTGTATGAACATAGCGGCGGGAAATCGTTTCTTGCGGCTTGCATTTCTTACAGGTCAAGATACCACGTTCTTGCCGTTATTTCTTGCAAGTAGTTACTTGCACCCAAAACCATGCGACAAAACCACATCTCGGGCTAAACGAAGCGGCACTTGAAGTTTTCCTACTGCATGTATTATGTACTCCCACACCCTGTTTTATTCTATTAGCGTCTTGACTGGACTCGACAATTCAATGAATATTGAATCTGTCAACATTACCCCGTAACCATTACAAAAAATAAATTACACTCGAAACTTGACGACTTCGCAATTTCATGATGACAGCAAAAAAAATCAACGGGCATTTCAAGTTCAATTACGATTCCTTTTCTTACTTTTTATTACACTCTGAATACAAATGAGTGAAATTTTCCGAGTAAAAAAGTGGATAACAGTTTGGGCAAATTTATCCACACTCTTAAAAAACTGGTATTAAATTATTACTAGCTGGAGTACATATATGACTCTACCGGCACGGTAATAAATAACGAGCAATATGGTTCGGTAATGAAGAATTTACGGCAAACTACTACCAATCTAGTAGGAAATTATTACCAAATCAATTCCAGAACGCTACTCTATTTAACTCAAAGTTTGGGAAAAATGTACGTATCTATTTTAATTTAGAGTGTGTTTTCATAAAATTCATTAACATGCATACAAATAAATAAATACAAATGACACTTTTATCTCATCCCGTGTCTCACCACAATCGATTTCATCTTCCTCAACCTGTTGAACCATGTTGAATTCGTTGCTATTTATCATGTTGATCTATGTATAACGATGCAGATTTACACATTTCAACAAGTTAAAACATCCAGATCTGCAAATTATTTACCACTTTTTGTAAAGCTAAACAATAACCAATTCATGTTTATTTAAGGTGTAAATATTACCATTACTTTTCCAGGATTATCAGTACGATTTTCTAATCTTATCTTGTTGACTGCAATCTGCTCGCTTCAGGTTTCAGTTCAATGCGGTTTGCAATTGTTAAAAATCTGTACGTATTTTATAGATAGTTCTGGCATGTCATTAAACATTAATTATTAATTAGCATATCTTTGCCGTCATCCACGTCGACAAGTAACAAGCTACATACTTCGACCTGCTTCCAATCAAATTCTTACTTGAATAGGGTAAGTTATATACAAAATATTGTCTAAGAATCGCTACACTGTTAGAAATCTGGTATGGTCACGCTGCATGACTCACACAACCAAATACTGATTTATCGGTACTACCGCTTGGCATTAAAATTATGCCGGTCGGTAAAAATTTGCTAATTCGGTTTTATAAATATGGTAAAACCGAATTATTACTGCACTGTAATTTACGTACTTTGACAGAGCCATTATTTACAAACCGCTTCAAGTATTATTTTAATAGGTACTGGATTTGTATAAGAGTGCCAACTCAAATTTACTATAAGTTTAATATAATGTACGTAAATCACTACGAACGAAATGGCTTTATTACCCCATCAAGCTCAATTGTTTAGAAAGAATCTCTTCAAAACGTAGATACTTTCTTTCCTGATTTCTTAATCAAATTGTATCTCTAAGTTTTATTCGGCATATTTTAAATCATGGCCTAATTATAGCAGCATTTATATGATGATTATTCCGTTTTTTTAGACTAGTTGTGTTTGGAATTCTCATTGTATGAATTAATTTTAAATATACGCAATAAAGGGTTGAAATTCCCTAAATTTATTTGAATTGAAAAAAAATTCTTAATCAAATAATTCACAACCTGTCTATGTATTGTTAAATATATATTAGATAGATGTATACAAGTAACATAGATAAGTGCATATGTATGTAATACATATGTAGCTTCGTTGTATGATACAACTTAAATACGTAGGGTTTTCATGCATAAGCTAAATTTCGGTTTGAGTGAAGGTAAGTACCCGGAGCGATAATATGAATGTATGCAGAATTGCATAGATAACGTAATTCTGAGGTTAAATTTGTACTAATGCTTGACTGAGGATGAGATTCATGTTTCTCTTACACTGTTAAGTATTATTGAATAATTATAAGTTGACCTCATAAATAAATCCGATTTATGTAGCAGCTTATCCTTAGTGTCAGATTCAGAGCAGCCGACCATCGTAATTATACCATTTTTAATACGTGCTTTATCATTTCATGAATGAAATCCGTATATTATTATGATCCGCATCTTATCATTTCTTTTCATGAAAATCATATCAAATTCTAATAATTTCTAATAATTTACACAGCCCAGAAGACTTAAAAAAAATCCCCAAAATGGCCACTCCTCCAATCATCGTCTACTCCAACCCCGACGATTCCTCCGACCCTTTACCCCCCTCCACCCGAGAAATCACCATCCTCCTCCTGGGCGAAACCGGTGTCGGAAAATCCACCTGGATCAACGGCTTCGCCAATTTTCTCCAATTCTCCGACCTCTCCTCCGCCGAAGAAAATCCCACCCTTTGCATCGTCCCCACCTCCTTCACCGTTACGGACGAAAACTATGAAGAAAAACTCATCACCGTCGGTCAGGACAACAACGAAGTCATGGACACGGGACAATCCGCGACGCAACACCCGCAATCCTACCTCTTCCCGAAAGATGGCGCCATGGTGCGGCTAATCGACACGCCCGGAATCGGCGACGTCCGGGGGGTCGAACAAGACAAGAAAAACTTCGAACTTATCCTCGACCATATTTCGCACCTCGACTCCCTCCACGCCATCTGCATCCTGCTCAAACCAAACAACGCCCGACTCAATATTATGTTCCAGTTCTGCATTAAAGAGCTGCTAACTCACCTCCATAAAGACGCCTGTACCAACATCGTCTTCTGCTTTACCAACTCCCGCTCAACTTTTTACCGCCCGGGTGACACGTTGCCCGCTTTGAGAAAACTGATCGAAGAAAATCAGCACGTCACGATCCCCTTAAACTTGTCGACAATTTACTGCATGGATAACGAAGCGATCCGATTTCTTTACGCGACGAAAAACGGGATCAAATTCACCCCTGACGAACGTAGGAATTATGTCGCATCTTGGGAGAAATCTGTCGAAGAAATTGCCCGCCTTCTCGACCGAGCGGGATCCTTAGCCCCGCACGCGGTCCAGTCGACCCTGTCCCTGAACACGGCGCGGCAAACGATCCTCGCTCTCGGCAGTCCGATGGCCGAAGTAACGCGGAATATCCAACTTAACATCGCCATGCAGCAAGATCTTATTGAACAGGTGGAAAATTCGCAACAATCGAAGGAAGAACTCAGCCGAAATTTGGTCCTCAAAGAGTACGAGATACGCATGCGCCAACTCGCAGAACCCAGAACGGTTTGCACCGCGGTGAAATGCGTTGATTTTGTTGAAATTGGGGGGATGAAGGAAACTAATTATAGATCGCATTGCCACGAAAGTTGCGGAACGGGGAAGGAGAAACACTTCAAAATTGTGAATATCGTCGGACATAAGAAATTAAAGAACTGTTCTGCCTTCAATTCGAATGGGAGTTGTAAATCGTGTGGCTGCAGTTGGAAAGATCACATGAAGATAACGTATGAGACGGAACTTATCGAGAAAGATATTCCAGATGTGGCCAAACAGATAGAATTAATAAGCAAGGAGAATTCTATTAGGAAGATTGAGAAATTTATTGAAAATATTGGCACCTGTATTGAAGAGTTGAGCCAAGAGCAGGAAGAGATTACTAAAGCGAGTGTAGAATTCGCAAAATTTTTGCGACTTAACGCAATCACGCCGTACAATAATGCGATGGCGGGGTACATTGCGCATTTTATTCATGTTGAGAAGAACAAGTTGGCTACGGCGGGGGGAGGAAATCCTAAAGTCTTGGAAGGTTTGCTCAAAATAATTTTTTTTAGATTTTTGAATGAACGAATATTTATTCATTTCGTATTCATGAAGAATGAATGAATAATTTTATTCATTTCGTATTCATGAAGAATGAATGAACAATTTTATGCGTTTCATATTCATGAAGAATGAATGAATAATTTTATTCATTTCGTATTCATGAAGAATGAATGAACAATTTTATGCGTTTCATATTCATGAAGAATGAATGAATAATTTTATTCATTTCGTATTCATGAAGAATGAATCAATAATTGTATTCATTATTTTTTCACTTTATGCTCAATTCATGGGGCATATTGAGAAATATGCCTAATAAGGCGAGTTTGAGAGAAAATGAATAAATATTTATTTTCAATTTTTGAATAAATGAATAATGAGTGAATTTTTTCTCAAGGCATTTTGAATTGAACGAATTTTGAATGATGACCTATTTTTGAACAGGTTTGCTCGAAATGCAGGCAAATTATGAGAAACAGATGGAAGTCTTAGAAGAAGCCATGCAACAGCCAGATTGCGGCCCACCGTTAACTCCGGAAGAATTGGACCAACTTGTACAACGCTTGTATACCATGAAGCACAACGGGAAACTACTCATGGAGATGATGGAAACGTCACAATCTGCGGCAGAATCTTGCTTCACGGAAAAACTCGTACAGAGAAATTCAAGCTTTACCACGGTTAAAAGACAGCCGAAAAAGAAGAAAAAATTGATAAACGATATCAAACAAATGTTTAAACAAAAATCCGTCAAATCGGATGGGAGGAAGCGGGTGGAAAATAATAATAATGGCATCTCGTCCAAACAGGTCCCCCAAATAAACCGTTACCATCGCCCCCAGTACCTCGAAGACCGGATCCAAGTGTCCTCCAATCAGCAAAATTGGTGTCAGGCAGCAAATTTCTTCAACCAAGTAATAAAGCTTCAGATTCTCTAAAACAAAAGCCTGCCGGGGATTTTAACAAAAATTCTGTCCGGAAACCGGAAAAGGTAACTCGGGTGAAGGAACCTGCCCCACAACCGCCGCAAAAAAAGACGCCAGCACCTTCACCACCTGGTCCGCCACCAAAAGCGTCACCAGCGCAAGCACCGGCTCCCCCACCCCCACCGCCGCCACCCCCACAATTGGAAACTAATAATAACGACGTTGCTGGTGACCATGCACTTAAACCATCGCTGCCGGAGATGACGCAAGGAAGAGCGTCGTTATTGGAGGATATTCGTAAACGTCCGAAATTGAAGGTTTGCAAAAAAAAGTACCAATTGCAAAGCTTACGATTGAAAATATTTCTCATTTTTTTTCTTTAGAAAACGCCTGCTGTCACTGAAGACAATAATAAAACGGTAACTTTGGCATGCTTACATATTCGTTTGTTGAACTTGGCGTTTAAACCAAATTATTCGGTCAAATCGTATTTTTACAGGCAAAATCCCCCACGGGAGAAGGAGATTTGGTGGATGCATTAAAACGTGCTATGCATGAAAGAGCAGCCAAAGTTCAGGATTCAGTTGACGATGATGATTGGGATTAGCTTTATTTTAAGTATTCGTAAAATAAATTAAAATTAAAATCAAAGATTTACACTAACTACATGCGGATTGTATTAATGTATTGGTTACATTTGCATAGGAAACTGATTTAAATTCATAGATTCTAAATCAAATAGATCATTGCACTAAATGGGTAGAAAGTAACTTCCTAAAAACTTGTCAAAAAATTCAAAAGTTGTAATATTTATTATTAATTAATAATTTTTGTTTGCACTTGTATATTAATAAACAAATGCGTACATTAAAGTCAAATAAATCAATATAGAAATGCTATTTTGTTGACTTACACAGTTTACAAATAGTGGGGTGAAACGCCTCAATAACTCGTCTAATTTCTTATCAATTGAATAAAATACATAACTTCATAATTACTCCGAAATTAGTTTCACCTCATTCTCAAAAAACAAATTATTACAAAAATGAAATTTGGAAAATTTTAACGCCAGACAAAAATAGTATGAAACATGAAAATCCTAAAACTATTGATAAGATTTTGACCTAAGTCATCCAATAATAATTTTTAATGATTTCAGAAAAATTATCAAATCATTTTCCAAAAACTTACACAGTTTATAAAAACATGAGTGAATCGTCTTGATAAGTAATGTGATAATTAAGAAGTAAGAAAAAGAAACGTCACACTTGACCTTGAAATGTCCGTCGATTTGCATGATTTGATTTGAACGAAATTGCTAAATCAGCCAATGTATAAAGTGAACTGTATTTTTTGTATCGGTTACGACGAAATGTTGACAAATTCACTATTATTCATTGAATTATCGAGTCCAGTCAAGATGCTAACCAGGGTGTGGGAGTACATAATACATGAAGTAGCAAAACCCCAAGTGCAGCTTCGTTTAGCCCGAGACATGGTTATGTCACATGGTTTCGGGCGCATGCAAGTAACTACTTGCTAGAAATAACGGGAAGAAAGTGGTTTCTTGCAGGTATTTCGACCTGCAAGAAATGCAAGGTGCAAGAAACTCTGTCCCGCCGCTATAGTTCATTTCTCCCAGTTCCTCCCAGTTTCTTGCATTTCTTGCTTTGCAGTGCAAGGAATGAAACACTGCATCTTGCCCTGTCAATTCTTAAGTGAACTCATCAATTAATATCGAAAAGAAGGTATCTCATCTATGGGAAACTTAACCTTTCTTTAAAATTTCTGAAGCCAAAGTGGACATGATACGCTTTACTTACGTACGAGAACTATCACTAGACCGACAGGCAGACGGACAATTTGACAATTACATCAGCCCTCCCTGACGAGGGATCGATATGCGTAGTATGGAGATGCTTTATGTCTTACGCGTGGAAATGGAGTGACATTACACAGTTCCAAGAAAGGCTTTATCTTCACTTATTTTTGCGAGTTAGAATTTATTATCGATTAATCCTAAGCCGTGAGTTAAGTACAGCCCAACAAAATGCAAACTTCAATCGTACGCCGTTCTTTTAACAAGATTGTCGTGGAAAATAAATTCGCTCAGTCCTGGGTAAAATCCTTGCGTTTTATAAAATAATTTAACAAACTTTTACAAAATAAAGAGACGTCCTTGATCTGAGCAAGCTTACAAAAATTTGTGAGCTAATTTTCTTTCAAAATATTTGCGAACTTTTGTAAAATTTTGCAAGTTTACAAAGTTATGAAGAACTGTGTGAATTGCCTTAATATCTTGCATACAGGAAAAGTGCTTTTCTTAAAATAAAGGTAAAATAAATCCAGCCGGTAAAAATGGGCACACTAAATTTATTAATTGTGCTTCTGTCCCTTCTCATCACTTCAAGTCAACAAAACAACCAAGCAGAGTTTGGAGCAGTCTCCTCCCTTAATCAAACTATAGACTCATTGTTACAACCGGTTAATGAAAACGTTACCTCTACCCACAATTTTAATAAAAATAGCACCACTTCTGCCAACAATGTTACCGTAAATGATACCAGCGCCACATATATATTGGAAGGCGTCACTCCACAATACGAAGTCTTCCACTCCAGCAAATACGAAAATCTCCCCCGACTCAAGAAACTCATCCTCCTCGAATACGTCGCCATCGAAGCCGACGATTTTCTCGCCTTCCTTCAACTCCATTCCGCAACTCTCGAGTCGATCACTTTACACAAGGTTACGATTCAAGGGACCTTTCGAGACACGAAAAACGTGTATTTACCAAAATTAAAATCATTCTACGCTAACATAGACAACAGACGAGGTCAGACGTATCAAGATCCTTTATCCATCATGATGTTTACCACGAACAATGCAACCTCGTCGTGGAAATGGGAAGACGTTTGGTTACAACGGGTCAACCTGGTCATCATATTTGACGGCAGAACTTATCTTGAAATTGACCATGACGCCGGCGCAAATTTCTGGCAGTTTCTTGCACCTCGCATTTCATGCATTTCTTGTTTCGCAGTGCAAGAAATGAAACACTGCAAGCGAGCTGTACTGTCAATTCTTAAATGAAGTCATGCACTAATAAAAATTGCAGATAACGTCCATGTCCATTGCCGTGTATGCGCCATCCTTAGCGATTGAACTGGGTGGGTGTTAAATTGAGCATTAAATACATAAATAAATGTTTTTTATGTTTTTCAAAATTTATTTATTTTTGATGACCAGTGACCGGCGTGAGTACTAGGATTTCGACGGCCGTGATCTCTTTTGTCTGCATATTCTACTCAACTTTGGTAATTCCAGTTTTGTGAACAACTTTTGCTTTAAGTGTGTTGCTTTTATAAAACTTTTTGTATTGAAAGAACAAGTTCAATGCCAAATAAGAAATTTAGCAAAATAGTTTATCGCAATTAAGGTTTCAGGTTCTGAATCTCTGTCAAGAAGAAGAAACTGAAATTTGATAAGTTTATGAAGCTGGATTTTTTTTGTAAATTTATGAAATTGAAATTTGACAAACTTATGAAACTGTGTACCGTTGTGTTTTATCAAAGAGTTGCAAATTAGCAAGATCAACGCGAAATAAGAAATTTAGCAAAATAATTTATCGGAATTAAGGTTCCAGGTTTTTTATTACTGACAAAAAGAGGAATCTGAAGTTTGCTAAGTTTATGAAACTGGATTTTTTGTAAATTTATGAAATTGTAACGTTGGGTTTTAACAAAGTTGCAAATTAGCAAGTTCAACGCCAAATAAGAAATGCAAGCATAAATAGGTAAAATTACAAAAAAAAGTTTTGTAACGGCGTAATCCATAGTCGAAACTTATAATTTTTGCAAAAAAACATGCCATCCATGCTTCAAATTATCTGTATACATTAAATCACCCATTGAACTACACATTTCATGATTTCCATAAAAAATTTTTATTAAAAATTGAACCTCAAAAAATATTTAAAGGTTTGAAAATAATTTTATAATTTTTTCAGGGCGGTCTAAAAGTGGGTAGAAAAAATTAAATCAAGTGAAAAAAAATCGGGACACATTTTCACGATCTCTGGTTTCATAGGCCGTCTTGTGGGCCGACGTACTCCAAGCGTTCATCATGCTCCTTTCACTCGCAGTGATTGCGGGCAAAGGGGTCGCCGATGTGGGCGGGATGACCGTCATGTGGGACCGGGTCCAGAAATCAGGCAGGGTCCATTTTTTCAAGTATATTTGCACAAAATTTTACAAATTTGCAAAAAAAACAAAATTTGCAATTTGTAAAAAAAACAAAATTTGCAATTTGCAAAAAAAATGAATAGCTTTGATCCTGACCCGAGAACGAGACACACCGTGTGGACGTGTCTCATCGCAGGGTATTTCTTCTGGCTGCCGACCTATGCCGCCACGCAGGTCCAGATCCAACGCTTTCTCTCCCTCCCGACGATATCGAGGGCGAGAAGGTATGTACACAGATAAGTATGGCTTATCTTCAAGATTATCACAAATTTACGGCGTAAATTACGTAATTACAGAACAATTGTTATCAACTTTGTCGGGCTTTTCGTAATCGTGGGGCTCTGCTTCTTCACGGGGTGTGTTATCCTTGCCAAATATTATGACTGCGACCCTTTAACCACAAAGGTCAGCTAAGATCAAAAAAACTATTTTTTTACACAAATTATGTTTATTAAAACCTACGTTCTTAAAATTTCCGTAACTTTCCCAATCCCTTGAGTTGGGTAAAAATTTCTGGAGACCACATGAAAAATGTTCAGAGTAATTTCAACACTGTTTCCGGAAATTTTGACCAAAGAGATAGGGAAAGTTACGAAAATTTTTAAAAGTTAGTTTCGCTAATTGCCTAATTGCCTATTTATTATGCATAAATATGTATACAGGAAGTCGAAAAATCGGATCAACTCGTCCCCCACTTTGTGAAAAGTACGGTTGAAGGTGTCCCAGGATTGTTGGGATTGTTCGTGTCTGGTCTGACATGTGCGAGTATGAGGTGAATTTTACCCATTTTATGACCTCGTTTAATAAACAGAGGGTGGATATGTATTCATTTTCGACTCTTTGATTTGATCCCGACGGGAAGTCAAACTTTGTGCGAGTGTTGCCTAACTTTTATGGCTCACAAAAATTCCCAAATATTTTCATATTTTGTTTTCATATATTTCTAGGTTTTCAGACAAATATTTAAAAATATTTCAGCTATTATTCGAAAAATGCGTAAACTTTTTAAATATATTTTAACAAAATATATATTTCAAGCGAAGGGATACAAAATGTTTTCGCTCGAAGAAATTGGATGAGAAAAAATTCGGAGCGTTATATTCAAAAATTGAAATTTTGTGCAAGTCTTCTCCATTTTTTGTAAATATTTTGATAATTTTTCGTAAATATATATCCGCCCTCTGCTAATAAAATGCGAATTTTTTTTCTTCCAGTTCCTTATCCAGTGGACTTTCCGCGCTCTCCTCAATCACAACGTACGACTACGTTTCCAAATGGTTTCCACATTTTGGGGATGCAAAACTCTCCCAGATTTCAAAACTTAGCTGTTTCGTGTTGGGCGTGGTCACATATCTTTTCATTTTTGTGGTTGAAATTATGGGAAATATTTTGCCGGTGAGACATAAATCTCTCATTTTACATATGTCGCATTTTATGAAAATTTTCTATTTTTCAGGCAACCACAGCTCTTTCAGGTCTCTTAATCGGACCAACGCTAGGACTCTTCACGCTAGGAATGTTCTTCCCACCGACGACTACAAAGGTACATAAGTGAAAATTTTTTACACTCGTTTAAACCCTCACCAAAATTCAATTTTATTCTGTGTTTGAAAATTCTTGCTCCATTATATATACTCCCAGAAAGATGCTTTTTCATGTCCAAGATCAAACTCGATTTTTTTTATCGAAGACTATCAGGAAATTTTAAAAATAGCTTAAAAAATTTGAACAAAAATCATTTTGTTATTGGACATAATAAAACAACTATGTTACAATGCTGCCAGATCAATGCAATTAATAATCCAATTTCCAATACATAATCCGAATAAAATTGAATTTTTAGCGAGGGCTTGAAGGCGTTTTTGTAGCATTTGTCCATTATGGGTATGGTGGGCGCAAATGAGTCGAACCCATACCTGTTCACTTTCATTCATGTGACTAATTATGATATAGAATGATTGTGAAAGAAAATGAATTTCCTGTGATTTGAATGAAAATGAGTGAAAGATTTAGTCATTTCAGATGAATGACTGTGAATGAATGGATTTTTCATACTCATTTCATTATTCAGCCTATGCTTAATACATGGGGTAAAGAAGAAATGAAGTGAAAGAAAATGACTGAATGTGAATGAAAATCTACTGTCAGAAATAGTAATGAGTGACTGACGTTTGAATGAAAACTAAATTTTTGAACAGAAAGTTAACCCAAAATGTATCTCGCCTCCCTTGCTGATTTTGTGGAGGAGGATGTGGCCCGAATTTATGGGTAGGGTTTTAGACGATACTGAATTTAAAAAATCGTTATCGAAATAAATGCAGTTTTTGCACAAGTTTCTGAAATTTACAACTCGTTCAGTTAATAAGAATTTGTTTTTGCATCATGTTTCCGAATAAATTTTCTTTCTCTCCCTATACAATGTTTTTATAAAATGGCATCAATTTGTCAATTTGGCATCAAGTTTTCAGATAAATGAAACTTGTGATAACCTTAAACTTGAAAAACAGTGTAAATTAATTGTTAAAAGATTATAAATGCGGTTTTAACTTTTTTGTTTGAATAAAATTTTAAAAAGCGTTACTTAAGTATTTACAATGATTTAACGCCAGTTTGATAATTTTGGACAAATTCGAAATTTTGTAATCATTTGAAGATACAGAATCCTGGCAGTTTTTGACAGATGATTTGTATTCATGAAACTTAATTTATGCAAAATTTTCGATTTTGGAAAATACACTACAGTACACCGAATAATCGTGCTAATTAATTTTCGCATTATGCTCCGAAATAAATTCTGAAATACTTGAAATTCTTGATCTTTTACTACATCTCGTACGTGAAATGACTCTAGAAACATGCAAAGCAATCGGAGATCTTAGGAGGAGAACACATCAAACTGAAAATGCTAGATTTTGATGCTCTTTGACGTATTCTATGAGATAAAAAGTGCAATTTCTATCAATAAGATGTATTTTTTTAAAACTTTGTTACTTTTAGTATTAGTATTGATTGTCAATACTTTTAGTATTGATTGTCAATACTTTTAGTATTGATTGTCAATACTTTTAGTATTGATTGACGCCAATAAGAAAAAAATTACGACATGTGCATATTTATATATTGTAATAGATGTTGCAGATACACATGATAAAATAATAAGTGTTAAGTATGCATATCTTTGTTATGTACTTATAAAATTGCTACAAAATTGAATTGTACCATTTTTGAAATTTCACTTATAATTTACCCATTACGTACCTACATAATTTGTAGAAAGCGATGCATCTATCTGAAAAAAGATACAAGGCACGTTTTAATTTATAAATGAAAGTCTTCTTGCAGCAGATGTAGAAAAAACAATTGAAAGAATAATTGTTGTAAATTTTAAAAATATCTAATTTCGTCAATAATTTCTGTAAATAGAAGTCTTTTCAAGGCAATTCATAATATTGGGCATGGTCAGCTTCGGACGGAGGGCAGGTAGTCAAAATACGTAATATGTATGTACCTACTCCACTTTTTTTAACTTTTGATGGTTTAAGAATCACTACGCAGGTAGGTACCTACCTATGTATATTGGTCACCCGAAGGGACTGAAGTCGGTCATTCGTACCAAGGTTACCAATACAGCACAAAGGAAATGATGCATACTATTGCATACATACATACATTTTAGTTCATATTCTTTTAAAGTTAGCCTTTTATGTATAGGATGAAGGAAGCCGGCACAAGTAGGATTTAGTTTTTATTTAAATGAAAAGAATTTAAATACTGATAATAAAATGTGTTCATCATCATCCTCATTTCCTTCAGTATTATTTCTTATCGTGTCCCTCACCTTTGCTGGACTGACATTCTCATGCAGTACACGTAAGTATTTCACACAAGTCATTCTTCCCAGCATTGTTCCACATCACTTTTCAAACACTGGTATTACTTAAATCATTACTGTCGAGTATAACTCTTCCGGATCGGAAATAACGGAAATTATTTCTAATAAAAAATTTACCACTCACAAACAAAGTACCTACAAATCCTATAGGAAATTTGCGTCTGAAGTGTATTTATCTATATCTGATTCGCCCACATTTTGAATAGCACAAAGTTATAATCTTTAAAATATTAAAATTCTGTTGAAATTGTTTAAATTTAAGTATGAGTCACTTCTCCTCGTTAGTTATCCTGTTGTTGAGCGTAATAGTTATTGCAGTTGGGGTAATGCTAAATTTAAAGGGTGCTCAAGAAGATAAAGGAAGGACCCTTGGTGAAGGGGGGTGGAAATTTATTGGGGAATCTTTAGCTAGCGTGATAGTTTATCTGTTTGGTGAGAAGATCAAGCCTGTCTTTATCATTGACAAATTCTGCAGCGTGGAGAGAAATTCGTCTACAGGCTGGTGTAAGACAAAATTGATTCTTGCATTTTATGCACGATGATTCTTTATTCTATTTTATTTATCATGCAACATTTTATATCATTTCACTTGATAAGATTCCTAGTCCAACTTTTAACTTTCCTTCATAGTAAATTCTTATTTCGATCTTTATCAAGGGTTGCTGGCTGATATGCAATAAGTTATGATATCTTTATTTTAGTCCAATTATTTACATACATACGTACGACTTTTTTTAGCATTGTTTCACGATTGTCTTTTATGGATAAATAGCTTTTATAAATACATTGTTTAATTAACAATAGGTCGCCTCAAGTCTGGATTAGATGACGAAGGTAATGGGAAGCATGTTCCGGTTTGTAGACAACATCCAACTGATATTCAAGAATATATCGCTTTGACCAAGAAATTAGCAATCCTTGCATCTAACCTTGATCCCATCAATTCAATTGATATTACGGTTATTAGTAAGTGCCATATTTTTATTGTTAATGAAATTATTTACATTTTAAGTGATTAAATTTTTTTTATCTATATTCAGACTCAAACAGGTCCAAAGAGCATTTACAATATGTAGAGTTTGCAGCCTTCGAAGGGCATAAGTCTACCCAAAGAAAAATCAGGTCTTCTATCTTCCAAGAATTATTTGCAACTGCAAATATCAACATTACCAGCAAATTGGACACTAACAACCTAGAAGTTGAAGCGGTAAGATTGACCAGTGCTTCAAAGTTTGGATTGTCAAAAACAATGCTAGGAACCATTGTACCAGGACGTAAGTATTTAACTGCAAATTATACAACTAATAATACCAAGCAATAAATAATTATATCGATTAATCTGCATTCTTGATTTATGTTGGATAATAGGGCCGGGCGAATTACGACAACCATCAATCTTATCGGTAGATAATTACTACTTTCCTGGTGGAATTGAGTTAAATAATCAGTTCTACGTTTTTGTCTCAACGACTGCATCGTCCGTAAATGACCTACTTCGTAAGTAGTAATTTATAAATGTTTAATTAATTATTACTAACGATGAAAATTTTTGCTTTTGTTCAGAAGTTTTGGCAACAAAAATGTATGACATCCTGGAGCTCAGGACTTCTGTTTCTTATCCAAATAATGCCACTCTGGGTAGCAAGTTGATTATTGTGAGGGGTCCAGACAGAGGAATGGGTCTAAAATACGACCATTTCTCATACTTAAATGGAACATACATGTTAACATCTATTAACTTTACACAATTAATGATTCTATAGATATGTGTTTCAAAGAATCATTTCATTTTAACGGGCACAATGCAATGTGCCCGTTAAAAAATTATTCAATTATTTGCTGTTAACATTTCATTTAAATAATTAATATTTCATTTTGTGTTAAAATTCCGATTACGCAGAAACATGATAGAAGGACTTTTGTATAATAATATATCAACAAATATTTAAAAAGTTAGAATTTACTTACCCACACACTTTAAAATTTGTGTAATCAAATCTATATCATTGTCTGCATTTATTCTGTTAATTCGTTGGTATTATTACTGTACTTTACCTAATTTATTATTGCATTCATCTTCTTCCATTTTGTTAACCTTCAATATTTTCTATTTCGCTGTCATACATCTATCAAATAGCTTAAATTTATACGTTTATACGCTTATCTCCTCCTTCAATTGTAACAGCGAGGTCATGAAAATTGTCCAATTTATCAAAAATCCAAATTAAATACAAATAAGTAACTCTAATTTACAAATGATTGTTCGCACTGAAAATCAATGCTCATATTTCTACCATTTTTCAAGTACCTATGTAAATAATTGGCAATATTTAAAGTTTATCAAAAGTTTAGGGAAAGCAAAATCTCGACAACTTTTTGGAGAGAAGGTTGGTGAGACTTGTTTTTTGTGGGGGACGTTTTTTTTATCTACGTATGTATTTAAAATATTTGGAAATAATTTCGAAATATTTAGAAATAATTTGGAAATATTAGGAAATAATTAGGAAATATTTGGAAATAATTTGGAAATAATTTGGAAATAATTGGAAATAATTTGGAAATATTTGGAAATAATTTGCATTGTATGTACAAATTTTGCAGGATTTGATTAAGTTTTCCGATTTTGGGTGTTAGATTATTAGATTGTGTGATGGATGTGGCATCGTAAACCCCTATGCAGGAGGAACCTATATCGGAAAAGAATTTTACCTGAGCACAATCAATTTTTTCAGAGGCAAATTAAATTAGGGTATATGCACTGTTAAAAAATGAGAAATGTTTGACATTTATTTGACGTCATCATTAATATGTGCGAATAATGCAAGGAACACAATTTGCAAAATGTCTTGCAATTTCACAATTGTTGTAAAGTAATATCAATGTTGGAATATTTGTAGCTCATAAAAAAATAAATTAAGTGTTATTTCGTTTCGTTATTCGTCAATATTGGCATTGGCAATTCGGCATAAAGTTTTGCATCGCTGAGTCCTCTTGGACGCTCTGTGGCGCAATGACACCGTTCCTCACGTCGATGAAGGCATAGTTGAGATGGGTGCAGAGATCGGGGTCAATATTATCAACGGTGTACTGGTTGCACTTCCGGGTGGCAGCCCAGGATGCTTAGTAGCCGATGTTGACCTGGGAGGAGGAGGAACCTCGTGACTGTGTGACCAAGAAAGACCCCTAGAGTCATTAGGAAAATTTTGATCCAACAAATGATGAGCCGTTTCAGCCAAGGACTCGGTATAGACCCCAGAGCCCTTGTCCATACAACCCAGTCTAATGATGGAATCACTACGCAGAACTTTAACCAATCTGGAGACCGGGTGACAGCCCTCGACAGTTTCAGTATACTTACGCCAGGACTTACGTTTGGCAGATTGCAGGGCCGCTTGATATTGAGCCCTAGCTTGCCTGTACGTTTCCCAGCTATCGTCATCCCTTTTGGCAAACCTTCGGAGCTTTCGAGCCATCTTTCGGAGACCCGTAAGCTCTTTGGTCCACCACGGAACAGCCTTACGGTGAGTCTTAACCAGCCGTAATGGACACGCTATTTCATGCGCGCCCAAAATGGCATCAGTCAATGAGTTCACCGACTTGTCCAACGCATCCACAGTTTGATTACAAATCGAAACCCCCTGCAAGTTCTTGCTGAGAGCCTCTTCAAATATAGTTACGTTAGTAGCTCTGCGGTTCCTAAGAAACACAGGATGAGGAGGACCCACATTAAAGCGAGCCCTAATATAACGATGATCCGAAGAGGACTCCTCCCGGTCGACCCACCAGTCCACACAAGTATGGACTAATTGGGCCGAGATAAGAGTTATATCCAAAACCTCTGACCTGGTCTTTGTGATAAAAGTAGGCTGATTCCCCTTGTTAAGGACCTGCAAATTAGTGCAGCCCAAATAGTCAAGGAGCTCCAAGCCTCTTTCATTACAGTCGGTACTTCCCCATAAGGTATGATGTGCATTGGCATCACACCCTATAAGAATTGGTAACCCATTGCTTTCGCAATGAGCCACCAGTTGCTTCATTTTCACTGGTGGACAGTGAATAGTTCCATCCATGTACACGGACGCGACCACTAAAGAGCCAACACCTTCCCAATGTGTAACCCCAGCAGCCACACCTCTGTCACAGAATTCCACTAACGGTGTAAATTTAACCCCAGGACTTGAAATAATACAAGCCCTCGGAGCCAGCCCACCCGTAGAGTAGTAAAATAAGTTACCCGAGCCATCTAGACCACAAATTTTGGAGCCACGGACCCAGGGTTCTTGAATTAGGCAGAGGCAAGGTTTTGTCTGCAGCTTACTCAGGAGGCTATGCATTAATGACATAGACCCAGCTTTAGAGTGCTGCAAATTAATTTGTGCATAGTTGAATCCCAGGTTCCGCTTATCGCCAGTCGTGAAGGAAGCACGACTGTATGACGGTGTAAGCTTTTCATCAACTATGCAGCCACGCAACGACTTACGTGGCATCAACGTTGTGGGAAGAAGAAGAAGAAGATTTTACCTCTGCCGTGATGGGTCTCACAAAGCGAAAGTCCAGTCGCTCCGTGTAGTAGTAAATTTTGTTCGATGAGCAAAATCTAGCACTGGTTTCGTCCATCCTCAAGACCAGCAGGTGACCCCTACCAGCCCTTATCGGCTTAGTGACGGTGAACCAGGTAGCAGTATCCAGTCCATTATTGTGGAGGGATATTTTCTGGAAGATATCCTTAGAGTCAGGGAGATCCTGTCCAGGAATCCAAACTGACCCCTTAACCCAGGTTGGAGCCCACCCCGAAACAGAGTAGACCCCCCCACCAAGTTTTGGAATTTTATCTTCCAGCCATATCTTGGTAAACGCGTCTTGACACTGTACGACTACTGTGCCCCCGCGATTCCTCACCCCACCCATCTTCAGAGCACTCGGACCTCCAATTTCATCAATGAGTGCCCAGAGACCCTGCTGGAGTGAGACCATACCATTTGCTCCGAGTTCCCCTCGACCATCCGAGAATCGGACAGCCAAGAGCGAACACGAGTCCTCATCTTCATATTCCCGCCTGGTTGGTCTTTTTGGCGGTGCACGACTCGCCTCGTCCAGAGGGGAATCCTTGGCTCTCTTCCTGGACCCTTCAGAAGAAGAGCCGCTGGGTTGAGAGACTTTCTCCCTCCTAAACGAGTTTTCAAAATCTGAGAATTTTTTATGCTCCCTTTTGGGAGTTTGTGTAGTTGGAGAGGGAAATTTTACTGACCTTTTAGAGACATCAGTAGGGACCTGTGGCCTTTGACAAGGCCCACGAGCCTCACTAACCAGAGCGTTCCTAGTTGTGGAGCCATCACGACCTCGCCCGGATGTAGAGCCACCGTGACCCTGCTCGGATGTAGAGCCACGACGACCCCGACCGGATGTAACGAATTTGTGATATCGACTTATAAATGCAGAATACAATACTGCCTTTTGTGAATTAAAGTGTACGTACAGTGTATGCAGGTACAAATGTACCTAGCGTTTAGATGTTGTAATTTTCACACATCGCCCATTTGAAATAGCATTCAGACAGATGTTAGAAGGGCTTATCAATAGTTGGTATATAAATAAATACATAAATCCTAATTGTTCCGAATAATGAGAAAAATGTGTCACAGAAGTGCTACAATTATTCAGTCATAGGTGCAGATGCATGTGGACAATGACAGATTATTTGCCAAAAATTGTCATTTTGTACATATGATTAAACATTATGAGTGAGAGAGAGCGGATATGAGCAAATTGGTTGACCGTGCATATTTGTATACAGTCATATGTAAATATGCATATAGTTTGGACGATATGATGCTGTGTGTTTCATACATAGTATTAAATAAAACAAAACATGATACATTTGTCCATAATTTATGTACGTTGTGTGGGAAGATTTATTTTTACATATTGTCTTAATTACTAATTGACATTAAGAGTGCATACCATTAAATCATAAGTAATGGAAATGTGACAAGATTTTTGATCAAAATTGTGTCATTTGGAACAAGAAAGTATACATAGTGTCACATTTGTACAATTCCTGCGTGCATGGCAATCAATCATGGGTGAATATGAAATTCAAAATTTCAGCGTTAGAATGGATTAAAAATATTACGTATGTACATACACCGTTCCTAAATCTATGCACGTCATACGTACTTATATGTGTCGCACGTATACATATGTACATATGCACATAAATATTTGCATATTTACATGCAATCCTTCTATGTATGTATATATGTTTACTAACTGTTATCGAAATCATGCAACATTACCAATAATTGTTATGTGTATTTTTACATCGTGTCAATTCAAACTTCAGATTCGTTGTCCTCCTTTCCTTCCCGAACTGACCAGCAACAAATTCGCGGTTTGATTCAGGCAGAAATTCTGAATCACTAGTGGGGTTCCATTATCGATGAAATTCGAGCCGAATTTGATCTTAAGCACGCCACACGCCCTGACTTCTCTGGAAAGTACTGATTTTTTCCCGCCAAACTGAACCGTACGTCTGACATGCATTTGCAGCACCTTAGTCGACGTGCTGTTCACCCAAGAGGCCAGCGTGTAAGCGAATACGTTCGTAATCAAAGCGTCCACCATGATGAGGGGGAAAATGAGAAAGCCTGGCATCGGTATCTCGTCATGGAATTGGATGCACACGTACTGGCAGACTATTTGAAGTAATGGAATCATAAGGACCAGCGTAGGGACGACTCGCACCATGAGAAATCCATTCATGTATTTTTCTACAATTTGAATCTTCCTGTAGAACTGGAGACAGGCGTGATGGTCCGAAACTGATTCGGAGTTTGCAATCCGGCTAAAAATATTTACGAATTTTTAAGCAAGCCTGATTTGCATTTTGGTCAACGACCCCATAATAATATTGCAACCTTTTCAAAAGTTGAAAGTACTCCAGAAGCGTGACAATTCCGATGAACAGGATATAAAATGTCCACGTCATACCAGAGCTGAACAGTTGCAGGCCTATCCATGCTTCGAATAAGACCACAAATATTTCCAATCTTGGGGGCATCCATGAAATACCAGTGCAATGATTAGACATGGAGAGAAGGAAAGGAGGTGTGCAGGGGTCCACGGTCAAAAGGAGTATAACCGGGCACGCATACTACAGTTAGCTCCGCCAGCCAGGAAAAAAGGTACATCGCCCTAGCTTCGAGTGAAGCCTTTGAACTTTCGCCATCTAAATTAGCATAATTGATAGGAATGAATTATCAACAAGTACATAAGTTTCAACCTAATATACAATTTCCGTATAATTTTTTATATAAAATAATCAATTAAGAAATAAATTGAAAATCTAGAAAGTTAGAATTTATACTACGAGATTTCAGTGCTTGGAGTCTCATCTCACATTCCCCCAATTAAGACCACGATGAGAAGGAAAAGTGCCAAGTAAGGAAAAGTAGTCTCATTTCCTGTCCGTGCAAAATCTTCGATTAGCGGACAATATGTCCGTGCTCTTCGGTCTTTTGTAACCGCAGTCATCAAGTTATTAAAAAAGTAGAGGAATTCTGCTAGATATTATTTTAGATTATGAGTGGGAGGGGGGTGCCCTATCATAAACGTACCCTGGAGAACATCCTTCTCAAACATTAGGATTGAATTGATGATTTGTATTGGAGCAATATCTGGTCCCACATTCCATCCGATGAAGGCAAGTATCCCGTAAGCCATCACGAACGGGATTCCTTGCAATCGTTTCACCATTGACAAGTGCCCCAAGAGGAAATTATACAGCAGAACGAGAAAGTACATCAATGTGAGGATGGATTGAAATTGGCTGACTCGTCTTCGCTGACGAGACTTCGTCAAGATAAGTTTCTCAGATTTGGAATCAAACTCGAGCGGGACACTTCGTATGAGACGAGATAATTTGAAGTGGTGAATCACCAGGGGAAGAAACTGGGTGGTGTACATGGCGATGGGGGATATATATTCAGAACCTTATACCGCAAACGATTCGTCTGTACGAGTGAAACTGATACTGCGGAATGGTTAAAGTTTGTGACCAGCTTTTATAGATCGAAATCCGTAGATATTGAAAGCTTCTAATCAATAACAGGGTTTCACAAGCATAGCTTACCTAGTCCTTTAGTCATGCTAATTATCACGGCGGGCGAGATGTTAAAAAAATTGAACCTTCGGGTTGATATGTGTGTAAATTTGTTATGACAAATGGGAAAATTTTATGTAAAATAAACATCGTAATATATGTATGTATGTACTTTAGTTAGTAGTCCATTGCTAACACCCCCTATGTCCCCTATGTCCGCAAGATTCTACCCAGTTTAGTCACGTCAAAATAACAATTTACTCATTCTGATAAGCAGTCGCTGTTTTGATCGTCCACGCGCTAGTAATTATTTTATACATGAATCAGGAAAGTCACGTACACAAGTTCATAATATGCACGTCGCCTTTGTCCCTAATCCCAGTCTACCATTAAACGTTCCTAGTACGTCCTATTTCTAGAACTGTAGGTCCGAAAGACGTTTCATTATACGTTCCAGGTACCTTCTAGGTACGTTCTAGTATAATGGTTTTGTCGCCCGATATTACGTACCTGGAACGTTCTCTACAAGTCTTACAAACCGTAAATAGACGTACTGCGTACGTATAATGACCGTTAAAATTATGAATGGTGGTGGCGCTCTTCCCAACAAATACTACAGTTTTCAACTCAAAACTAATTTTCAAATTTTATTTATATCCAAAAAAAGTCAACAAAATTAGTAGTATTATAAAAGTGGATTTAACTGTCCGTCGGACTTGAGTTCCTCACGGCGTGATTTGATCATCATTTTCATCTAACAAAAATTAGAATTATTGTAATTAAACCGAAACCATAAAATACTAAATTAAAGAAGCATTTTAATTACTTTCTTTTTTTCAAGGCGGGAAGGAGCTTTCTTCAACCAGTATTTGATGGCATCTTCTATATCCTTTCCTTTTGCTTCCGAAATAATTGATCGTACAGCACCTAAAATATATATAACATGAGTTACAGCAGTGCATTAATTTAGATTTAAGATTTTATTAAAAGAGGGAACCTACGAATAACACTTGAAAGCAAAAACGGAAGATCACAAAATGCCCTCTTTCCTTTCTTGCCAACAAAGCTGTACTTCGCCATTAGCTCGTCGGTCATTAGGCAAGTTAACACCCGGTGCGTAGCCTCAGTAAGCCTTTCACCACCAACACTAGCAAGTTCAAAAACCTACACAAAATTTGATTTATTTTGTAGGAGTTGTTTAATACTTTCTATATATGGTTTAATTTATTTTCTTACCAATCCTGTCATCTTATCATTCACCGTAACAGCTCGGGAACCATCGGACGGCTTGGACTTTTTCTCTCCCAATTTCAGCTCACTTTCCAAACCGACGAGCTCATCCCCATCAGAAATAGGCAGGTCAAATAGCGCACTTTCAATAACGGCTCTATGATTTTGATTGGCCTGTCGATTCATCAAAATTTGCATCGAATCTTGTAGATTAGCGACAGCCGCAACGAGCAGGTCCAGTTTATTGATGACTGAGTTTTCAAACGCTGAAAAATATAAATTATTCTATACATAATGCATACTTCTAAATGAATAATTATAATAATTATCTATTATAAAGTGTACGTCAGATTTCTTGCACTTACCTGATTCTCTAAAATTGCGTGTTTGAATTTTCTCGGGTCTGCTAGCTGGTGTCCTTGAAGGTTGAATAGAAGGAGGCGTCGTCGGGATATTCACAATCTTTTCCCCTGTGAGTGTCGCAACGGCTGAAGAAGTGCCCGCCCCACCTAATCATACACATATTAGTTAGGTTAAAAATTTTAACACTCAAGTGGTAATATATTTTGTACCCATCGATTGGCTATTGAAATTATTTTATCCGAACGCTGACTCCAATGTGACCTTCATATACAATTGGCCCTCAATTAAAAATAGACTATGTACACTCGGTGGAACTGCTGATCATCCTCACCTAGTGCGCTCGGTTCCAATGGTCACCGAAAGGGGGACGGCCGACCAATACCAATCAAAATGGCATGAAATGTGCAGAAATATGTTATCAATCAGTCTATTCATCAAAAACTTGTAGAAAGTTATCTAGATGCATTTTATACGACATTAACATGGAGAAATTCATAAACGGGCTCGCAACTACTGCTCATCCGCTTAAAGCAAATTCCATTTATTTTTAGATTTACCAACTTAATTTTACAATTAGTAGTTTGTGTGACCACCCTTGGCCATCAGGACTGCATTGACTCGATTTGGCATCGATTCCACTAATTTCGCTGTTGTTTCCTTCTGGATGTTGTTCCATTCTTCGTCCACAATTGAAATTAAATTTGTTCTGGAAGTCGGGTTCCTTTCAGCAACTTTTTTCTTCAAAATTGACCATAAATGTTCAATTGGATTTAAATCCGGGCTCTGTGGCGGCCATTTCATTACGTTTACCCGTTTTGTTTGCAGCCAATTCGTGACCAATTTGGACGTATGTTTGGGGTCCCCGTCTTGTTGGAAGACAAAATTCTTCCCTAGTCGCAGGCTGTTCCGAGATTTCATCAAATTTCGGTCCAAAATCCCTTGGTACACTTCTTTCGTCATAATTCCTTCAATTACTTCCATGGTTCCCACGCCTTTCCACGACATTGCACCCCAAACCATAATGGACCCCCCACCATGCTTCACGGTCTTCTTGGTACAGTTACTCTTGACTCGTTCTCCTGGTTTTCTCCAGACAAAAACTTTGCCATCTGATCCAAATATGTTTATTTTGGTTTCGTCACTCCAAATAACTTTTTTCCAATCGGATACGGACCACGTGGAGTGACTCTTCGCCCAATCCAAACGCTTCTTAATTTGGGGCTTTGTCAGCAGTGGCTTTTTGGTTGCGACTCGGCCTTTAAACCCCATATTTCGGATCCGATTTCGAATAGTGGAATCAGAAATCTTCGTACCAAACTGCTGAGCCAATTTCACATTGATTTTTCGGGCAGATAAGAAGCGATTGGAATTTGCTTTCTTCTGGATAAGTCGGTCGACTCGAGGAGTGGTAACACGACGGCGGCTATTTCCCTTCAAATCAGTAATTGTATGGTATTTCTTCCATTTCGACAGCATGGATTTGATGGTGGGAATCTTCACTTTCGTCTTGTTGCTGATTGCTGTAGGTTTCAATCCTCTCTCGTGGTAACTTATCACCAATTTCCTAATGTCGTGCGACAAGTGTTTTCCAGGCATTTTCAGCTCTGAAAAACCAAAATGACAATGAATAAAATGGTCTTCATTACTTGAATTAATAGTAATCAAGATGCACTTACCCGCATAAAAAAATGATAAATCAAGAAAATTGTTTCCACTCGAAAATTGTGTTTTTGTTGTGGCGGATGAAGACTAGTTGCGAGCCCGCTTGTGTCTTACTCTATGCTCATTCCGTGTAAAATGAGTGCAGTTAACTTTTTGGAAGTTTTTGCTTAATTGACTGATTTAGTACATATTTCTGCACGTCTGATGCTTTTTTGACATATATTGGTCGGCTATGCCCCTTTCGGTGACCATTGGAACCGAGCGCACTAGGTGAGGATGATCAGCAGTTCCACTCAGTGTATATAGCAAAATAATAAAGTACCAATCCTAATTTCGGGTAATCCAAGATCCACATCCCTAATTTTTGCACCTCCACTTGCTGAATTACTCTCCGATATTCGGGCGAACCGCTCGCCTACCTCGTGGGGGCGCCTCGTCCTCGGTGGTCGTGACCTTCCCTCTCTCCAACCGATTCAATTTCTTTTGGGCCTCGTCATAAGTATCTGAAAAATTAATTGAATTAGTCAAGTCTGATCTCCTCTGATCACATTCTGTAGAATTTTACGTCATACTACGGACGAAAACTATACTTACCATAACTCTTCTCAATTTTAATGGCATACAACGACCACGTGGTGGGATTAGGATTTTCACCGTGGATTATTGATTTCTTCAATTTTTGTGAATTTTTCCAATAGGAAGGCCAATAGGTGTAAAGCGTATTTTCAATATTTTTTATCCAAGACTTTCTCACAGTTCCAACAGTCTTGTCGTGTTCAAATTCCACAACGACAAAACTCGACGAATTTGATTCCTCAGAGGATGACATTTTGTTGTCAAATTAATTAATGAAGGAGAGGAAAGAGAACAAAATTTCCAGTATATGGGAGTAGAACACACTTGCGAAGAATTGAGTGTGTAGGAAAGTCCCTCGTTGCCGATGAAAGAGTAACAGTCCGCGTTCCCACTATGTTTGAATCTTCCGGGGTATTGTAAAAAGGTTCTGTTCCTCGTAACACTTTACCCTTGCAATACACCTCACCGTTATTGTTTAGAGAAAATGATAGGATTTGTATGATTTCTCACGATTTTAACTCACATACATTATTCCCTATTGTCAGTTTTAATGTAAACTTGTCACTGTAAAGTTCTGTTTTAGAATTATTTAAAATTTCTCGATGATTAAATGAAACTGCGGGACGTATAATATTATTTCTCTCCGTTATTCTGTTGTAGGCTTGTTCAAGTGCTCTATTTTTTCCTTTCAGTAGAGATGTTACGTAACCCAAATGGTCTTCAAATTTAAAAGCACTAAATTTATCAAGTGGTCCTAGCCGGAGGGAATCTTCAGCCAGGTGAACGAGTCCGTGAACGTTGTAGGATAAATTTTCTTCGCCGTACAATTTACCAAAATTGCTCACAAATGCTACAAGTAATGAAGATGCGTACGAGTTTAAATTTTTGTAATTAATTTTGCAACATAAAATTCTAATTGCGAGGTGGAGACATATAAAATGATCATAGTATTTTTGTGGCAGAACGAGCTTTAATGCGATGGGGCCTGAATATAGTAGAAATTGCCTCAATTCGGTTGCTTTCCACCTTCTAATTTCTTCAATGGGACGAGGTTTTCTGGCGAATTCACATGGAATAAAGGGCTTCAAAATAATTAAATTTCTAGTAATTTGTAGTTTTTCACGGCATGAAAGGCGGAACTTGTTTATATTCCCACTCATCCACAATAAAATCAACTTTTTCACTACACCAATGCAAACCAGATGCATATATTCGAAGGGCGTTTGTTTGACAAGGTCGAAATTAAGCTTTTCAAGTTCACTTGGGGCATGGTGGTGATCTTCATCTAGTTTATCTCGGAAACTTTGATCCGTCCTAAGGGAACAATTAACTTGTGGAAATGTAACTCTGTTTTTTATGTATTCACCTTCTTGAGTACATTTACCACAGCCAAAATATGCTGAATGTCCTTTGATGTTTAGGATAAATGCACGAGCCGGTGCATCACAGATGAAGGAATCGATATTAATTTTAAACTTTTTATTATTAATATTTACTCCATTGTCACATAATGTTTTAAGTTCTGTGACAAATCTTTGAAGAAAATCCGAAGATAATTTTGGTTTTTCATTCCCCTCATAAATGCCAATCTCAATAATTTTATCAAATTCTAAAATATAGCACAAAATTGGCCAGAACTGTTTCCCTGAACTTTTGGATATAGGAACTCCGTCAATGCTGAATTGAAGATTTAATTCATCTACATCTACATTTAATGGCAAAACGTTTTTAATTTGATTTAAGAGTCCAAAATGACAATACCGTCCTGGTGTAACTTCATATAAGGGTATTATCCGAGGAGTTTTTACAAGTGATCGAGCGTCTAATGGTAAGGTGGAGAAACAATCGTGTTTTTTAAGGATTGTAAGAAGTTTTGAGACAGAGGAGTGGGGAATTTTATCGTCAACACACCACTTTTTTAAATCACTAACGATTGAAGGAATATCTTGATTTATTTGCACATTAATGGATGTTGTTGGTTCTTTTTTTGCACTGTAATTAAAATAATACTTTGTTAGGCTGGAGTTTGGAAAGTTGTAAATACTTGAGTATTCGCCACCATAACCAGTTTCTTTCACATTGGCAATTCTTGGACTATGTGATAAAGTATTATTCAATAGACTAAACGTGTTAACTAGTCGAGCCTGTGTTGCTCTTTGAATTTTTCTTTTTAAAGATTTTCTTTTAATCATTTTCGCTATAAAAATTCACAAACTGATATTAAAGCTGGCTCCCAAACGAGCGCACGATTTAACGCTCGTCTGATGAGCACCTTTCAGGTACGTTCCGGTAAGGTCTTATTTCCTTGTTATTTTTTTGGTTCTTGTAAGCGTATCCAGAACGTACCCGTTTGGTACTTTTGGTCTAGGACCAATTTGGGACTTTTGACCCCCAAACCGGAATAACCGGAATAACCCCAAACCTAAATGTACCCAGTACATTTAGGTTTCGTGGGATCAAGTTCGACAATAACAAGTTATTCACCGCTTTGAAGGGGAATGATTAGATAACAACAAGTGTATCGTTTGGGCAGAAGGGGTCAAACATATGCATTTACAGGATCGTGGTCCAAAAAAATTCTGACATATCATCATGACACGGTTGAATTTTATTTAACACTACAATGCAACATTTAAGGGTGGTGTTTCGTTTGTTAAAACTTGTTCATTTTTATGAATCCCAGCCTTAGTAATTATGAAGGTTTGGCAGGCAATGATTAATTAATATATTATCAAGTATCATCTCTAGTTAATTAAGTAAGACCTTTACCGTCAAGGGTATGGCGAAGCACCACTGGTAAATAACTATAAATTACTGTGACAATGGAAATTTTGCTTGGTTCAGATATTTCATCTGTATTATACAGTTTTAATCAATAGTTTCGTATTTTTTTTAATTATTGTATTTTTTTGTTAAAAAAATGACGCTTTATCAAAACCACAACTTTAAATCAGAAAAACGGATACTGATGCTGACACAATATGTATGTACTATAAATGCGACAGTAAAAATAAATTGTTGGACAGGATCATGTGTAAATAAATAATTGGATCAATTATGTAATTGCAGATACATTTTTATTTTTCGGAAATCCAATCAAACGAGGGTGGTTACTACATACTAAATTAATCACGTTCAATTAGCCCATTAGCCACAAATTACACAAGCAATTACCTAAAACCCTTGCGGACGTCCGATTCTATACTCCCCATTTGCCAACATCCCCTCGTACAAAATACTGTCTCCTACTACTTGAAACATCTTCCACTTGGTCTCTAAATCTCCATCGAGTTCTTCGAAATACGTGTTAATCAGACTCTGAAACTTGGCCAGACTCTTACTTCCTGCAGGATTGTTGAACTGGACAAAGTCCATGTATGGATGATTGGTCACGTTTCGGGCCAACTTGTTCACCTCAGTACCAATCCTATTCCACAGAAAATAAGACGGATACACGGCAGCAAGTCCTTCTGCGATTGAGGCGTGGTGAGACTTGGAAATTATGTGGTCCAAATAGGCTGCAGTAATTCAAAAATCATAAAAAAATAATAATAAAGCTTGCAAGTTTTGACAATATTGGGATTTTTTAATTTTTCAAAATTTTTTCGTAAAGACCATTTTTTGAAAATTATGTGGATAATTTAGAAATTGCACTTTTTCCACAAAAATATTTACCTTTCGTATATTCTTCGGCAAAATAGGGCCTCGGGATGTCATATTTTTCATACACTCGGTCAAAATATGAATCTACGTAGCCCGAGTCCTTATGAAGTCGCTGTTTCAGCTCCTTGTCCGTCTCCTTCCTCTCCATGTAAGCCATCGCGCCGTAAAATCCTTTCATCCAATTATCACCTTGCTGTACCATAACGGCAAACCGATCCAGAGGCAATGTCCCACCTACAATTTCTCGAAATAAGGCATGATTTACAACACCCGCCTGCGCGTCGGGGGTAACATGAAGGTCCACCAGATCTGTAAATGTTGGAACGGGATCAAACGCTGGTTCCAGCGCTAAAACGGTTTCAGCAAACTTAAACTGATAATAAACGCTTCTCGTGTACGCATGTAACATCGCTCGTTTCGTTTTAGTATCATTTCCCAATCGGTCGTAGTATCCATTCTAAATCCATTTGGTAAATTCTTCGGTGGATGCGTTGAAGGTGGAAATTCGAGAGATAAATTCGAAATAGGGATGATCCAGATGGTGTGGTAAATCTGCAATAGTAGCGACACGTACTCCCATACGGGTCCAGATATCGTAGGCGGGATACATCGTGGCAAGAGCGACACCTATATCCGCATGTGTTGCAGCGGTCAGTTCAAAAACAGCGTACTCTGAAGTAAGAATTAATTAATTGCATTACGCCATAATAATTATTACCCAAAATTTCTATAAAAAATTTTGTTTGTTACCCAAAATTGTGGGGACCATATGGACCCCTTTGGAGAAGTTGAACTTGACGTAAAATTTGTCAAAAAATTGTTGCATATTTCCATCCGCTACGCTCTGAATATATTTCTTCCTCTCAAGATCTATTTCCCGCTTGGCTAAAATTCCAAACTCGTGGAAAAAGTTGTCAACGTACAGGTTGTCTTGTTGGATGAGGGCCTTGAAGGTTTTTAGGGGTAGGGTCCCTTCAGCCATAGCGGTGTAAAGGGGATGGTTGATGGTCGCATTTTTGAAATATTCTGCAATTTGAATTCTCTCCACCATTCGGTTGAATGGAAGGGAATCAGAGATTTTGTAGGTGAGAGTGGAATATGTGAGTGCAAAGAGTACGAGAAGTATGGAAAGACGCGATGGCGTCATGTCGAATATTTCTAAGGAAACGTGAGATTTCTGAGATACTTGTTGTCTTCCCGTGCTATGCTACTCAAGTGGACGAAGTCTTGGTTTATATTCACAATTTCAACCTGATAACGATAAAATTTTATGAACTCCCGTCGAGCCTATCGTATCGTATTTCTGAGTATGATTTTCAATTGTATGTACATACGTAGCTTTACATGTACCAAAAATAATTATGTACGACACTCTTGCTAACACTTGGTAATTTCTGGGAAATTCAGACAAGTTCTTACTAAGTCAGTAAATATATAATGATTACGACGAGAAAAGCAATGAAATGTACCCAAAAATTTTTAATTCGCAATTGGAGATAAATTAGTTTCGATGAAATTTAATTTGAAGAACCATTTCACTTTGTCAATTCAAAGTAATCAGAGTTGAGCCAAGAGATAACCCAGCTATGGTTTGGTAGACTTGCTTTAATTGAAGGAGTAAATATAATTTGCCAATAAATTCAACCAAGTAAACAGCATGATTTAACTGATCAAAATTTGCACATCATTCCAGCTAACTACGTATATATATGCACTAACCGTTGACCTTCATAAATAGTAGTTGCTTCAATGAAAGTATGTAAAAATTTGACATGAGCTTGTCTTGTAATGATCACGATATTGGCTAGATTTTACTTTATTAGAAGAACGGGTCCAAGTATTTCCTGCTTATGTGGGGTGTTCAGAATGTACAAGGATAAAGTTTAGGTTTATGCTTAATTTCTTCTCGTTTTGTGTATTTATGCTAAGTTTGTTATTTTACATAATTGACCATCATTTATTTGTCTTATTTTATCTTATGGACCATTTAATGCTAATCTAATCTTAAGTTGCTGAGCAGAGTGAACCTTTTCTATGTATTCTAATTAAGCCTTTTCCAAGAATTCCACTACAAGTTCATGTACCTTTTCATTTAGCGTCAGTGCTCGCCTATAAAACGGGTCTCTTTTCTACACTCGCTGTCATTCTTTTTCCAATTTTTGCCTTTTGCAATCAAGTCATGGTCACTCTAAATTTCAAGTCTTAAATTCCCCATTTTACATTGACTTATTAAAAATATTACTTCGACCTAAACAATTTTGCTTTGTCTCGACCTGCCTCATTTCTCATCATCCAACACAAGCACTACGATAAGATCACTCACATACCCATCCTTCTGGGACACATCTTCCCCAGAACATGGGGTTTGGCCATTTCATTTTTTTGTATATTGTGACTTGATATTGCGTGCGAATTAATAAATAATACTTAATAATAATAATGATAATTATTGATATTTTCGACATACATGCGTATTGTATTGTACTCAAAATTAGTTTTGCGATTTTATTGTTTCACACTTCCCCAGTAAATCTCTTTCTTATGAGCACACGCCTCTTGAACAGAGACTGTTGCTCGGATTAAATATATAATTTGCCGGACATGTGTACAAATAGGAATACATTTTCCCAAAAATCGTGATACACCTGATATATTGTGAACAATTTAGTGGATAATGAAATATCCCGTCAGCTTCGCAAACAAATCCAGGAATTGGAGTGGTCGTGCTCCTTAACGTGGTCGAGGTGAGGGGTGCCAACGTAGTCGTGGTAGTTGGTAGGTCAGCCAAGGTCACACATTTCCCCAGGAAGCATATCTATCAATTTACAATTTTTTTACAACGGTGTCTCATTTACCGTTCAATTAACTTTATAAACTCACCGTCCCCGCGTCAGCTTCACCGCAAGATGCGCCATCTGGCGCGGGTTGAAAGTTAGTACCGCTCCAAGTACACGTGTACGCTTCATCAGGCTCTGGACAAGGTCCGGGCCATCGGCATTGCATACTGGCACACATATCATTCGCAACTTTGACCGTAGCATCGGGTCCGTACGTAAGAACGCAGTACATTTCTATGCTAAAAATGTCTCCCGGGTTTTTGTCCGGAACGGGAAGAGGATCCCCGACAGCGTTATTTACAAATAGGCACGATCCTTCCTCCGAATCGATATAACTTCGCATGGCATCCTTACTACACTCGCTAAATTTGAAGCGATTCTCGTCCATTCCGCCGGAAGTGTGCATGATATAACCGTCCGATAGAGGGCAAGCGGCCGAGGTGCTGTCACCATCATGGGGCGAACCGAGGCTGATTAAGAATACGACAAATTTGCCATTTAAACCGACTAATTCATTAAATAGCCTAAGATCTAAGGTAACACGTGATTTTATGTAGATTTTAGGTCTTAATCCCCATAGCACTACTTACTTGTGTCCCATTTCATGCGCCAAAATCCTGACCCCGTCGAAAGTCCTTCTCCTGTCTCGGTTTATTGTTGCCTTCCAACCGTCGCTGCATGTCCCACCGAGCCACGCAACTCCACCGATGGATCCAAAATTCTCTGTACTCATTAATGCTGCAGAATCATAGGCGACATAATTGGCAGCATTTGTGGTCATATAAGTACCTGATATTGTAAATTATGTAAGTAAGTTTAGATGATGAATTAATTTTTATCTCAAAATCATTTACTATAAAATTCACGAGAAAAATTCTTAAACCTTATGGTTAAAATTGCACTATGATTTTTACAATTTCAAAATTAATTTGCTTACTAAATTCTCTCAAAATCCCATGAATGTCGAAACTTCCATCAAAGTTGTTATAGTTTTCCACGAAAGGTTGGACATCTCGAGACTAAAATATATACATATCGTGGTACTAATTCAGAAAAAAAATAAATGCCGTCCATGCTTAATTCAGAAAAGAGCTAAGTGCGGTCGATGCTTTATCCAGAAAAGAGTTATGCTATTCTTATACCTTTAGCTCTTTTCTGAATTAAGCATTTTTCTGGATCAGTATGACAATATGTATCTTTGATAAATCAAATTTCCCCGGATTCTCAATACCAAAAATCTCACCTCCAACACATAAATCCCCACCAATTGAAAAGTAATATTTGGATCCACATTTGTCGCAAACAGATTGTTCACGCCCTTAACGAAAACCGCATAATATTCCGTAATCGTGCCAATCTCGCCGTTAAAAAGGGTGAAAATTGAAAAATCTATGACCAAAACGAGCTCAACGACAGCCACGGTTTGGATCCCGATTGTCCTTGTGTTCAAATTCGATTGGTTCAACCAATTTTGTGCATCTCCGGGAATATTTACTAAAAAAAATGCATATAATTTTTCATTTCGGGATAATTTATTTATTATATACAATTAAGTAATAAAAATTGCTACCATAATCGGCATTTGTATCCACAAAGGCAGAAATTTCTCCAATTTCATGCACACCGTCGTTATCATGGCTTATCGTCCTTCCATTCACCATACCGCGCTGGATGAGATGGTAATAAAAAATGGTAATAAACATATGGTATTAAATTACATATGATTAAATTTGTGCTGGTCGTAGGAATAAATAACTCATTGCAATGAGATATGCTTCCAAATTATGCAGGAATGTTAAAATTATTGCACACAATTTTAAAAATATGCAATAATTTGAATCGTGTGCATTTTGGAATTTTGTCAAAATTTATAAAATTTTACTATTTTTGAAAACATATTTTAAAACGCTTAAAATTCTTTTAAAAAATTTTAAAAGAATTGCGTAGAAAATAGTGTACCAAAGAATTCCCATCCGGATTAATTTTAACGACCGTATTCTGTTTGGCATCTTGAAGAATCGAGTTCTCCAATTCATCTAAAGCATCTTTACGGGGTGTAACATCCTCGTAAATGTCACCCCCTGCATCGTCACGTCCTCGGATTGAGACAATTTTAAAGTTTTCATGAAAAACTGGCACAGCTTTTAAAATTAAGAAAAAACAATGATTACGCAAAAAGTTAAAGAAAACCTCAATGAGTGGAAACTTGAGTATTTTACCAGATTTTTGTAAATTGATATGAATCGCACTTTCTCCTTGGGGATGAATCCTAACAAAGAAGTCGTCTCAATTCCTCACCTTCAAAATATCCAGTTTTGCCTTACTTGAGTGCGTTGTGGAAATTATGGTAGAAAATATGGCCACCAGAAACAAATTCATTTTCTGAAAATTGCGAATTTAAAAACTGGTCTATATGCAGTTAAGGTTGTAATTGGAAATGTGTCCACAAAGTGATATGTATGTATGGACAGGTTTTTAATAAATGTTGGCTAGTCTATGTAGTCCGTGACGCAAGTTGGAGTTTACACGAGTTTAATTTGCTGGCAATAAAATTTGATAAATTAATTTATTAAAGATACCGCATGCAAAAATTTTAATTGTGCTTTAAAGCAGTCGACATTTTTTTTAGATTAAATATTAATTTAGTTGCTACTACTGACTACAAGAATTCGTTGATGCGCTATATTGCTTACCATAAAAAATGACATATCTCTTTGCTTTGCGAAACTATTTTTATTTTTGTCTGTCGATTGTGATATATTTATCAGCCGAAAAATGTTTCATGAAGAAAAGCATGGTGTTGAATTTTACGATGTCTTTTAATACGCCAAGGTGACCAGATAGTCAGGAATTAGAGCAATATTTAATCCTTAATCTTGCATGCAAGTAATTATTATTGCAAGGTTACCCTGCTCTGGACAAAACGTATATATGTACATATATAAGTAGACAATCAAGTAATGTACTTTAATTTAATAAACGTACTTGTGTTATAATTTATTTACACGTGCACCCTGAGGATACATGCACAACATGAACCTAACCTACATACATGTATAATTTTGTAGAATAGCGTCTTATCAACACAGGGAATAATCTAGACTTTATTATTTACCAACTAAAAGACAAGAAGGTTGATTAATGACCAGGCATGCTAAGCACATTTGGGTCAATAAGGTGATAAATAATCGTAAAGCTTGGATGACATTATGTACATACATATGCTGAATCTTTATTCGAATTTTCTTCACAATAATTTTGTTCCTTGATTAAATTGATTTAAAACTATTTTGACTACGCATTTCCATCATTGTCTTGCTTGAATCCCCTCAATTTCCAATCATAACTTCAAAACAACGACTAATATGATATCTTCCGGTGGCATCTTGCAGAATTACACGCATGTCTCCAGCCATCTATAAAAAAACAAATAATTAATTAATATCTTAATCTCTATAAATAAAATTTCCTAGCAATTTACCCCTCTCAACGCGGCAGGAATCGTGTCTTGTCTACCCACTTTGTACTGACTCCCTGCAAGGAATGCGTCCGTAAGGGGAACGGTTACAAAGGAGTATGAAATTACCCCAGGGGACGAAAAGCTGAGGTAATAATTCATCGTGTTTGTTGTGTAATCTGGATAAAAAATGAGGATACCAGAAAATATTACTTGTTTATCATTGATGAGAATTTTGAAAATAATTAAATTTAATTATTTTTTTCCAAGTACCTTAGTAAGTTGTGTGACCACCCGCATTAGCCATCATTTGGTCCACCCTCGTCTTGAAACTTTGGGCGAGGTTTTGTAAAAGCGAAACCGGAAGTGAATTTCAAGTTTCCTCGAATCGACCCTGTAATTCCTGTCTTGTTTTAGGATGAGCCTCGTCATATGCAGCCTCCTTTAGTATACCCATTTAGGTTCTCAAGCGGGTTGAGGTTGGGGAGTTTGCTGGCCACACCCCCATTCTGCAGACGGTTGAAAATGCCTCCTCCAGTATCTTCATACTTGACTTTGCAGTGTGTGGTGGGGCATCATCTTAACGAAAAACAATATTTTTTCTGCTGCTGAAGATTCCACTATCCATAGGCTCCACGTAAACGGGAACAATATTGTTCTGATAGTAGGCAGCATTAACTAATTGATCCTGGTGTATGAATGCAGCTTTGAGACACCACATGTGCAGAACCCACGCGTTACCATGATTTTGAGGTCGTGTTTTGGCTTCATGATGAGAGCTACATCCTTCTTTTCTTCGGCCCTGTAACTCCTATTCTGAGAGTGACCTTGACCGTGTAGTTCGATCCAGCTTTAGTCTGTGAAGCGGATGTTCGCCCCCAGTTTTTCCCTGGTGTTAAAAATGCACTTTTCGCGACAATTTCTTCGAATTTGACTCGATCCTCGATATTTTTTTTGCACAAAATTGTTTTCCTGGGACTCCTGAAGACCTTCCCACCCCATGATGTCGTTTTTAGGTAACGGTCAACGGTGCTTCTTGAAATTTGCTGGCCTTTCTTGATTTACCGTGGAGTGAAGTTTAGTATGCGTGCAGTTTTCCTAACAGAACTTCCAAATTTCGATGCATTTTTGACTTTATCTGTCATTTTGCTGTTGGGAGGAGCACGTTTGACCTTCTAGATTTTGGTTTGTCAGTAAAAAAATTTTTGTTCTTCCATAATCTAACCGTATTTGGAGACAGTTTTAATTTTTCACAAATTTGTTTTACAGGATATCCACCTTTTGATAATGTGTGTATCCTCAGCCGTGTGTGCTGACGAGATTGCTTGACGTTTGGGGTCATTGTGTAAACAAAAAATTTACGAAAAAAAAATTAACACAAAAGATATAAACGAAAAACCACGCGCGCGAGTGATAGGGAGATACATTTGGGACACGCTCTACTTACTGGCCGATGGATATTTGTAACACGCACAAGATGGATCCTTTCCGTGTTAAAAATATCCACCGGCCAGTAAGTAGTTAGGTTATTACTTAATTAACTATCGACTGCATTTAGGTCTTTTCTTAATTAACTATCGACTGTACTTAGGTCTTTTATGAATTAGTACGACGATATGTCGTATATTAGTCTTCCAAAATGCATGGTTCGGAAAACGTCGGGTTTTTCCGCGGTTTTTAGGGTTTTGGGTTTTTGTGGGTTTTTCTAAGATTTTGGGATTGGTTTAAACGGACTTCCTCAAATTACGAATTAGATCAAAACCAGTCCCAAATTTTGATTCAGCATGAAATTCTGTGCATTTTCATATGTGACTTGGACTTTTAAGTCAAACCTTGAGGCTTAACATGGTTTACATAAATATACAAACCATGTGAAATTTTAAACCATGTGTTTCAATGAAAAATCCAATTTGCACTATGAATTTTAAAAAAGGCTCAAATTTAACCCACCACTAATTTGGCTGAAAGTTACCACTTAATTTATTGGGACCTTCCACTGGCTGAACTTTCCACTATCTATGATTTTTCAGCCACCTCTTTAAAAAAGTAAATTCTATATGCAAATTAAGAAGGGCGAGAATTGATAAAAATTTCCCTAATCCAAATCTGGTTGGAAAATATGTTATCAACAAATGTGATCATATTGTGGAAACTTGTCCTGCCCTTTGTAAAAATCCAGTCAACAGTTGGGCGTTTGTGTGTACCTCATGACTTATGTATGCTGAAAATGATGAAAAATCATTGTCAGCATGCTTTTGTGGCTAATGTGCGAATGATGCCTCTTTTAACAGCCATTATTGCTGCACTGTACATATGTCATACATACATAGCTTGTAAATGTCTGTATATAATTACAATAAATGCTAATGGGTGGAAATTGTCAGAAGAACTGGATCACACAAACAACTTGGATTATGTATGTATGCAGATACTTTCAATTCTGGACCTGAGTACTCATTAATTTTGTTAAATGATGTATTATGCAAATGTTGAATGAATTTGTGCCACTTTTGTTTAGATTTGGTAGCATATAAATATTTAAAAAATTCCCTATGTTTCATTATGTTACTTATGTTGTGTTATGTACATAACAAGACAATTATTGTGAGAGTAATTACTGAGATTGGGCTGTCTGTCCAACTGCGTCATTACTTGGTTAGGGTATTACTTTTATCTGTACGTATAAGGATCTGCTTTTGAGTATAAATATGCAAATTATTAGCAATTATAAAATACTTATGCATGCCTTTCTCCAACCCCTAAATCATGGGAAATCTCACTGCGCCAGCTCATGCCTGTACTTACATATGTAGCTAATACCCAAATGTGTGCACCTATCTACATAATATGTCGATTAACAAATATTTCTCAGGTATTGAATAAATCTTGTTTGTATATACATAGTCATACAATATGTTCTGTCCAACGATAAAAGTTGAGCGATCACTGAAAAACTGCTTATATCACAAGAAAGCCAATTAAATTCTGTGCAAAATATGCCTATCAACTTTTCCTTTGAGGTTGCGTAGTCTCTACACCAGCCTTCGATTTAGGTATGCATTTCATGCTTGTGGTACGCGTGAAATTTAGAGAATACGCATCCAATTTCTTCGTAAGGGAATTTTTTTTAGATAACCAAAACTTTTATACATACCACAAGCATGAAATGCATACCTAAATCGAAGGCTGGTGTAGAGACTACGCAACCTCAAAGGAAAAGTTGATAGGCATATTTTGCACAGAATTTAATTGGCTTTCTTGTGATATAAGCAGTTTTTCAGTACTCGCTCAACTTTGTCTGCTATTGCCGTTTGATCGTTGGACAGAACATATTGTAAGACTATGTAGTAAATAAAAATGCGAAACAGCAAAATCTTGACCTGCGCAGTTTCAATAAAAACTTGCATGACAACTAGTTTGCCATTCAAGTCTACAAGTGTGCAATGCAATGCAATGGCAGATGCACATTCGCTTTTGTAAAATTTTAAACCTATGTGCATTTGCCATACTTAAGATTAATCGTGATCACCTTGCACGTACAGAAATATCCACAGCATTTCTACTAAATTACACTAAATTCGGATATTTCTCCAAATTCACTACTTTTTTCCAAATTTTAATCTTCACCATGTCAATCACGGATATCCTCTACATTGCAATATTTCTCATCCTCTTCTCTACCTCATATTTTGTCTACTTTACAATTAAAGAATTGCTATTTTTCCGATCCAAAAAAGTCTTCTATTTAGGCAACGCTTTCGCCAAGGCCGTGTACTATTTAACCCTTAAGAAAATCGGGATGTATCATCTTTTCCAGGTAAATTACGACAAAATGAAACATGCTGGAGTCCACGTGGCCGGAAATATAGATTTTGGCACGGTACATTACACCGTCACAGATTTGGAACTTTTAAAACACATCATGGTTAAAGATTTCGACCACTTTGTTAACCGCCGACCTCTTCAAGTGCTAAATAATGACGTCGTGTTTAAGAAGATGATCGCATTTCGACAGAGCGAACAGTGGCGGGCACTCCGCTCAAAATTGAGCCCGACCTTTTCTTCGGGAAAAATTAAGAAGGTTATTCCCATTTTTAAAGAAAGTTGGAAAAAGTTAGTGAAATATATCGACCAATGGTCGTCTCCCGATGGAGAAATCGACCTGGTCGAATGCTTCTCAAAATTTACTTTGGATACGATCACTTCCGCCATTTGTGGCATGAATTCACACGCATTGGCTCAAAGGGAACTCTCAAGTTTTGAGCTGATTGGGAAAAAATTCTCAATTACGTTTGGTACTAAGGTTATGATAAAGTTTGCAATAGTTTATTATTTTCCCAAGTTTGCGGGGTGGATGGGGTTCTCGGTGTCGGAATCGGCTGAATTTCACAAATTTTGCAGTGATGGGATAAAAACCGAGATTAAAAGTCGGGAGAAAACGGGGAGAAAAAGGGATGACTTTATTGAGTGGATGTTGGAGGCGAGGAAGAGTTGGGATGATGGCAAAGGTGTAGCGGCGACGGATACTAGCGATCTTTTAGACGATGATGGGATAGTGTCGAATTGCGAAATTTTTATTCTCGGTGGATCCGAAACTACGCAAACTTTGCTGATCTTTTGTGCGTATGCTATTGCAATTCATCCCGAGGTGCAAGGCAGGCTGAGAAAAGAGGTGGACGGGGCGTGGGAGGAAAATGGAGGTGATTTTACGTATGATTCTATCCAAAGGATGAAGTACTTGGACATGGTGATTAATGGTAAATAGAGTTAGCATTACATATTGATTTGTTTTGTTTTTAATGTTGAATTTAATAATGAATTAAACAGATGGAAGACATTTTTTAGCTTTTGTTTTGTCCCATTGTTTACACATAATTAACAAAAACGTAACGATTTAGCGACAAAACAAAAATTAACAAAAATTTATTTAGCGACAAAACAAAAATTAACAAAAATTTATAAAATAAATTGACACTAAACATTGTTTAATTGTTTATATATTTTGTTTTCGAAAAAATGTTCTACTTTAGCAATGTAATGTGTATACTTTTCTATCAGAAACATTGCGGTTGTACCCACCATTTGCGAGCACGGATCGTGAATGCGTTTCAGACTACGTGCTGCCTGGGACGAATGTCCTGGTAAGGAAAGGTGACAGCGTGATTGTACCCATCAGTGGAATTCATCACGATGAATGATACTATCCCAACCCTGAAGAATTTGATCCTGAGAGATTCTCGGCGGAAAATTCGGGGGAAAATTCATCCATTTGCCTTCATCCCGTTCGGACAAGGGCCGAGAATTTGTATCGGTATGCTATTTTAGTTATGACATAATTGCCGTGCATACATACAACCACTTGTTAAATATTTTACTAACATGAAGTAATTTATGAATTCAGAATTCGCAAAATATGATTGCACAAATTTCATGTTCCAAATGTTTCGGGATATTTCAAAGCAGTCTTAGCAACTTAATTTGCACACATTGATTATGTGTAATTTTTAATACAGCTTCAATTTGGGAGGATTGTGCTTATTGGCGAAATATTATAAATAAAAACATTTTTAAACATGGAACTTGGTTTTGCTTAAAAAAATTATGAAATTTTGTTAATTTAGTAAAACTTCTGAGGCTATGTTATACTAAATTTGCCACAAATGCAACGGGTGTCACTAGTACTCCCAATTTATAGTGTGCATAATTATTCGTAAATTTACCTAAATAGGTGAATATATTTATCTAACTTATGTATGTATGCATTATTTGCAGGAGTTAGATTTGCATTAACAGAAGTCAAGCTGGTAATTGCTCAACTGGTTCACAATTTTGATATCGAACCCACAAAAAGGACCCTGATTCCGATGCAGTATGAAAATTCGGGATTTCTTAGACCCAAGGATGATATGTGGTTGGCTCTGAAACGAAGGTCGGGTGAACTTTGAGATTATTTTTGTTAAAATATTTACTGTGACAATGTAACTTTCCACTCTGTATCTACATATGTACGTACATGCATATGAAGAATACTACATACATAAGAAATACTGTTACTGAAGTTGTGTATCGATGCAATAAATAATTGAATTTCATCTACTTAATGTGTTTTTTTATTGTGTGTTTGATCACTTCGTCTTGCATTAATTTTTCATACATTGCATGTATATGTAAGTAATTTGTGCTTATGTTTGCATTTGTGTAATATAAAAATATTTATTCTGCTTATGGCTCCATATTTGCATTACTTATTAATTGTCCCTTGTACATGAGCATATATAGGTGAATGTTACGTATCACTATACATTCATAACTCCTTAGAATGAATAAACTGGTTTCTTAAGGGTAAAGTTGAAGTAAATTAAATAGACCCACAATCATACATGTTCACAATTACCACCCGCTTGCACTTGCCTCCAAAGTACAGAAGGACAAGTGAAAAAAATACTGCATCATACATATGTGCATATTTACATGTCTATGTATGTACGCTATATAGATATTGTATTGCACATGTGTACTGTATTTTACAGTAGGCGTCATAAGTCTACATACACATAAAAATTTGTCATATCTTCCAAATTGGTAGACATAGACATTTGAAATTTTGCAGGTTTGTTATTCAGAAAGTTTGAGGAGGAATGCCGGTCCCATTTTCGAAATACCAGAAAAAGGTTAAAGGTCACAATTTTTTCAAAAAAAAGCTCACTTTTCAGCTACCACAAACACTTTTTTCCTTGGTGGTTTTATTTTTATATCAAAAGTAGACGTAATTCTGAAAAGTTTGACATGTCATACACCTCCGTGCGATTTTTTTAACGCCCACAGTGATTTTCTGAAAAGTGCAGTTTTGAAAAGTTATAACATTGCGCTTATGGGACAAAATCTCAAAACTGCACTTTTTACAATATCACTGTGGGCGTCCAAAAAATCGCACAGAGTTCAGCATGTTAAACTGTTCGGAATTACGTCTTCTTTCGATATAAAAATAAAACCACCAACGAAAAAAATTCTTTGTGGTAGCTGAAAAGTGAGCTTTTTTTGAAAAAATTATGACCTTTGACCTTTTTCTGGTATTTCGAACATGGGACCCGCATTCCTCCTCAAACTTTCTAAATAACAAACCTGCAAAATTTCAAATGTCTATATCTACCAATTTGGAAGATATGACAAATTTGTGTGTGTATGTAGACTTATGACGCCTACTGTATGTACCACATCTAAATAACTTGCATACAAGTTGCACTTGTCTCAGTTCGTGCTAACGTTTGAACGTTAAAGCCGTTTCCCACAAAAACATTATTCCAACATATCAACCCAATATTGGGTTGATAATAAATATATATTTATTATCGATTCATCAGTGTAATTACAACAATTAAAAATAATTTAAATCTAACCCAAAGAAAAACATTTATATGAAATATTTGCCAAAATGAGCTTGGGAATATTAATGTCAACTATGGTGATTCTCATTATAATTCTCCCATTCTGTTCTCCGGTAATAATTTTTTTCCTACTTTTAAGAAAATGTGTAGCATTTGCAGCAAAAATATTTAAACGGGGCACGCTCGTCAAAATTGTACCAGGAGGTAGCACTTTATTTGGTAATTTTGTAACTAACTTGTTTTTGAACGTATGTAAATCCTTATTTTCTAATAAATCCACACATTTCAAAGACGGGAACCTCACCTATTCCCGGAAAGCTCTGACAATTATTTCTATCGCGGAAATTGACAGAAATAAAATTGGCATGACAAAACTCAAAAGTGATTTTGAAGAGAAGTTGCTACATAAAAAAATCGGGTCTCACCTTCTCTATGTTGAACTAAGGTGTAAACTCGTGGCCTGGTGGGGGTACTACTTTTGGGAGAAATGTGACAATTTCGATGTGAATGATCACCTCAAATTCTTGCCAGGTTTGTTGTAATAAAATTTAATTCAAAATAAATTTAAATTTGTATTGACAAATTTCAGAATCGGATTTTTCTCTACACGACGTACGAAATCCGGAAGATTGGAACAAATTAATAAACCACGTCACCCATGAACGAATCTGGGCCAAGGACAAACCCCTCTGGGAAATCCTCCTTATGGAAAATGTAACCACGCAGAGGGCGAGTGAACAAACTCTACTAATTTTCCGGTGTAGTCACGTCCTTTGTGATGGGCAGTCGATATTAAATATGACTGGGAATTTATTTCAACCGGAAAAAGTTCATATGGGACAAAATTTTCAGCACAACGTTCTGAACCTTTACTCTCAAACATTGTGGGTTTATTAAAATTTCCATATCAATTGGTCTCCCATGTAAAAAATGTATCTAGTGATGTGACCCAAATCCCGCCACCACGTACGTACGCTACAACACAATCCAAAATTAATAAAAAAGTGGCAAATTTAAATTTTGAGTTTTTTTTAATAGATCAACGGTTGCACGAATTTCCGGAAATTTTCACTAAAACGATGGAATCAATGCCAATGCATGTATTTAAAAAAGTTAAAGATGTCTATCAAGTGGATCACTTATCCCTTCTTCTCGCCGGTGTGGCATTCGCCATAAGACAGACATATCTGTGCCAAGGGCTTAAAGTGGATAAGCAAATCAAGGTCTTGTTCACTCTGCCATTGCCGAATCATTCCACAAAATTATGCAATGATTTGTAAGTCTTGTTACATTTTCTTGTCAGAAACCGAAAATTATGGGTATAACCAAGACAACGCTTTATTTGTATTTGCGACTCGCAAATACTTATATTCATTGTGTGCTAAATAATTTTGCCAAGTGAAAACATTAGTTCTTGCCGAATTTTCAAATTCTGGGAAGAAAAATGCCATTAATATTTCGCACCAACCAAAATTCAAACAAATGCCTATAATTTCGCGAAAGTTTGTGAAATGTTTGTTGTTCGAAGTAACATGCACCACGTTAAAACTTGTTGATCTTAATTTTGCAGCACGTTCGGATCCATCCTACTCCCAATTGGTGAACCTGATTCCGTCCAAAGATTGAAATTGATATCGGACCGAATTCGGGCATATCGTTCAACACATGTCCCCATTTTTGGTGCATATCTTTACAAAATGATACACGCTTTACCACTCCCCATACTTAACAAACTTTGGAAAAACCCCAGCCTACAAGCATCCGTAATGATGAATAATATTTATATTCCACATAAAAAGTATTATCTGCACGGGGACGAGGTTTTTATGTCATTTTTTATGGTAAATATGGCTTGGCAAAATCAAGGTATGAATACAGATATTGCTCGATAAATGAATGGAACGAAATTGTTAATCCGTTACTAAATTTGTTTAAGGATATGCGTACATGGTTTGACTCTCTGCTGGTGAAAGTTACGAGGGGAAGGATCTGATCTCCACTTTTGTTTCTTTATAATTTACTCTTTATAAAATCTGTCTGATCCACTCGTTTCCACATTTACGATGGAATCGGTTTTCTGGGAGTTAGCGGATTCGAGGAATTTTTCACCAACACGGATGAAGCGTCCACATATTTGAAAAATTGTTTCATTGAATGGAAAATACTTTCAGAGTTGGCAGATAGTACATGTGAAGTTTGACAAAAGGTGCATTTCTGAATAATTTGCATATTTGTGAAATCTTTTTGTGCTTTCTCTTGCAAACTCGGCTTAATGCAAATACAGACCAGCATTGCGGATCTGTAGTGTTTGAGGTAGCAAATAAGTAACTAGCAATTAAGGAATTAATTAGTGTAGATTAAGGGAACGTTATGTGCAGAGACGGAGGTGAGGAAGAAATGGAAATAAAGAGTGCAAGAGGAAAGTTGGAATAAAACATATTTTTTATTATATTTTGTTGCTTGAAGCCAATTAAATATGTATGTACATATTTATTTATTGATGTACATATGTATGTTTGTATGTACACATGTGTGCACTTGTTGACAATTGAGTGACTTTATCAAAGTTCATCAATAACAAGTTTTTGTCCAAGAAACCATTCTAAATTCTGCATGCAGAATACATAGCATAAACTTGTTGAGATGTGAAGGGTTGTTTGACTTATTCTCATAATTCAATGTCATTTAATTTACAAAATAGTGAATAGACAAGCCCCATCCAAGTAGCAAATACTGATTTTAAAACCAGAAAGAATTCAGGTTTAAAAGCTTCTTACACACTCAATTCATGTATGTATTCGTCTGAAGGTCATCTAGTCTTCAACTACATAGATTACAATCAATTAATTCACCAACATGACCAATAATTTTTTAATCCTTGTGGTAGGTTATGCACAATGTACATATACAGAATCTGTTTAATCCTATTGTGCTGCTAGATGGCAATTTACATACATACACAGACATGCATACCTGCTTAAATTTAATCTACGTTGGCAAAGTTGTGCTGTAATTATGTAGGTAAAAACTTGTACCTTTAGAATACTACAAAAGTTTAATTCTAATTAGTAGATAGATAGCTTACATATTTGTCGTAATAATGATAAACTCATTCGATCATTCGATTCATTGCAGAGCAGCATAAAATTCTTTCAATCGTAACGTAATTTTATCACCTATGTAAATAGGATGCAAGGTTACCGAAATTGTGCGACCTTGCTATTTCTTTTGGGGTCGATATTACTATTGTTGAGTGTGCAGTGCAGGAATATCTTGTCGGTGGAGTTTTTCGGAGGAAAAAGCCACGTTATAACTTACCTACCCCTTCTTGAGGAATTGGCGAGAAAGGGTGACAATGTGAGTAAATTTAATATATAATCTAAACAACTGCTCGGTATTTATATAGGGCATGCAAAACCGAAAAATTTTCAAAATTTGCTTGTGGAATAAATCGTCAATAATTTAAAGCAATTATTTTCATTTGAAATGTTTTAGGTGACATTAATAAGTCCATCCATAGGGCTCACGAAGGAGGAAAACATTCACGAAATTTTTAGCATCGATGTTGCCACGATCTTGAATGAATATCAGATCCATCCTTTCGAAATGACAGAGAGGAACGAGAAGATCAACTTTCTTACCCTTTTTACTAACTTGGTTCCCAAGAAATGTAGAGAAATGTACGATCGACACGAAATTCAGGCCTTGTATAACATCGATTTTGACCTTATCATACTCCATTATTTCCTCAATGACTGTTCTCTCGGATTCGTGGACAGGGTGATGAGCAAAAATGGGACAAAATCCACACCTACGCCGCTTGTCGTTTTCTCCACAATCAACGCCCCAAGCTCCATTGTCCAATATGTAACCATCCCAGTTCATTCGTGCCGAATATGTATCTAAATTATGGCGATGAGATGACCTTCACTCAAAGGTTTGTTAACTTTGGACTAAACCAAGTTCTTGACGCGGTCCGGACTTTTTACTACCTTCCCGCCATGGAGGGCGTCTACAAGGAAAAGCTTGGGCTGGATGCGCCCTCCGTGGGGGAGATTTTTGGAAGAGCTTCACTTCTTTTATCCAATGGGCACGTTTCCATTAATCGTCCCAAACCAAATCTACCCAATGTTATCCAAGTTGGCGGGATGCATTCTAGAAAGGCGAAAGAGCTACCAAAGGTTGGACAATTTTGCGAATTTACAGAATTAATTCCTATTTTTCTAGAGTTAAAGACTGAACAAGTTCCACGCGAAAGTAGTTTTACGTAGTTACAACTTTGGATGGTCTTTGGAAAAAAACTAATAATGAGTGGAAGGAGATTACGGTCGAAGATATAGGAAAAGTAATTAATTCGTGGAAACTAAGGCATCCAAGATCGGTTTTTCTGATTTTTCAAAACCGGTTTTTCGATTTTGTTGAATTAACCTGTTTTAAAGAAAGTTAAGTATCATTTTTTGATCTGGAAGCAAGAATTAATTGTTTTCACAAATTTTTTTATCAAATTAGTACCCACTTTTTGCTACTCTGGAAATTCTATTCGATATATTTCTTTTTAATTTGCAATCCAGCCTGAAACCGGTTTCAACAACCGGTTTTGGAGAAAATCGAAAACCGACTTTACGAAAACTTGATACACTCGGTTAATCGAAAACCGGTTTGCAAAAATTGCCAAAATCGGAAACATCGAAAACAGATTTTGCAAAATTTTCAGATTTTGGAAAGGGCCTTAGTGGAAACGTCTATGTAGCCAAGTTAGCTGGAGGTCTTAGGAACACGTTGAACAAACGAAACAAATTCATCTACGTCGACTAGATTTTTAAGGTCAGTTTTAAACTTCAGAAAAATAGGACGCATAATCCTCTGTACACATTCACAAACCAGGTTAGGTACATGAATAGTTGGCCGTTATCCGCAGACGACAGCAAACGCCCAACTTTGAACATACCTATGAATACTGGAAAAGTTACAAATAATCGTCTCGGGTATATTTTTTTCCAGAAAATTCAAGACTTTCTCTCCTCTGGTGGTGACGACGGTTTTATCCTTTTCTCCCTCGGAACCTATCTTCCATCTAGTGCGATGTCTCCACAAAAGAGGGCCATCTTTGTCAATGTGTTTTCTCGTCTGAAACAGAAAGTGATTTGGAAATACGAGTCAAACGATATTCCAGACTTGCAGAAGAATATTCTTCTGAGCAAGTATCTTCCTCAGCAGGACCTCTTAGGACATGACAAGATCCGACTTTTCATCACCCACTGTGGCACAGGAAGTTGGGAGGAGGCCATCTTCCATGGGGTTCCACAAATCGGAATCCCATTCTTTGGAGAACAGCCCCTCAATGCAAGGACAGCGGAGAATCGTGGTTACCTCGTCAGACTGGATTGGAATGAGTTGACGGAAGAAAGGTTGATGGAAGCGATCCAGGAAGTCATCAGTAATCCAAAGTAATAAGAATGCCAATTATTTGAAGGCGGTTTATTCAAGTTTTGCGTTATCATCGTGCAGAATTCGGTCACATTCCCTCTCAATTGACCTTGATAGTTGCGAATTATACATACATATCTTGTACATGTCTTGGAAACATGGTGCATGTTACTCTCTCAGCCGTGTCGAGTATTTCCAGTTAGGTCTTGTCAAGTATGGAAGTTTGCAAGTGGCATAGTTTTCCAAAGAGTCGACGTTTTGTAATCGATTATATGTATCTTTCCCTCGGAATTTGGTATACTTTATGGGCCTTTTAAGATAAGATTGTGTATAGATTTGACCTGTCTGGCGGTCCTCCAGAAAACTCATTAAACTTAATCTTCCGAATTATAATTTTGCAAATTTCATCTTGGTGTCAAATAAGGACGAGTTCGAAGGCGAGCATGATAGGACATCCCCCAATGGCTGACTATTAGAGGGGTTTTTGTGGTTGGGGTACATGGTACATGTTTAGCAGCATTTTACATGGATAAAGCTGAAATTTAGCATGAATGTTGACAAAGAACACAACTTTATACGAAACAATATAAAAAGGCCCAATGAAGTCGCTTGAAGTAAATTTCTATAACCTTAATAAACATACATGGGTACCGACTACTAGTTATTTATCGCTTTATTTGAGAATTTAACAAGATTTTAATTTAATTAGATATCGTGACAACGTGAAACAATTATCCGCCATTTTCCGCGACCAGATTGACAATCCTTTAGATAGGGCCGTGTACTGGGTGTACTGGGTGGAGTACGTCATGCGACACAAAGGTTATCATTATCAAATGTCTGATAACTCAAATCCAGGTCTAATTCTCTCACACATAAATTTTTGATTCCGTAATTTCAGGAGCTTACCACCTTCGGTCGGCTGCACGAAACCTGTCTCTAATTCAGTATCACTCACTGGACGTAATCGCCGTCTACTCGCTCATATTGATTTCCTTTTTTTTCGTCCTATGCCTCCTTATAAAATGTATTCTCAGCTTGTTCAGATCCTGCTGGTTTACTGAGACTTACAAATATAAAACTAACGAGGAAAACCTTTTTGGTGCCATGAGCTCCCAGCATAACCACTATATACATTCGACGTATTTTTTAATACTAGTCCGATGATGTGACAAAATTTACGTGTTAAAATGACATTTGGTCACGTGGGGACGACTTTTCTGACGCGCGGAACGGTCACTTTCGCCCTTGTTATTAACATCGTAGGCATACTTTTCACCCCTCGCTCATCTCGCTTCTGAAATCTCAACCTATTTACTCACAATCTGAAACTTTGAAAAAATTTCTGAAATTTCGAAAAAAATAATTTTGAACACAATCCCGAAATTTGAAAAATTATACAATTTTTGAAGTTTTTCAGAATTTCAAAAATTTCAAAAGAAATTCAAATTCAAAAGAAATTCTTCCAAAATTCAAAAATTTAACCTTTCAAATTATAAATTTTTAAGTAATTTTTTTGAAATTTGATTTTTTTTTCGAAATTTTGAAAAATTTTGAAATTCTAAAAAAAACTTCTGTAATTTTTCAAAAATTTTACAATTTTCTAAATTTCAGGATTGTGTTCAAAATTCAATTTTTTTCGAAATTTAAGAAATTTTTTAGAGTTTCAGATTGTGAGTAAAAAGGGTGAGATTTCAGAAGCGAGATGAGCGAGGGGTGAAAAGTATGCCTACGATGTTAATAACAAGGGCGAAAGTGACCGTTCCGCGCGTCAGAAAAGTCGTCCCCACGTGACCAAATGTCATTTTAACACGTAAATTTTGTCACATCATCGGACTAGTATTAAAAAATACGTCGAATGTATATAGTGGTTATGCTGGGAGCTCATGGCACCAAAAAGGTTTCCCTCGTAAGTAACTAAGTAGGTTTATGAATAAATACTTTCTTCGGCAAAAAATGGTTCTTAATTGTATTCTAAAATCTTTAGATGCATATGTACTGTACATAATGTACATGAAAGAGCGATAGCGAGCACAGTCTGCATGGAACAGGCAGTTGTATACCTGCCATGCTAAAAAATGGGCCAATTGGCCCAAAAGTGTACGCCCACCGGCCAGGGGCAACTTTATAATTGCATAAATATGAGACTTCATGTAAAATTTTGCCCAAGTTAATTACCACTTGTTTTTAACTACAATAATGCAAAATAAATTATTTATAAAAACAAAAATTGCTTTATGATTAATTTTTTTACTATACTTTTTCACCCGCAATTAATGCCAATAAACCACAACTTACTAATGTCTTCGAGGATTATTCTCAACGTAAATTTAACTCCAAAATTTGGAGTCCAAATGTGAACTTTTTGCAGGATTCTCAGATTATGCTTCATGGAAATCATGTCTTGAAGTGTGTACCCATGTAGTGTGCACATTATAATGTGCCTAATAATACCTAAATACGTATGCAGTATGCAGCAAGTAATGTATGTCGACAATGTTGCATTTTAATTACCAAGGAATTTTTTTCACTTGCTTCATTAAGCTCGTGATTTGCTTTATTTTTCGTGTCTATCAGAATTCTACAACCTTACTATACATTGGTTAATCTATTGCGAATAAGAAATATCACAGAGATGAATAGTGCCATGAAATTGATCGACAGACTACACCCTCCTCCATCACCTCCTCGTCGCGTCGTTGTAGATCGCCTAGTCGTTGTTGTCGTCGTGGTGGTTGTGGTTGGATCCATATGTCCCGCCGTAAGGACGTTAATTCCTGCCGCATCGTTTATCCACGTCACGAAGGACGACATCCTTTGATAAACTTCCGGATACCGTGACGTACTGCATTCCATACCGAAAGACACAATTCCACAGAGGAAGTAACCGTCCACCTCATTGTGACACATGAGCGGCCCTCCCGCATCTCCAGCACAGCCTCCACTCCCGCCTATAGAACCATTTATATTATTTATGTATGTTTACATTTTTTTCAACGGAGATTTCGACTTCCTTAGAATTTCTTGGTAAACTCATATCTAAATAAGGTTCCTTGTCGCATTGAACTTTGCAAAATTGACAAAATTATTATTCGCACAAGCTACTGTTTGAACCTCACCGGAAGCACCCCTAGCACACATCATATCACTCCTAATCGTGGCCGACCCCGAATACGCAGTCGAGCAGGCAGAATTAGATACCCCCGTCATGTTAGCCTTTCTCAATTTTGGAACAACGTTACCAAATTCGCTAGTCGAACCCCACCCGGAAACCGTCAGTATTCCAGCTATCAAAAATATTACGGATTAGTAATAATACATAATTTCTAGTGCGATAACAACTTACAACTCCCTGGATACCCTGGATACGCCAGCGCAACTCGACCCACTGCATGCGAAGGGATGAGAGCATTGTTTAGTGCGATGAGCCCAACGTCGTATGCATTTGTATTTCTGCCAACACATATTTAACAAGTTAGATATGTACATACATAAACTGGACAATAACCATAAAATAAGGGTTAGGGAGCCAGAACGTGAATCAGGTGGACAATTATATTTTTTAATTGGTTACATGATTCACGTTTTCTCCTAAAAATGTTCAAATCATACGGATTATAATTCCCCGGTCTAGTTACATTCACTCCAATCCTGGTCTGCTCCCAACCTTCATTTCTTGACCTAAAAATTCATTGCACATATTTTTAACACTATTTATAATCACTGGGCATGCGATGTCAGAGCTAAATAAATATTAGCGGGCTAGCTTGTCCGTTTACGACGACTAGATATGTATGGACGTATAAGTTGTGGAAAAAAACAACGTAATTAAAATCGAACACAGGAAAACTTTTGCTAAGTTTCAACCTCAAAAATATAACGTTCGCGAATTCTATAATTCCGAGCACGTATATTTTATAATAAAATACACAAAACGAAACCAGCAAATATGGAATTTACTTCAAATTAATAATTTTCTTCACATACAAATCATGGTCCCCCGCTACGACGTCCAGTCTGCGAATCGTGTTTCCGGGGTAAATGCACTGGGCAGCGGTCAAAATGTAGTTGTAGTCGATTATAACCCCGCCACAAAAGTACTCGTCGCCATTGTTAAATGTCACGACGATCCATACCACCCAGGGAAACTGGTAGGGTGTAGCCTCCACCCCATTGTAGACCCTGTCAGAGGAGGAATTTGAGCCCGGTGTACCTAGAGATTTCCAAAATAACGCGAAAAATGTAGCCCATTTTAGACTTAGGACTTATTTTTATCCTTAATTTAATAATTAAGTCAATAATTTAATTGCAAGATTGTGCTAACGTAAACGATTAAAAGATTGTGGTCCTTTCCAATTTACGTAATCTTGTCCTAAAATGAAATATTGTATAATTTTTAACACTTATTTTACCATGTTTATTTAATTATTAATCATTTTGAAACTAATTATACCAAAATTTCTCTCAACATCCGGTCCAACACTTGGTAACGTTATCGTCACAAGATCTCCAAGCTTGGAGTCCCTTTCGGCCGAATTTGAAACGACAAAGCATACGGCTGCCACAAATAGAGCTTGAGTTAATAAATTCATTTCGATAGTTTCACTCAATGCAATGTGAGAATTTATTCTAAAGTTATTTAATTATTTTTATGTGCACCTGACGTGATTCAACCTCCACTTTTTATTCAATTTTTATCTCATCAATGACTGAAGTTTCCGCCTTTGTAGATAGTAGAGGCGACGCATTGTCATATAATTGTAAGTTTTAGTGCATAAATTTAGCCATGATTTAGACATGTCTCTGGTGTCACGGGGGATTGTGGAGTGGCAGGCGTGTTGCCATCAATCAAAGTTTTGCATGTACCAATATCATCATAAGAACTTAAGTAGTGATGACATCCTGGCGTGGCTTATTTAAGTAATAATTTGATAAGGATAAGGATGCCATTGTCTAGAGACAGAAAATAATGGATGTGATAAGTTGTAGGGGACAAGGGAGAATTTGTGGTATAGCGTCCATACAAACGAAATCGGTCATAGGCGCCAGCAACATATAATCAAATTCACAAGTGTCACAACTCAAGTGCACTAACAGTTCACTGAATCCATTCACCATTTGTGCAGATTATGTCATAGTTTGTAAACCAATTTGTATAGTAATGAAACTAACCAATTAAGTTGTTCGCCCTTGAATAAAAGATAATAGAACCTTGACTTGACTGCTGCATAGATACATATATAAGCGAAAATGTTGGGTTAAACGCGAACGCATACATAATACAAATAAAAATAATTATACATTTAGATACATACCTCACCAACAAACGCTGGAGTTCACATTTCAGAAACAGTGGAAATTCTTTCATTGTGAATATGTATATGTAAAATTACTTATTTTATTTATATCTGTAAGTATGAAGTTATATTAGACTAGCGTACAAATATGCTCATATAGTACATATATTATCATAATGTCAATATTTATCATTTTTGTGTAAATATACATATGTAAAATTTTTTCTACTACACAATCTCTCAGCATCTTTAATTATGGACTTATTTTATGGCGTGGATAGTTTTAAACCCTATTTTACTATTCTACTCTGACTAGAATTAAACTGGATAATTTTTTATTAGCTTGTCTTGACTTTTTTACGAAAAGGGCAATATAAACGATATTGGCAATGTATTACTTTATCTTTACTACCGATATTCAACTTGTAGTTGAGATAAACTCATTGCATTTATGTATATGTATGTACATATGTATGTAGCAATTTTTATTAATGCCACTTGAAAGGTGTCATTCAATTTAGCAAAACTCATTATACATATGTACATATCTGTATGCATGTATGTATGTATGCAGGTTCATGTATGATAGCTTTTCAACCCTACTAATACACACGGAACTCCCGCACAACTGGACAATTATTTAATTTTACTTTTACTTATTTACATAAAAGCAACTCTGTCATATGTATGTATTTGTACCTTTATGAATCCGTAGTGGTTCCAAAAAAAGGGAGAATAAATTAATAATAAAAAATATGATAACTTTTCATGCTCTAAATCCAGAAAAGGAACGCTGATATGAGACTTGGTTATTAGGATAAATATTTATTATGTACTAATGTATACATTTTTTTGTGTTACTCGCAAATTTGTATGGACATAAATTCACCAAATCCTTACGGGTATTAGCAGGCCCCGATCTTGCCAAAAACCTTACCCGGGCAAAGGATACTGGCGCCTTCGGCGCTCGCAGGGTGGTTTGTTCTTGTAATAAATGATTTGCGTTTGCATAAAGGATTGCGAAGCAACTAAATTTATTGTTAAAAAAATGGGTTCATAAAACCGGTGCTTTTGCAGTAAAACATACATAATATAAGTAAGTTGAGTAAATTGGGATATATTAATTAGGAAACACCTGTACCCGCAAAATTAACTAGAATGCTAAATTAATTATAAACTTAACACCAGGTCCTGGTCACCAGGAACAGGTTTTAAAATTCAGCTTTTCGACATTTACTATTCGCGAAAATTTCTATCGTGTCTTGAAATTGAATTCTCGCGGCCAAATCTTTCTCGATTGAAAGAGTTGCGAGTCCTGTTAATCGATCTTGGCTCATTGTGTACCTTAAATACGTCTTGATGAGCTTTAGCTTCGAGAATGATCTCTCGCAGCTTGCCACGCTTACTGGAATTGTTAAAAAGATCCGAAGAATGATACAGAAGTTCGGAAAGGCCTCCTCCATTTGCATATCTCTAATGAGCTGAAGAATTTCCACGGGGTTCTTTTCATACTTACTGCTAAATGAATCTTTGAAAAGTAATAATTCTTGATGAAGTTGTAACCCAGCAATGTCAGAATTCTCATTTTCCGTTAAAAGATGTTGTAGATCCTTACAATTAGAAAGAAGCAGTTCACTTGTGACGGTCTGCCGAAATTTTGAGTCGTACAAAATTCTGAAGTTTTGTAAATTATTCTTCATAAATTCGAACCTGACCCCAGTTGACTTAATAATCACCTCCAGAAGTTTATCAAAATGTGAAACCTTCCATTTCTCCTCTGCGTTTCCTTGCAATTGTGCGAAGTTGGACTGATTCGGTTGGGATTCTGCAGATATTGTTTTCTTCCTTCTTTGTCTGACTTCTGTAAATTTCATCTCGTCATTCTCGAGGCCAAGTTCAGCCCCTAATTGTTTTGCCGTGTCAATAGCGGTTTTGAATCCGTTTTTTTTGGTAGGCTTTCAAGTAGATTTCTGTATTGTCCAGCAATTCTGACGCCACACCAACATCTACGTCGCAACCCTGGGCGATTTTGCTAACAATATTAAGGCGGTTTAGAATTTCATACCAGACTGCCAACATCACTAAAAATTCGAATTTTTCCAAGTGGGAGACTAAGCTAGATGCTTCAAATCTGGCGAGATTCTCAAGGTCCTGGTTTTCTGATATTTCGGATAAAGCATCTCGCACATTGGTAATTTCGTAGCGCAATGGTTTGAGTGATTCCAGTCTGGACTCCCATCGTGTTTCTGAGTGTGATTTCAGGCTGAATTTTTTCACGTGACGACTTATAACATCCCATCGATTTGTTGAACTGCTGCAAAATTTGTACAATTTTTGCACAATTCCGAAAAACGTTATAAACGCGGCAATTGATTTTTCAGCGTCGCCGATCACCAGGTTTGTATTGTGGGAAAAGCAAGGATTATAAATTGCTCTTGAATTCAGATTTAGGATCCTTTTCTGAACACCTTTGATTTTCCCCTTCATATTGCTGCCGTTATCGTAAGCTTGACCACGCGCGTCGTTCAAATTGATGGACAACATTCGCAGGAACTCTAATAATTTTTCGTTAAGTCCTTCCCCGGTCTTGTCTTCGACGGGCAAAAATCCGAGGAAACTTTCGCAAATCTTGACATTACTATCTTCTAAATTCACATATCTCAAAACCACTGACATTTGCTTAACATGGGATATATCCGGGGTGCAATCGAGCATTATTGAATAATATTTTGAATTTTTAACAGAATTTAAAATTGATTAGAATTGAAGTTACTTGTTTCGAAAGGATTGCGATGAATTGATTTTGGATTTGATAACTCAAATAATGTGGTCCTTTTTGTTGTCGCAGGTGATCCTTCAAAAGTGGATCAAATTTTGCAATCAATTCGATTAGTCCCAGAAAATTTCCGTTGTTTGGACTATGCAGTTTTTCATTCGAGCCTTGAAATGGTAAATTATGCGCCGCCAAATACTGGATAACTTCTAAAATTCGTTCTAGAATATTTCTCCACCGAAGTTTTTCTTCCTTAATTAAGCCATCAATTTGTTGAGCAATTGTTGAATTTGATCGTAGCCTTCTACGTGCCTCAGCCCAGCTAAGGTAAGCTTTCTTGTGCCGATCGGAAACTTCGTGCTCCTCAAGAACTTTGGATAAATGTTTCCAATCTTGACATCCAACTTCCTTTAGAGCGGTAAATTTTGATGATAAATCAAATATTTTGCAAACAAAGCAATAAATTGAGTCCTTGGATTTTGAGTATATCAGCCAGCTGCGGTTCATGTTTTCTCCATTTCGCAACTTCTTGGTTAAATTGCTCACTGTAAAGCGTCGCCCATTTGTCACCGGGTAATCATAATTGGGGTCTGGTTTTATTGGGCCGCGCTGGATTATTATTTCCCGCTGACTAGATTTCAAAGTGGATGGCCAAAATGCGGGATCTAATTTGGAATTAATATGTAGTTTTGTATAAAGTTTTCGGATTTTAGCACTGATGCTTGAAATTACCATTGACAATCAAAATTAAATTAGCAGATATGCTTGATTGTGTGTCCTGTTCCTCTCCCCTGCCAGATAATGAGGCACCTAAATCGTGAGCTGAACAAAATTAGTTTCAAAAATAAATCTACGTCTGCTAAAGTAAAAGTATTACCATCGTGACATTGCGGAATAATATTTTCCTCCATATCCTGCGTCCCGATTTTGGACTAAATTCTTTCAATTAATGACGAGTTGAAATCGCCGTCCCAATCCTGCGTTTCAATTTGCGACTCATTTAATTGAGCTTCCATCTCCAGGGATATAACGCTGGCCTCATTCTAATCTTTGGTTGATCCAAGAGAGTTTTCTGAAATTAAATGTGAATGCATGCGAATTTTAGTTAACAATTTCGATGTTTACATAATTATTTGCTTTCGAATGTTATAAAATCCTAAAAATTATTATTAGTAAGTTATTACTTATTATTGATCTAAAACATTTTTATTACTAAATTATTATTTCGAATTATTAGTTAGCTTTACATACACCTTTCGGATTTAAGTACGGATTGTGGAAATTACCATTGTCAACCGGAAAGCAATCAGCAGATGCGCTTGATTTTGTATTCCGTTCCTCTGTCCTACGACCAAATGACGCACCTGTTTGCATTGCAAAATATATTAAATTAGTTCCCTGAATAAGTCTATATCTGCTAAAGTAAAAGTATTACCATCCTGACATTCCGGAGATATATTTTCCTCCATTTCCTGCGTCTCGATTTCGGACTCAATTCTTTCAATTAAAGCCGAGTTGAAATCGTCGTCCCAGTCTTGTGTTTCGATTTGTGATTCATTTAATTGTATTGCAATATCTACCGATAAGTCGCTTGCCGCACTACAATATCTCGTTTCAGTTTCTGCTCCAAGAGGGATTTCTGAAATCCAATGCGAATACATGAGAATTTCAGTAATTTCACAAGTTACAGTTGGTGTATTTTTTATATGCAAAAAGTATTGGACTGACGACCGTAAACATAGTTCACACCCACCAAATTCTCCAAAGTAAGTTATATTTGAATTATGCCTTGTACATGTAAGCAAGTTGCAAAAGAAAAAAATACCGGAAATTTAATAATTATGTTCGAGAAATAATAAGTACATATAGAGTTCGCGCTTGTCCAGAAAAGTTTTCAAATTGGCTAGGCAAACTTTCGTAAATGGCTCCTGACTATAAGTCTTAATTATGTATGATACATAATAATTTGAGTGACTTAACATGAATAAATGCGAAAATTATTCTTCGCCAAATGTAATTTTAAGAGTTTTTCATTTTCGCCAAATGTTACTTTCATTTCGCCATCTGGTACTTTGATGTAATTTTTTGTACCACTTTGGCGGAAATTATTTTTCGCCAAACTATCCCCAAATCCCTGCGTTGACGTAAGGTCCTATCCTCCATTAAGCAACCTTCCATCCACGCTTATGCAACTCGCACCTTATATAAAACCTTTGTGCATTATTTAGGCAAATTAGTAAATTACGGTAACTTATCCACATTCCAAAATATCTAACCCGGGAATACTTTCTTTTCAAACTAGGACAGGTCCATTAGTAAATATGTTCATACTATTCGTGCAGTTCGACGATATTGACGTCATAAATTATTCCATGGTTCAAAAAATGGTTCTCAATTATATAGAATATGTATGTAAGTTAATAGATTGACCGACTTTACATGTGTTGTTTCGTTTTAAACTAATGCAGCTAATACTGCTTCAATTACTGATACAACGCGACACAATGAATTGGTACTAAGCTAAAGTACGAAATCTAACCAAACATATATATATGCACCAATTTCGTTCTTATCACACTCATCTCCAACTATTTGCCCCACTTATGCATTCTGGAGAGGGTTATCGAGTTATATATGCAAGATACAAGACATGGTGTAAACCAACAGGAACCAACGAGCTGTTTTATTCCCCAAATTATTTTATCTTCATAGCTACTACCATCATCACGTGCGTAATTTAAATAAATATCTATGTACATATCTACCTATGCAAATAGTTATATACTCACACATACATGTGCACATATTGTACATAAAATTGGGTTTGAGTTGATAAATTTGAAATGTTACGTTCCCATATGCATTAGTCTTTTTAGTGAACTTGTGCAATATTATGTCCTGAATATTTAGAAACAGAAGTTGTAATTTAAATATATCTACTTTAACGTCCCCTCATTCTTCTGTCACTGATCAGTAGAAGACTCAGGGTTTGGTTCATGCAGTAGTTTTGAATGACAAGGGGTGTCCCACTATCGATAAAGTTCGAGCCGAATTTTACTTTTAGTACGCCACATGCCCTAATTTCTCTGGAAAGTACGGACCTTCTTCTACCAAATTGTACCGTACGTCTGACATGGATATGAAGTACGTTTTCCGATGTACTATACACCCATGACGCTAACGTGTAGACGAACACGTTCACAGCAAACACATCCAGGAGCATGAGGGAAATATTAGAAATCCTGGCATCGCTATTTCAGAATGCAACTTGACGCAGACGAACTGACACAAAATTTGTATGTTTGGACTAAACGCTATCAGCGACGGGAGTATTCGTACCATGAGAAACCCATTCATATACTTTTCCAAGATTTGAATCCGCCGATAGACACTTAGGCAGGCACGATGCTCCGAAATTGTTCCAGAGATTACAATTCGCCTGAATTTATACAAAAAACATTTATTAAAATAACATACACATAGCCAAAATTTGTTTATTTAAAGGAAATTTAGATATTTTAGAAGCTTAACCTTTTCAGAACCTCAAAGAAGTTAAGAATCGCAACAATTCCAGTAAATAAGATATAAGCCATCCACGTAGTCCCAAAGCTGCCCAATTGTAGAATTAGCCATGCCTCAAATAAAACCATGAGGGTTTCCCATCCTGGCGGTATCCACGTTATTTCTGAGCACGTTGGCGAATAGGAGAGCAGAAACGGTGGCATACATGGGTCAACCATAACCAACACGCATACTCCGAATGGAACCGCCAAAATGGAAAATTCTGTCAGGCAGAGAAACATCCGCATTGCCCTAGCTACGACCGACAGCTTTATATTTTCTCCGTCTGAAATTAGTCAAAATTCGTTATTTAATAGACTGAAATGTCGCCATAGTGTGCATACCTTGAAGTAGGCCACGTTCAAATGAAAGCATCGAGTTGACCACTTGTATTGGGGCGATGTCTAATCCGACATTCCATCCGAGAACGATCATAAGAAAGTATATTATCAAGAACGGAATTCCCTGCAGTCTTTCTTGTACAGAGAAGTCACCTAGGATGAAATTACACAGGACGACAAGTAAATAAATAATTGTCATAAAGTACTGCACTTGGTAGACTCGTATACGCCTGCGAGATTTCATGACGATAAGTTTCCCAGATTGGGAATCAAATTCGAAAGGAATGCTCCCTATTAGGCGGGAAAATTTGAAATGATGAATTAAAAGTGGATGAAATTGAGTTGAGTACATGACGTTGGGTGAGGTTCACGTTGTCGTAACACTCAAGGCAACCTACGTAGAACTATTTCAGGTATGGAGTGAAATTTATTTTGGAAGTTTCTGCACTTGTGTACGACCTGATTTAGTATGTATTAAGATAGTTCGATTCATATCTTAATTCAGTGACAGGGTTCATTACCGATGAACATATACATATTTTAAAACTATATTTTTAAAATATTTATTTATTTTTAATATTTAACTGTATGAAATTACTAAAATTGAAGTGTGTAGATTTTAAACTTGATGCTTGACGCCTAATCAGTTCGTGATTTCATACATACGAAAAACACGTATTCGTTGTCGTTGCAATTCTGGCAACTATTAAGAGCGATGACGTTCTGTAGAAGGAAATAATGGCATGTGAACATATTTCGCTGGAGCAATTCTGTTCCACTTGGTTCACACAGGTGTCAAAGTCCCCATTTCGCAAACGACCGATTTATTGGTGTCACTCTGAATACCGTCCTATAATATTGTTTCACCAGCCGGTGATAAATAGGTGTCGCTGGATTTACTTAATTTATCACAGGGTAGTACTGGCACAAATGTATACATACATATATACGTGAGTTAGTCACAATTTCTACCAATCTCACTCAAACCAAATTAATAAATATTTAACCAATCTCCTGATTTGAGGCTGGACCTTCTTGGAATTTATGCATCAAGGTTTCAGCTGCACATATTTATAGCTCCGTCAGCTTTAATTATATTGATTAATGAAGTTCGAAAATAATGTACATATCTGCAGTTCCCAAAGAATGGAATAAACCCATAAATATCTTGAGTTTGAAGGGCATCCGTGTAAAATGTTATATACATAAATATTTTTATGAAATCGCCAAAATGGTAATGGTGTTAATTTAACAAGGAAAGTCGGTATCGGGAAGCAGAATTTTACTATTTTGCTTAAATATTTACATAAGTAAGAATACATATGCACGTCTGTTTTTTGTGGTTAGCGTTGTCGCGAAGGAAAATTCCATGCGTACGTCACAAACAAACTTAATTACTTAATCCCAACAACCTGTGATTATTAAAATGCTTTCAGGGTTGATTGATATCGTTTACCTAACAATTAATGGAATCTTGATTATATCTAACATTGCGAAAATTGGAAATTAAATACTTAATGGAGAAAATTGGCCGGCCTGAATATTTCTATTTTGCCTACTGCAACTTTCTTACTAAAAACGGAGGAAATCAAGAAAATGTTTACGTTTCTTCACAAAGTTGTAAAATCGTATTTAGTTCTAATTTCATAATTGTTTTGACGTTAGCGATATAATAAATGTACTTGATTATTTTAATTCAAAATGTGAACGAATGTACATAGATATAAGTATGTGCATACATATGCGTACATATAGCAAATATTGGCGTACCTACATATACAGGTAGCACATATGTACATACATATTTACTCCCAAACTTTGGAAGTAAATAATTTACATGTCAGAAGATTATTTTCAAGGGATTCAATTTTTTAGGTTCTGATTCCCCCAATCGAAACGAGTACTTTGGCTATTTTCCTGTCAGTAATAAAGTCACTGTGTGATACCCCACGCGCTCCAAATACCTTAAAAAATAATCCAGTCGAACCCCATTCTCCATCGTCTCGACAGAGCTTAAGAATTCCAAATTAATTGAAATTGACTGTAATCCTTGAATCGTCAATCTTTTGAGCTTATCATGTCCATAAAATGTAAATGCCATTCTCTTAAACTCAATCGATAGTGATGATATCTTTGCGGTGTAGAAGATCGCGAAAAATTCAATCATTCCGGCCAAAAGTAGCACAATTATTGAAAATGCACCGATTACAAAATCAATTTTACCACCTTGTAAAAACTGCAGGATAAAATAGTAAAAGGTAATAGTGGATATGACCACCATATGGAAATGGTGGAGACACGGGAGTACTAAATCTCGTGCCAATTCGGACTTAATTATGCTCAGAATGCGAAGATTTTGGTATATTTTAATTCCCACTTCGAATCCGAGGCCAAGTCGGAACTGTTTGTCGACATATGTAATTTATTCCAGTAGATGAATTGAGAGCATTTATTGCCAAATAGGTGACAACTATGCCATTGAGGAGGCAAAATAGGCAGAGCACGATGGTGAACGTGACGACAGTGCATAAGAAGCAGGAGATGATTTGGATAAAAATCTTTACTGGAGCGGGATGATATTGCACAAAGGAATATAGAGGATTCAGATCCGGTTTAAAGAAACTAAGGTAAATAAGGATTGGTGGGAGTAGGAACTTGAAATAGACGTATGCAGCCCAAGTCAGCTTGTCTCCAGCAAAGAAGTTTGATTCCTTCCTAGGATAATCTTTGGACGAAAGTAGCTCTATGAGTAAATACAAAAATAAGATAGGATTATGAGAAATAATTGGCTAACTTGCTCAAAAATATTCCAACGGGGGGGAAACCGTTGAAAAGTTGAACGAGGCATTCGGCATCACCATGTTCAATGGTCAACCGATAACTACATATGTGCATGTACATAAAGTCTTAATGTTGGATTAAAACAAAAACCATTTTGCTTGGACTGTGCATATTGCATGAATTGTGCTAACCAACCAACCTTGTATCTGTTTGTCCACCCTGATCGCAGCATCATAGCACATGACCAGAAATCTTGGACTGGACACGTGTGATAAACACCACAGACACGGAATACAAATGCAGACAAAATCCGTGACGACAAAAGTCCCCATAAACACGTCCAAGTCTCTATTTTCCCCAAGTTGGATAGATGTCAAGAGTTCAAAACTTCTAGAAACGAAGATCGGCAACACGATCAGGGTCATGATGCCCGTGAAAATCTGGAAGTTTCTATACTGCCAGGAATTTTTGAGGCAAGGTTCCGCACGGCCTTCTTTCCTATTCCAGTTTAGGGTATAACAGGTGAAGCAGGCGCTGCGCTGAGAGGCGCATACGGCGCGCCTAAAATACAAAAAACCAACGTCGTGCCACATAATTTTTGACCATAAATTGACCTACATATTATGTAGGTCAATTTATGGTCAAGGCATTCTTTGTCCATAAACACGGGTACAATTTATTCGCTTAAACTGTAATTTCCGAAATATCGGGGACCTATAATTTTTACAAGAGTATAATTTGAATGTAGTGATTATTGAGAATAATTCTTCTGTAATAGACTTTAGGCTATTTGACCTTAGCTTAGCTGACCTCAAATCAGGCTAAAAAACCGCTACAAATATGTATGACCGTATATCTAAGTCTATGTACATATATTAACAAATTGTTGTAAATTAGGTGTACCGGTTTTAGTTTGTTGCACTGGAATGCCAGTTAAATTTTAAGAAGAAAAAAATTCATTATATTTATACTTCCTCCTGCTAAAGAAATTCACGCTCGGTAGACGTAGCATTTTGTCCTACATATGACTCCAGGATACCATGGACGACGTTGACGTACATACTACATACATAGCAAATTGTGGACTTTTCACTAGGGAAAGTTGAATCAATTCCATTTCCACCACCAACAATCAGGGACAAAATGAAAACATTTGTGTTTTTATTTACACAGTAATTTTAAATGTTAAAGTACTCTGCTCTGATTTCAGTTGGGTATTAAAGGTATGCATGTGCACATACATATCGCATTTACATACATATGCATGTATTTATGTGGCCTATTTACATACATAACTTGCATCATCCATATTTAAGTTCAGCCTTACATTAAACACATTTAGAACTTGCTGGCTTTTTTATTTCAGGATAAGTGGTAAATATTTATGTACAAGGAACATAAAGTGGATACAAAATTAGGATACTCTCCAAATGATATGGTTTAAATGTTTACTCGCCTAATAGGGTTGAATGTTTATCATGTAATTATTAGCACGGCAAGCACGTATTTATGTATATATGTACCTCTAGGAGTTGATAATACCGGACGAGGGATAACCAATTGGAACTCATTCGTTACATATCCCATTAAAAAAAATAATTGCACCATGATTTACCATTCACATAATTAGAGATGGCTTCATAAATTTAGATTTACCCATTTATGTAAATACATAACATTCCGAATGCTATCTTTATAAGCAGACCTTTGCTAATTTTGAAGGTACATACACATGGATGCACAGAGTCCAAACTAGACCTAGATACTGTGTAGATACGTATGTAAATAAGTGGCTCCACACACAATTTGAAAAATTTGTTCATACCTCATCACGAAAAGCTTACTTAAAAAATGGGATCATACTTTCATGAAATAGTACAAATACTTCTTTTCTATCACATTCCCTGCACAATGTCAGGTCAACTCTTACTCGAAGAGTTTCTAGAAATGCGGCGTGAAGTTGACTTTGATTCAACCTGCTTGAATATCAGGTGGGGCGACAATTCCCTGTTTCCCCCACTTCCCAAAACCTCTGCAAAATATGAGGTCCAACTATTGATAAGTCCACAAGCTAAACCAACTCTCTTAACGATTCGATTTTCTAAAAAGTATGACAACATTTGCAACTTTATTTTATATCATGGTGTCACGGCGCCCCTTACGAGGAACAATATGCCTTGGAATTATGCCACGTTTGGCAGCAAAAATACCAATTATCACGTCGTATTTTGCAGTAATTTATTGGAAAGAGATTCATACCCATTTTCTGGACATGCGAATATAATTTTCATCTCGATGGGGGAAGATTCTTATAAAGTGTATAGGCTTGACGTTTACGGTGATTTTTTAGAGTATACCGATGGGAGTCAATATTTCGGGAAAAGGTCAGATTTCCATAGGCGTCCGCTCAAATGGGGATTCTCATCCCTAGCTAAACCTATTCTGGCAAGGCATCCGATTGAATCATTCAAGTAAGCAAGCCCTACATCTATCCCACCAACTTATGACTTCCCGCTAAAAGTATAAAATAAAAAAAGCATGTCGTCACTGACGAACCAGAATTACACACGTGGTTTTTAACCTCTCAGATTTTTATATACAGAAGCAATGCATGTATTTCATGTTCAAAAATATGCAAGGTTAGAGTCACTTGCCACCATCTGGTTTTCCAAAAACATATCAGTACTTACCACACTTGCAGGGAAGGTCTTTTCCCAGCTGACGGCGTCGTCGCGACAATCATAGCGGTCACGAAATATTTAAACGCCTCATATCAAAAACCCATCATCTACGATAACTGGTTTCAAAAACCTGGCGAAAATATGGTCAAAGGATTTTATGAAGGTATAATTTCTGGAAAGTTTCATATCTCAACCTTTCTAGTATTACGTTTGGAGTTGATCGGAGTCATAGCAACCACATCGGACGGATTTGTAGATGGACTCACCTTTTTTACTTTACCGCCCAAAAATGTCTGGCAGACGGATCCAATTAGCCATATTTTTAACGAACTTGACCTCATCGTCTTAACTTATCATGCAGCATGTATAGTACTCATTGTGGTTATCGTTATCCTTGCGGGATACCCAAGAAAGGATTGGACTCGAGGGAAGATATGGTTTTCCACAACGTGCGGGATCATTCGGTTGATCCCGCAACAGAATATTAATCAGGACATCGAAAAGTATGAGTAATTAGTAACCAATTTTGGGATGATTTGTTCAAAAATCTTTAATTCACACATTCTCCTTTACAACCTCCTTTTAGGAAATTGGTACACGGGAAGATTAAGTTTGTCCTGGGACCCTGGCTCCTCTCATTAATTTTGCTCAGTTCTGACCTGCAATCGGTGATTGTCTCATCCATTTCCTCCCCAGATGTCGCCACTGCCCCAAAAACGTTCGACCAGTTGGTGTCGTCTGAATTTAACATAGCATTCGCAGGGAACGACATCTTAGGCTGGAAAGTGATTCAAGCTATTGCCCAAAGCGGTGGACAAGAATCACTTTTTGGGAAAATGGTGCAAAAAATTAAGCACACTTATCCCCAGCATGATCTTTATTTGAAGGTTGATTTTCACATATTTTTATATTCTTGATGTGATTAAGATTTCCGTAACTATAAAATGTCAATTTTTAGAGAAAGTGTTTCTCAAGCATGAGGAAGTGGGGAACCGTTTGCATGTCTCTCCGATGCAAAGTGGTCTACAAAATGCGTATGAGATCCTGGTTTCGAAATCGGGTCAAGTTTTATTTTTAAAGTCGGACGAATTACTATTCCCACTAACTAACGGACTAATATTTTCCAAGTTTATGGATCACTTACAAGGTAATAAAAAAATATAGTTCTTTGACACGCTGCCAAATTTGCAAACCCATGGAAGAATTTGGAATGTGGAATCCTTTTGCTGCGAAATATGTACGTATGTATGTATTAATCTTGTGCCCTATTTGCTGCGCAGATCCGTTGGACCGTTGCGTCAGATTTTACGTGGAGGCAGGCATATTACGAAGCTGGTTTTCCGGCGAGGCTTATAAAATTAGAGGGCAACGCCGCGCCAAAAGTGTGAATGAATCTTCAGCTTCTTCCCTTGATGAGGAGAACCATCAGGATGACTCAGCATTGAGCTACTTCGTCATTGTCGTTGTTGGAAATGGCCTCGGTTTGGTTGTGTTTCTAATAGAGATGAAATTTATTATAAGAAATTCATGGAAGTTATTGTGGAAAAAATTATACTGTACAAAATTGGCTGAAACACCTCGCTTTCCTATAAAATTAAGTAAATATGTGTTAGAAGGATAGGCATGCAATTGTAAATGTATCACCATGTATATTTAAAATTTTGCACATTTTTTGCCTTATGAATAATGAAACAGAACATTTGCAAGTTTTGTATGAAACTGGCAAACATACACTCTCCCAAATGTGGTAATAAAAATGCAAAACGGATTACTACCGGGTGGTTGGTATCGTCCTGTATTACCAAAGACGGTATTCTTAAGATTACCGACGATTAATATGATGCAGTCATTTTAACTTTTACAAGATGGTAATATTAGCTTATGCGAACGCGGTAGCATTAAACTACTGAGTAGAATCAAATGAATACCACGATCAGAGTTCATTATTATTACTGAGTTTTCAACAAAGTCAATTCTGCTTCAGTAATAAGTTGCAGTTAATGTGAAGCAGTAGCAGAACTGCCCCGTATAGATTTTTACCGCGTAGGTATAAATATAGCATTAGACCAAGACGGAGAAAAAGATTCCCAGTAAAGAGTCCCACTAATATAGCAAAAATGGAAAAATTGATTAGAGTTTCCAACCTGTACCGGGGAAAAAAGCTTATCATTTCCACCGCTGACTTGGAAACTTTCTTACAAAAAGGCAAGTGAATACGGGTTATGCGTGGAAAATATTGCTCATAATTGTATTCCCTAACTTTTGTTTTATTTTTAATAGTAAGAGAGAAATTTAGTCTCGACCCTGACCTGGAAATTTCTTTTGAGGACGACCAAGGAGCTGAAATCGACAACGAAGTGTTCCCGATTTTGTTGCAACAGATTGCGACGCCCAACATTATCTTCCGCACAAAAGACGAAGAAATATCGAGTGTTGACATCTCGCATAACACCTCAGGAAATTCCCAAATATTTTACGGTACGTCGCAATGCTCAATAACATTTTGAAAATATGACTAGAAATAAGCTATTGTTACTATTGTAGTTCCTAGTCCACTATGCTCGTCGGCGCCTCCCTCACCTGAGCCTCCAGTGCTATTTCCGGTCAGCGAGGTAGATTTTTTCAAGCAGGTAAAATATCGAACAACTAAAATTACACAACTTGTATACAAGTTGTGTACAACCATATGTTCACATAATTAACGTATGTATGTAAAATTTAAGTAAATAAATACGTATCAGTAGATTCGTGCAAGAAAAATCAAAATAGTAATCAAAGTAATTGAACAACACCAATTTGGATAAGCAATTTACATACGGAATTGTATTAATACAATTCCGTATGTAAAAAAAAATCATACATAATTATATATCATTATATTCTGTTGCTTTAAATTTAGCTGCACAAAAAATTCAGACTATGTATTTAAGCGCAATAGAAAAATAATTATTTGTGTAATATTTATTAACTGCATATACTCGTATTCGGTTACAAAAGTTTGTTGGCATGAAGTATTGAATTATCGAAATTTCAAATTAATGTTTCATTTTACAACGTACATATTTACTTACGTACGTGCATACATAAATATGAACTATTTGGTTATTAAGCATGCCCTCTCTGCATCTCTGTTACCACGCATTTACTTAAAACTTGGCTATTTGTAAATTTGTAAAGTTTTTCCTCTTCCAGAAAACATTATTCATGAAAATAGTCATTATTCCGGATTTGGAAATTTAGAACTGGGATACTTTAACATTGGTGCATTTTAACAAGTTTGTATCCATGAAGCATATGGACTGTAGGGATTTAATAACGAGTGAGATATATGGAGGTTAAAAGGCAATAGCAATTACTAGACGACTACGTAGCAGAGTGTGCAAAAAGGCGCCTTTTTCAGAAAAAATGCATGCCTTTTTGCCTTTTTGCCCTTTTGAATGCCAAATTGCCTTTTTCCGTGCCTTTTTGCCTTTTTCATGCCTTTTTGCCGTTTTCAATGCCTAATAGCCTGTTATGCCCAGTTCAATGTAAACTTTAGCTTGGCATATTTTGCAACGTTCAGAACAAGAAGATTGTAGTACAATTGTAATTAATTGTTCTTATTCAAGTTTTGGCAAGTTAAAATGTATCGTTGCTCATAGTAATGGATTAAAAATCCAGTAATTAGTTTGCATCTTTGCTGAATATTTATATTCATGATAAGATAAATGGATTCACTATTATGTACTACATCATAATCTTACATTTGGGCACAATATATGGCTTAATTATGCATGATTTTACTATAAACCAGTGGGTCTATCTAGCTTTACCGCATAGATTATGAATGCAACTTAAACTTTGACTGATAATAATCGGAAACTGATTTAATTGTGTGCCTAAATACATTTTCTCACCTGTAATACAACTTAAAACTATAACATGAAAGTATTTATCGCATTGCCCCGAAAAAGGCAAAACGGCAAAAAGGCAATCGGGCATGCCTAAAATTTACGTGCCTAATAGGCAAAAAGGCAAAACGGCACGGGCATGCCTTTTTGCCTTGGCACACTCTGCTACGTAGCACAAAGGTTAGTGCATCCGACTGGTAATTGGAAGATGTGGGGTCAGGTCCAAGCGTGGAAGTCTATTTTTGCTAATTTGCCTATATTCCTTCAGAAAAGTTCTCAATACACTCGCCTCCGAATTCCAACCTCAATGTTATCTATTTACATATCTTATTTTATCATTCATTCTAACTCCCAATCTCAACAATCTCCCACATTATATCCCACAAGACATACATAAATAATACATCAATGATTACAAATTTTGAGTCTTCTACATATTTATATTACCGTGTACAAGAACTTATCACCACTAAACTAATGTGACAATTTATGAATATTCTTATTTTATTCGTCTCCCTCCACTTAAGAAATAATGTTTGCAAGGAAGAGGTTAAGGGGTTAAACATACATAAATATTTTTTACCAACTAATCCGAAAGTACACATTATCTAGGATAATTGTAGATTAGGCAAATAATGGGTTTTCTAAAAAAAAACAAAGAGAAGTAGTGCATTAAATGTGTACACTCGTTATTTCCCTGCTAGCAACAAGCTCACCGTATGATATCCCACTCGTTCTAAATACCTTGAAAAATAATCCATCCCCACCCCACGCTCAATGGTCTCGACAGATCTTAAACATTCTAAATTTATCGAAACTGGCTGCAACCCCGTAATTACGCTTCTTTTTACCTTAGAGTTCCCATAGCATGTAATAACCTTGCGTTTAAACTCGTTCGATAACTTGGATGCCTTTGCGATGTAAGCTATCGATAAAAATTCAAGAACAGCTGCTACAAATAATAAGCCTGGGGACCAGGCAACAATAACAAGAGAAATTTTACCACCTGGTAAAAACTGTAAAATAAAGTAGTAGAGACAAACAGTTGATAAGACACCCGACGAACCAAAATCGTCAAATTTTGTACAAAAGTTGTACTACGAGATTAATGCATATTTACCGTTAAAATGTGAAGCCGATTGGTGTTAATTTTGTACAAATCGGTTGCACAAAATTCGCATCAACACACTGTCACTACAAGTTAGCTTTTACAAAATATGTACAAAATTCGCACCAACACATTGTCACTAGAAGTTAGCTTTTACAATATATGTACAAATTAACACCAAGAAGTATGCACGAATTCTGTGAGAATTTGGTGATAACGAATATGCATTAATGTGATGAGAATTTACTATGGATTTAGTACGAATTCAATGCAAATCTTATGCTAGTGATACGTATGCAATTAATACAAATTTATTTATACTCAATTTTCACTGTTTTATTTATTATTACTTTTATTTATTATTAAACATACATAAGTCTTAAAGTTACTTTGTCTCAAACTACAGTATTATTGACAGATGATTTACAAATCGGGACACAAACGTATTTGCCGTCATTAATAGGCAGAATTATACATTTACGACGTAAGAGTTATAAGAAATTACAATAGATTTCTGAGATAGATCGCATAAAATACATATGTCTAATTTTGAACTTTTACAAGGTTAAAATTCAACATCTAGTCACTATCACTACTACTATTTAAACTATAATTGTCACCGCTTAGATCCAAGTTATTCGCGAGAACATCTAGTTCTACACTAATTACTGGGCTTGACTACTTCATCGTTGCTATCGGCGATACGGTCCGAATCCGTTTCAGTGCTTGCTGAAGTCGCTTCTCTGCTCGACGTTTCTGTGTTTGCTGTGATGTCAGCATTATTTGTTTTGGAAGTAATTTTCATGCGGAACCAACAGCCCATTTGGTGATTGATTTGGGAATCCTTCACAGCATTGTGCGATTTTCCACTTTTAATAGCATCTGTTAAATAAACAAAGTATGCATAAATAAACAATAATGATAAACTTTCATTGAAAAAAAAAACAAATAAAAAATAAGTGACCTCGAACAAGTTTAGCCGACAATCGATTTTCGAAAGGAATCTTGTTACTCTTATCCGTGTACCGAATTTGGCTACGTAGAACATTAGCAATCATGGAATGAAGCATGGCGTACACATCTGGGGCCAAACCGTTACCATTATTTTTCGATAAGAGAGAAACCTGTAATTAATAGCATGGGGTTATAAAATTTACTTCTCACTTATCTGCAGTTTATAACTATAACGAAATATTTGTTTTCACCCACCTGTTGGCTATAGGTCGCCGGATTTTTCAGTATCGCTTCGATTTCCTCTAATTCATCCAAAGTCTTCGCTGGCCAATTTATGTTTGTTATTGGACAGTTTGCGCCTGCTAATCTTGTTGATTTTATGATAAGTTTCTCCAGATTCGCTACTCTTTCCAGTAAAAGATGCTGGTTTCTCAAGGCTTCCTCCTGAAATTCTATGTAAAAATACACGATTAGTTTATTTACACACTTAAGAGAATAAGTTGGCTTTACTTCTGAATTCTGTCAATAGAGATTCAATCCTTGGGTCAGCTTCTAATTGAATAACTTGTACTTGCGAGATTTGGCTATCTGTGGAGGGGCTGCCGCTGAAACTCTCGTTCCCTATTAGTACACAAATTTTAATTTCGTAGTAAATATTGTGTCAAATCGGTAGTAAATTTTAGTTTTCAAGATCGCAATCAAGTAATTATTAGGATAATTATAATGAAATAATGCCTTTGACCATTACCTTCAGATTGCAAATCAATTCCAGGTGCTACAAAATCTACCACAGGGTCTAAATTTGTGTCCTCTCTGGATATCTTTCGTCTTCGTCGTCTTAGTGTTTCGTTCTCACTTGAATCGATGGGCTTATTCTTTATATACTTCTTCAATTTCTTGATCGCCTTATAGTATGAATCTGCCAATTTTTTTAACATATTTATATAAATAATCTTGTATAATAATAACATGCGTGTAAAATTAATGATAAACAATTAATTACCATAAGTTCCGACAAATAATATGCTGTAGTCCATCCAATCCTTTCCTGGGAGAGCACTCGCATTGCACTGGACATTGGAAAACTGCTTAGGAATCGGGTTAGGAAACTTGCACTTTGTTTTGTCCTTAGAAATCCATGTGGATTGCACTACCTCCACCCCTTTATCAATCTCAAACTCGAATAGGACAAAATTTTTGAGAATATCCGACATGGGGTTGTAATTATTTAAGAATTTTCTGGTCAGAATTAAAATATGGAGGGGAAATTTTGAGATGACTCGACGGCGTGGTTAACAGTAGCTGACTGATCACGCAACCAAACTTGATGTATTTCATTCAATAATACATGCTAATTTTGTAATAAATTATTGCAAAATAATCTGCACGAATCTTGTGTTAATATATTAGCACATGTTTTGTGCGTTGGGATTTGTAGCAAACAACGTACAATTTCCCGCGTATAAATTATGCACGAATTTAGTGTACAGGATCATCATGAGAATTTTGTGCGAACGGATTCGTACTGTACTATCGCGAGTTCCTTTGTAATAATTTCGTATCATTGAGTTGTTGACAATTTAGCGAATTTCTTATGCAAGTATATTAACAGTGCACAAATTTATACAAATAGTGTGTGAATTATGTACAAATTTATGATTGCATATTTTTATGCACTGAAATTGCATTCATTTGCACTACGATTCGCAGGAAATTCGCAGTGAGGTTCCTTGGGCAACGAGATGAAAACGATGCAGGGATGGGACTATTAATTCACGTGCTAATTCGGACATGATAATAGTTAAAATACGAAGATTTTTATATATTTTGATTCCAGCTTCGAATCCCAGTCTTCTTCGAAACCTGTTATTAACATAATTTATTCCAATGGATGCATTCAGGACTTTTATGCCCAGGTAGGTAACAACGATGCCGTTTAGGAGACATAATACTATGCATAGCATGGTGATCTGCAGGAGAATGATACTCCAGAAGCAGGATATGATTTTAACAAAGATCTTCACAGGGGTGGGGTAATTCTGGACAAAATGATATAAAGGATTAGTTTGGGGATGAAAAAAGTTTACATAAATAAGCATAACCGGGAATATGAAGTCCAGCCAAAAGTAAATAGAAGCCAATATTTTGTCTACTAGAAAATTGGACCGTTTTTTAAGATTAATCCTTGGTGAAAGTATTCCTAAATAAAAAGAGTGACAAACGTATTTTGCCATAAAGTAATTCTTGATCTATGTATTCAAAAAGTGGATAAATGTAGCAGCCTACCTCGTATCTGTTTATCCGTGAGGAAACCAGCCTAAAAACATGCGACAAGTTTGCTGGGATTTGGAGATTTTGATAAAAACCACAAATACGGGGTGGAAATAAACAATGCATCAGTCATGACAAAGGAGACGAGAAATACTTCCAAGTTGTGATTTTTCCCTTGTGATGTGGAATCTAAGAGTTGTAAAGTTCTGGCAACAAAGATCGGAAACACAATCAGGGTCATAATTCCCGTATAAAGATGGAAGGTTCTGAAATGCCAGGAATTTTTGGAGCAAGGATCTCCCCTGCAGTACTTCCTGTTCCATTTTAATGTGTAACAAGTGAAGCATCCACCTCGTTGTGCGGAGCGGACTGCGCGCCGGAAGTAGTGGACAGCTGTTTCGTGCCACATAATTCGTGTCGTGGTGGACTAGTCTAACGATGGTATTCTCAATATTCTGAATACGAATTTTTGACCGTGAGTGGTCATTATGCTTTCCATGGTACAGAATAGAAATTATGGGTGCCAACTCCCATTCACGGTCAAAAATTCGTAGTCAGAATACTGCTGTAAGTGTACAGATGTATGCATGTATTGAGCAGAGATGTGTCATGCCTTGTTTGCAACGAGCAGATGGAATTGGAATGATCTTTCTTATTTTATTAATTTGGCAGTACATTTTAATGTAAAAATACTTTATTTTGCAAGTATTTGCATATACTTGCATACACTGCTACTTACATAAGGGCGGAGTGTGATATTAGTGAAATATATGGTTTAGTTGATTAGCGTGCAAAATTTGAGCAAGCCATTTGCCTTCCACCTTTTTTGTTTGAAGCCTACAGAAATTTGTTGCAATTCGTATTTTACTCGAATTAGTAAAATGGGCCTAATCAGCGCACTTAAATATCTAAATCTAGAAAGTTCGTCCTTTAAACTAGTATAACAACTCGACTATGTAAGACAAAATAAGACTGAAGGTCTGTAATATTTATTTCGCATAAGCAAATTGTAAATCGCAGATTTTCCATTGTTGGCAGTACAAAAATTATTGTTAAAAAAGCTATGTAAGATGTTCCTACATATGTGCATACATATCCAGAAATATTACCATTCGAATACTCAACGACATCAATCATATTTAAAATGATCTAACTCAATTACACCACATATTTGGTAGTAGGTTCCCAAGCATGTAATTATAAAGTTGGAACTCATTGCATAACTATAGGCAATAATACTATAAATATCGTTATTTTCCTGCTAGTAACAAACTCACCGTATGATACCCTACGCGTTCCAAATACCTCAAAAAATAATCCATCCAATCGTCTCCACGGTTCTTAAATACTCCAAATTAATGGAAAGCGGTTGCAACCCTGAAATAATGCTCCTCTTAGCTTTACTATTCCCATACAATTTTAAAACCTTATTTTTAAACTCGTTCGATAACGTAGACGCTTTTGCGATGTAACAAATCGCGAAAAATTCGATTACCCCTCCTAAAAGTAAAACAATGATGGAAAATATAACAATTTCAAATGAAATTTCACCACCCGGTAAGAATTGTAGGATAAAATAGTACAGACAGATTGTAGAATACACAATTATATGAAAATGGTGCAAACACGGGACCATTAACTGGCGCGCCAATTCAGACGAAATAATCGTTAAAACTCCTTTCGAATCCGAGTTCAATCCTGAACTCTTTTTTGATATAATTTACTCCAATCGATGCATTCAACTTATTTGCTGCAAGATATGTAACCACTATTCCGTTGAGGAGAGACAAAAGGCAGAGGACAACGATGAAATTAAGGACGTTCCAACCTACGCAGGAGATGAATTGGACGAGGGTTCTTATAGGCATGGGGTAATGAGAGACAAATACATACAGAGGATTTAGGTCCGGCTGAGCAAAGCTGATATAAACCATGCCAGTCGAGAACATGAATTTCAAGTAGAAATATGTACCCGAGACTAATTTATCTATAATGTACGTAGATTCCTGGTAAGAATTTTTCCACGAAAATAGCGCTAAATCAAACATATTACTATTACTTAAATTCCATTTTTACATTACACATTTTATTGTTATCCCACCTTCGATCTGTTTATCCCCGCGGATCGTGGCTTCATAAGACGCTACAAACATTTGAAGGACAGATGGCATCGAAAAACACCACACATACGGTATGCAGATGCACAAAAAGTCCGTCATTACAAATGTTCCCAGAAATACTTTCAAGTCCTGCGTTGCCCCAACCTGGTTAGATGTAACTAGCTGAAAAGTCTTTGCGAGCAAGACTGGTAAAGCAATCATGGTCATGATGGCTGTATAAAGCTGAAAGTTTCTAAATCGCCACGACTTTCTAAGACAGACTTCTGCCCTGCCAGTTTTCTCGTTCCATTTTAAGGGGTAGCACGTGAAAAAAGCACTGCCCTCAAGTGAGCGAACAGCGCGTCGGAAATGAATAGTCGCGTCTTGCCACATATTTACTCATCTACTGAAGTACATTGACTAAAGTGGTCTATATTTAACATGAGAACCATGCTAGTTTTTATGTATATTGGCAATAATTTAGGTCGAGGCAATGCTGCATGTAATTATCTATGAATTAGAATAATTAAGTATTTTTTTTACTAATTTGACTTGTTTTTTTTACTATTTATTAGTTACCAAAAATGTTGCATTTAAAAACAGTTTTAGTATCCATAAATACTCCCAAGAAACGCATTCACGTATGTATGTAAATATTGTATTTATTCCGTATTTTACTCCGTTCCTAATATTTTTTTCAGTTCGACAACAAATAATGCATCCTCGGTTCCTTGAGGTTCCAAGGATAAAATTTTAATGGCTTCAATAGCTGTTGTTTTTAATTCAGGTGCCACGTTGTGAATCTGTACTTTGTAATCTTGCGCGACACCTTTATCATTTAAATTGTTGTATCCCATTGAGCTTCCATCATTCTGGTTAAGGGCGTCCTTATCCCGCAATCCGATGCACAAATAGTATAAAAGTTTTCCTAAATTTATTTGGGCACAAATAAAATAAATTAATAAATTAAATAAATATACTTGTATTATACAGTGTGATCCATGAAGTATCTAATTAGCCCGGATAAATTTTTTCAGCAATTTTTACATTTAATGATTTAATTGAAAAAGCTGTCCCGACATTATGGTAGCATTTCCAGCCAATTTGTGTTCCATTTGGTTGGTCTGTCACTAAGAAATTGTATAAAACGCTGAGGAAACATTTAACATCACAACTAACTGCTACGAGGGGAAAATATCCTTTTTAAATTTCACTTTGGATCACCCTGCATATCTTAACAATGAATTGCCCTATTTACAAATATATATACATACCTCGCAATGATCGTGGCCCTGGCGTAAAAACGTTGACCGTTTTAAGCAACATCCTCACAATCTTGACCATCTTGGTCTTAATGATTTTCACATCACGTGCCGTCCTCTTGGACGTATTCCAACCATTAGGACCCTGTTCAAGAAACTTGTACATGACTCGAATAAAGTCTTCTCTAAAAGCGTAGAGCAAATAATGGTTTTCATGCAAGACTTTTCCTTCATATCTTGTTAAAATGGATTCAAACTGCTTAACCGTTCTCATACTACACTCTTGTAAATCACAGGATAATTTTGACTCCATGTCAAAGTAGTCCAATACATCCTCCACTTGGTCGATTGGTCGTGTTTGAGAGCAATCCCCGCAAATCCATTGGACCATCGCTGAGTTTCCCATGTGCAGAGAAATATATCCAGTTCTACACTGTTGGCATTTTATGGAAGAAAAATGTGTCCCCAGCTCTGTCGGGTCGACGCAACGAGGACAATCGCACGTGAAATAGTAACGTGCACACGACTCCTTCCTCTGCAATGTTCCATTTAAGAGTGCAATGTATGAAATTGTTATTTCCTCCCCGGGTTGAATTGGTCGCGTCGCGATAAGCTCGAGGCGTCCGGTATCTCGTATTACTGACCTTGCATTTGGAACGCAACTGTGACTAGCTATACAAGCGTAGTAGTAAACGTACATGGTGAATCTAAAAATGAAGAAATGCACATAATGGTTACAATTTGATATTAGGCAGGTTCAGCAAGGATAAAATTTTGTGATTGTAATTTTGATTGTAGAGTTAATAGTTTCTTATATATACAGTCAAATTTACAGTCATAATCACAATATTTTACACTTGCTCGACCTGCCTAATCTTGCACAGTTGAGTTGGTTGAACACTTTTCCAAGTCCAGCCGATTGTTTTAGTTAAAAAAATATCTGAACCGAATCCGGTCCGACAAATTTCGGTTCTGGTAGATTATTTAACCGACATTCGGTTAACCGACTCAACCCTAGATTTTTGCTTGTTATTGTGAGTAGTTATTAACCCATGCATAAATATGTACCTACGTACCTCTCATCATTCCTCTCGATTACGTCTGCCATTTGAGATAAGCCATTGCTACTGATAATACCCAATAATATTGCAACGTCCTTTTCCTCAATGGTGATATCCTCATGAAAATATTTTTTGATTGCTTCCGTCGTATGTACACTTTTAAAACTAGAACGAGGATCGTCCATTCGGTTGGCATAATTTGATTCCATTCCAATCAACGTTTGATACCTTTTGGGATGTTCTTCCTTCAGAAGGAGACATCTCAGCACTTGTATAACCATACATGATCCATACAATGACGGAATGAATTGAGACTTGGCTAGAATGTGGCATTCATTCCGGGCGTGATCAGGAATCTGGTTAGAGTTGTAAAAAGAACATAACTTTTTTAAATATTTAGTTATAGTTTGAACATTTTTGAATTTTTGCATTATCAAATCCCATGTAAAACTGAACTATTTTAAGTTTAATTTTTGTGAAAACATCTGCTCCTTAAATTTTAAACAAAATAGACAAAGCTTTACACACTTAAGAGTGATTCTTATGATAAAGTAACTTTCTGGGCATATAATTGTTCACAAATTATCAAAATTTAATGAAAACCTGAATTTTTTGGTGAAGGTTTGAATGCACCATTGAGTAGGTGTGGATAGAGCAAGTGTGGACATAGACTAACATCCTCTATCAATTTACTTGTGCTCACGTAAAACTACAACATATCCAAATGAAATCAAAATCTGCTATTCTCTCAAAAGCGTACATACATTCCTCGCTCATTATTTTAAAAAATATTTGTAAAAACATGTATGTGCATACCAATTCGCACGTGGGCCCACAAACAGGCCACCCACATTTTGAGCAAGTTTTATTCACCTGCGGATTAATAACTTTGAAGCAACCGATGCACATTTCATCCATGGACCCATTTCTGTTATCGTTTCCAGAATATGGAAGAACAATAAGGGGTCGTTCTTTCTCTATCGTGGACCACGTTGTAATTACCCTTGTCGCAATTAATATATTTCCTTTGGCTGAATTATGAATAACTTTGCATGGTTGGCAATCTCCTTTATGCACGGGCCAATCTTGGATTTGATGCTCCTTGCAGCAATAGTGAGTTTTGTTACATTTTGAACATTTATATTTCGCAACGGAGTGACATATTTCGCATGAATTGTCACCCATTGAAATAGATATGTACTTCAAACTATGTTATATAAAATATAATTTAATTTAGAAAATAAACAAACATAAATAAATTCAGTTCACTCAGAATCCTGATGTTGCACACCTTTTGTAGTTAGTTTACCAAAACAACTCCGTTGCAAATTATTTGTCATATCGAGAATACTTGGATTATATTCTTATCAGTGATAATCAGTTTAGATTGACATTCCACCTCAACTGTTGTAATATACATTGCAATTCTGGTGACCAATATAATAGTTTCAACTTGTATGTAAAACTTTCAGGATGAAACTGTAGAACTTTAAATTGTAAAATGTGAGACTGGATTCGCCAAAAATAACTACAAAGCTGACTACAGAAACACGACTATGAATACTACGAACATGCGGAATGATGGACCGGGACGGGAGAGAAGTAACGGGATAAAAAAAGTGGGTTTTTGTTGATCATCCTTTGTACATATAATGATACAAATTATGAGCAACGCACAAAGTGCATGTCGAGTATATGCACATATGTACATACCATGTTGACGGAGGTTACATAAAACTCACAACTTCCATCGACACAGAGCAGATTCTATACCCTGGTTTTTACGTGTTGGAAGCTGGGTATGTATATATAAACATAATCCGGGATTCTTTACCCAGACAATGGCACTATATGTACAACTAGACATACTGATCCATACCAATATCACTGGTCGATATCAGTTAGTTGTTGATTCATATTATGCATAATTCACAGTTAGGTTCAATTTTAATTTTTGTTTATGTGTTAATAATGCGATATATACATACATACATATAAATATATGGATGAGTTTTTCTTATTTTATACATATGTATTTTGTGCATAAGAGTTTACATGTTTTCCAGCATATAGGAAAGGAAATCAAAGTTGTATTTATGTAGCTGTTTTTAACCCATCTTATAATTTTTGACCGTTATGGTTATAGTGGCCATCCCATGACAGTTCCTATAGCTCATTTTTTTACTGTTTTTAAAATCAAATTTGAACAAATTCGGTTAGAAATGAAGGTTTCGATTATACAGGCAAGGCCAATTTTACTCTTTGTGCCTCATTATATATGACTTTGCAAATCAAAGCGTGGTAATACTGCTCAAATTTGAACAGCGACTGAATTAGCGTATATACACAATTTCCTGAACAATTATCCATATTAGTACACTATCCACTACATAAATATGATTCGTGATTTGACTCCGATTTTCTGTATCAACATACTTACATAAATATCTATAGTCACCGAAATCTGGTCAGTATTGACTCAAATTACAAAATGCCAGTCAATCTACATCCTCGAACAAAAAGTATTTTATTCTCTTCTTCCAGAATTTGTAAGTAAGGCAAAAAGAGGGAAATGCATCATATTTTTTCTGACGCTTATCTAATATTTAATTGGAAATTAATTAACACTTTAAGATTTTTGACGTGAATACACCATATAATATGTTCAAAATTATTAAGCTTGATAATGTGCCGTATTTCAGTAATTATTTTGATAAATTAAGTTCTGTTCATAATCATGATACACGTCTCGCTGATGATGGACATATGTAGGAGTACTATTAAAGCTTTTTTTTTACTCCTGTGTAGTTAGCTTTTTTTAATCACTAATTTTGTGTAATGCCAATAAGGGAAACTCTGCGATATACAATTTACTTCTGCGAAATAACTATTAAAGCTAATACTTTTGCTGGTTTGTCTACATTTAATTTTAGGGGCGTGCAACTTTGGAATAATTTAAGTACTGAATTGAAACGTGAAACATGCTATGTATCTTTTAAAAAAAACTTCAAGAATTCAATATTGTCTTGTTACTGATCATGATATTGGCTAGATTTTATTTTTGTAATAATAAGGGGACAATTTATAGTTTATGGTCCAAGTATTTCCTGCTTATTACAGGACTGTCGCACAGTCATTCTATGTTGTTGTGCGGATCCATAAATTAAAATCCGTGCAATCCGGATATACATACACTACACATGTACATACATACATACATACATACATACATACATACATACATACATATGTTATTATATGAGCAAGGTACATACATATGTACATATTTATATGTATATAAGGTTAGGGATCATAGTGTGCGACTCCTGTGTACATAGTCAGTTTTTTAAGATATTTGTATTGAACTAATAAGAATTGAATAATAAAATGTCAAGTGTATATAATACTTGTAGGCAGGCCCCGATTTTGGGGGGGGCAACCGGGGCAATTGCCCAGGGCGCCAAAATGCGAGGGGCGCCGTAAGGCGCCCGGCGTACACTAGATAAGATTAGGTTTTTTCGTCCATCTCCTATTTTAAAAATTACGCAATAATATATTATAAATAAGCATAGTAATACATATTATCCCATTTAGTAATAGTATTGTATAACAACCATAATTTTGATACTTGGATGAAAGTTTTATTACTAAGTTAATGGAGCGTGTTGCAAACCCTGATTCGTGGTGTGAATATTGACAACTACGTCAGCATCAAAGATAGTTTCCTACTGATGTGGAGATATATTTTCTTCTTCGAAACGAGGTGGAAAGTTGTATACATAGACGGATCCAAAAGATCAAACCGGGAGTCACTGTCCATTTGACAACAGTGAGCGTTGTCTCCTCTAAAATCCGAAGTCGTGGACGCAAATTTCGTTTGAAAGTTTCGAAACAACAAGTTAATACTGCGATAGGTCTGCAGCTGTGTTGTTCAATACTGTTTCGTTTTTAAATCAGAGAAATTAATTTGCCATGTAGATTCTGCCAAGTCGGAAAATTATAATCATTGCTCAAAAACCTTCTCAGGCTGCTCGCAGATCACTTTTAGCCTGTGGATGTTGTTTATAGGTAGGTCGGCGTCGTTGACTCTTGTACACTGCCCACATGATTGGAATTTAATGCTACCCTTAAGCTCTAAAATAATTCGACATATGTATATGCCAAGTACAAGAGTTCGCTCTGCCAAGCGAATTGCCCCGTTTTTCTGTTAATTACTTAATTTGAATTATCTATGCACGTCACTTCTGAAATTACGATTAAGATGTCTACACTGTGTCCCAAAAGTATCTGTGCATCACTCGTGCGCGCGGTTTTCATCAACTTTTTCCCTTACATCTTTTGTGTTTATTTTTATTCTTAAACATTTCTTGACCCAATGGCCTCAAATGTCATGCAATCTCGTGAACATACGAGTGAGGATGCAAACATTATCACAAGAAGGATATCCTGTCGAGAGCAGATACATTTGGGACACGGTGTAATTAAGATGAAGATGTTTAATCATGGTCCAATAAAACTTGTGATGATAATGGACCCTCGTTAACGGTTTACCAAACGTATATGCTTTAAATATTTACCTATAATTCCCCTTTGTCAACAAATTCTTATAAACTTACTCAACTGGAAGTGAACAAATTGATCGTGAAATCGTACAATTTTGTTCCCGGTAAACTAGAGAGCCTGTACTTTATTAAAGCGAAAGCTTAAAAACCCTATTTAGCGAGCGATTTCTGAAAACACAGAATTTCCTGACAGCTTGGGGCGCTCGAAAAGTTTGCCCAGGGCGCCAAAATCCAAGATCGGGCACTGCTTGTAGGGCACTGTACGTATGTATGTTGCACAATGAAATAAGTAAATACTTTACACCATACCTCACTAAGGATAAATCCACTTATTAGTCTTTGCACGTGCTACATTTACAGGCGTCATGCCAAGAAAACTCTTGGACTAGAGGGAAATGTTATTTATTATAAAAGCTATATATTTACGCTTCCAGTATGCCTTGTTTACATAAACTCAATTACACAAACAAATTTATTTTAAAAAGTAATTTCAAAATTCAAACACCATTAAAATTTGAGTGATTAAAACTAAATATTTTTTTTACTTGGAAAAAGATACTTTCTAATCCGAATCATCACCGCAGTCTCGTCCCATTATATTACCAAACCCAATCCCTCGTTCATCATCATCATCATCATCTTCTGAATCATCGACTCTCAGAGGGGCATCATTCAGTGTCAGTTTCGCAATGTCGGGAACGCTCTTGTTCAGCGACTCCAATGTGGACTGGAGCTGATCAAGGGGCGTGGGGTTGATATCATCCTCCTTCTCGGGAACATTTTTATCTTCTTTAGACATCATGAAATACCTGCGGAAATTTTAATTTACAAAGCTAGTACAAAAATGCTTGGCAATAGGTATAAATTTAAGGCGGGAAAAGCTGGGATTAAAAATTCTCAAGAATCTTTTTATAACATTATAAAAAAATTCTAAAAAGATAAGAATACAATACAAAATGCCATTTTAATGCAAAACAGTTGACCGACGCCAAATATTATTACTTACAAAAATATAAATTCCGCCGGAAGCGTAATCCCCGCAGACAGGAAGAAGAATGCTCCCGCAAAAAATGTTACAGTACTTCGGTATACGAGCGCGTACGTCGGCATCATCACCAGTGGTAGTAAGCTGTCAATTACCCCAAGAAGCGCAAACAGCTTCCCCACCTCGTTTGCGGCCACTAATTTAGAAAGCATGGATCTCACAACGACGCCAATAGTGCCGTTCATCATGTCCAGTGCGGAGGCTGAAGCAAATAATTATTTTTTTTTGATTTATCTATACGTTCGATAAGTGTGTATAAGGCAAACTTATAAAACCAGGTGTAAAAAACCTTTCTTTACACCGCCATTGGACGAAAAGAACCATTCGGTAAATTTGCTCGAAATAGATAAATATTTTTCACATGATTTTCAAATAGTACATACCGCAATACATCATCGCCGCCGATGTTGCGAAAGCGTACAATGTCGAACCTCCTATTTGACTTAATCCCGACACAAATCCCACCAAAGGGTCCGACAGCTTAAGCGTTTTGCTTAAAATATACATCGACAAGAAAACCCCGGCCGCACTGAGGAGCCAATTAATCATGGAGAAAAATCCAAACGTGCTTATATTCCATTGAAGCCGTTCCCTGACGAAGAGATAAATCATGGAATGTTCCGCACCTGGTGCAGCGTAGCAAATGTGGACCAAAACCAACAAATAGAATTTCCACGGGTTATCCCGCTTTTGAAACAGGATCGCAAACGCTTGAATCAACTTGGTGATTGGATTGTACTTCTTCCAGCAGGATTGTTCCCGCCTATTCCTAACTTGTGTCTTGCCATCAGTTTCACCTCCAGTAACTGAAATTTCCTCAGGTCTTCCTTTCTTCACAGTTAGCAGCACAATCAGAAACGCGCAGCCCGACAGACTAGCCGAAATCAGCAGCGTTTTTACAATCCCAACCTAAAACTTCATTAACAATCCGCCAACCACGAAGCCGATTGGAGTGCCAGATCTGACCGAGGCTGAAAACACGCCCATCCTCACGGTCCGGTTTTTCGGAGTGGTCGTATCACAAATATAAGATCCCGCCGACATACCAAACACAACAACACCCCCGGTCAGTCATTGGCAACATGACGAGAAGGGCTATGTGAAGGGCACGAATATTTCCGAGGTTTAGATACCCCACAATCATCATGGAGGGCATTAACATCATCCCTGACATGGATAAGAGCAGCGGTACCTTTCGCCCATTCATGTCACTCCAGGGTCCGATAAATAGCACTACGAGGACTGTAATGCAACTGAATATAACAGATGTGATGGCTTGAATACCCGCGACGACTTTTTGTATTTCCCGCTCCTCTGATTTGTACGTGATGTTTCTAAGTACAAGTTATAAAATTCAATTTTTAGACTTTTATTAATACTTTGTCACAATTTGCATATAAATTTGGAATCCCAGATTTTATTCAGGTTCACCAATAGATACATATTTAAAATTCTTGATTTTATGCCATATGTACTTACACCTTATTAATAATCTCTTTACAAGTGTCCGCCTCATATCCCAAATCGACCCGACAGATAGTTTCCATCATCACGTTTTGGAAGGCGAGATGAGAAACTACCAAGCTAAGTACGAGCAGGAATCCGGCCGGTTCTACGGTTAACCCTTTAACGAAGGAGATGCACGATTTCGGTCTTTTGCTTCTTTCGGGGTTTTCACCTTCCACTAAATTTTGAGGCATTTTAAATTCTGTTTAAAGAGTACAGTGTAGTTCCAAGGTGTATGTATGGTATGTATCCCACGGCCAAGTGATGAGTATTCATTGCAAAACCCAGCTTAATGAAGATATACATTGGCACACAATGCTACCGTAATCATCGCTACCATAATGATAAGGAGATAAGCTGATAAGTATTTACTTACATATTTATGAATGTACTTCAGTTTGGAGGAATTACAGATTTTTTTTTTTTGCATATGTGGTAGTTCTAGGTGAGTGTGGGGAAAGCAATGGAGGTTTAAGTATGCTCATAGGGTACTAAATACGTCATATGTACCAAAAACTCATCAAAATCTCTGATTCCTCCAAACTGAAGTTGCCCTCCTTAGGACTAGTGCGACGAGGAAGGCTTACATCAAGCAATGACCGCGGAAGGGAGGAGGGCACCAAATTGGCAGAAAAAAATGAAATCTTCGGCGATACCAAAAAAATCTCAATAATTCTCAATATGCGAGTATTCCCTTGATGTATGCTAATGTCCCCGGCACGTTGCTCAATCCTTGACTGAAATCAGTCTGACCCATAATTTATTGGAACAATGGGTTATCTCGATATCTGAATGTATTTGCTCATCGCATTTTACACTTTGGTTAACTAAACATGCGATGTGCTCCGGCTTTATGTACAGTGCAAGAGTATGAAATATTTCTCATAAATATGTTATTCGCACATTTATCCGGACAATGAGATGTAATTGATTAATATGGATTAATTAATTTGACATCGTAAATACACACAGTTTAATTAGCGATAAGCGTTTAAACTTCAGTCACTATATTGATTTTAATAAAGTTTCGCTATGCAGACTAACTTTTTATTACTACCAAAACATGGGAACTTCATAAGACAACATAAGTAATTTTTTTGGGGATTTTGGCATATCACTACGCCGTGCAAACACCTATTCTATGCACGAGATAACCCACCATCAAGTGTCTCTGATTAGACCTGGGTGTTACTTATCCTTATTCTAAGAATTTAGATATTTGAATGACATTCACATCACATTAATATGTGCTTAATTTGCACAATATCAGCAAAATGTATATACAACATGAGTTTCCAAAAAAAACTTACCTCTAATAGAGGATTTACAGTATGTATAAGTTCCTCGATGATTCTACATTAATAAAAACGTGATGATCCAATCAATGCATTTCTGCCAAATTACGAATGACGTCAATCGATCGAAAAATCTTCCATCGCCGAGTGATAACTTTGAGGGAGGGCAGGATTTTATGAAAGCCACCTCGTACTTGGAAAGCTTGTTGGTCTTTGTAAGTTGGATAAACCTCATAGATTTGACGTAAGGATTAGAACCGATTTTGAAAATCCCTAAGATGACGATCAAGTAATCAATCGCGGCAATTGAGAGCAAAACGAAGATCGGAAGTGGAATCAGCTCCCCTGATTTCATCAATATGTAGATGGCGCAGCTTTCAAGTAAAGTTAAAGTACCAATGATCACTCCCATCGAAGGGGCGGCAAAGACGAAATTTTGCAAGTTTGATAGCATTTGTAACGTCCTCAACTGCACGAAGTTGCGCCAATTTCTACGAAATTTGAAGTAAAATAAGGATCAGTATAAAATGTAGCTGCACCATTAAAAAGTTTACTACGATGTATTTTAAGTTGCTAACTATAAGTAGTAATTAAACATTAAAAAATTTGCATGAAAAGCATTACACAACTTCGTTTACACTATTAATGTATTTACCTCTCCATATCCTTTAGCAGCAATAAGTTGACTTCCACTGGATACAGTATCATTATCATAAATACGAAAGCGCTGATACCAATGAGAACGGACCACATGTACATTTCGTATATTCCCACTGCCGCCTTAATCAGAAACCCAGTAGCAGCCCCATCATCCGTCCAAGAGGTGCAGGGCACAAAGGCAAAAGCACTAATGAGTGGGGGCATGCAGGGTTGAAGCAAACTAAGGATGAACACGGCGGGCAAGATGAACCCAACCCCCCACGTGATGCATGCTCCCATCAGGACAAAATACGTGGTTACGTACCTCCCCAAATTTCCTGCATTGTTAAAAACTGTGTATAGAACTATATTTAAAAACCTTCATTATAATTTCACATCAATTCAAGTTTGTCCAAAATAATTTGACTCTCACTGCTTAGTCTCACACTTACATAAACTTGTATGTATTTGTTGTTTAGAAAAAACGAACTAACTTTGGGATCTTCTTCGTTTAAAATTTTCATCCGTCAGCGATCGATATGGCTAATTGTTTGAGACACCAAAATAAATCTAATCTAAATCGTCTAAATGTAAACCGAAACATGTTAGCAACAAAATTGTTACGTTGTTCAAAAACCGTATGCATCCATTTTTTATGTGCATCTATTTTTTATAATTTCCCCAATACTACTATTAAATTTGAATTAATTTTCTAATCATGTATCCTTAAAATATTTACGAATAACTACATACATAAGTCTGTGGAAAGAATCGCTGCTCGCCCCGAAGCCCGTAATGAATCAACAATTCTGGATCAATTTTGTGACTAATTTACACAGATATTTATGTATACATACTTAATTTTATTACCTCCCCTTTGCAACTTGATTTCCACTGACATTGCTGAGTTGAGCAGTGTGACGAGATGCATTTTAACCTGATCGATATGTGGGAACGAAAGTGACTCTGCCGCAAATATTATCATACTGCATGTCACAAGCATGAATTTCCACGTGGGAGTGACCACACCACACTGTTTGTGGTCGAACCATTGGATTTTGAACCAGTTTAAGCACCCGAGTAAATGTAACAAAATTCCAAGCTGAGCAAAATATTTGAAGAATTTTGTCCTCCATCCAGGTCTTGAAGGTATAAATGTACCACTTTTATTGGGAAAGAGGGGAAATTGGCGGGGGTAGAGGCAGAGCTTTGAAATGAACGTGACCAACGGGATATTGGAGGAGGAAGTGAATGCGTTTTTTAAGGGGTAAATTAAACAACGCAAATATTTTGTGGAAGGCATTTTCAATAAAAATAGGAGCAACACATTGGGGATGTAGGCCTTTAGACAAAGCATCGCTTTTGGCGTTACACACGACATTCTTACAGGAGGCTTGAATTCAGTTTTCTTCGCGAAGTGCTTGACAACAACGAAAAACTCAAAAAATGTATCAGAATAAAAAGATCCTAACGGTGTGCGTCACATAAAATTTATTGCCGAATGTGCCTTTCACATACATATTTTAATTTTTGCAAAATTTTATCACTTTACGGGTTTTCAACTTGCGTTTATATACACAAACGACCACATGAATTGTCCTACAAGTTTAAATGATTGAAAATTGAGAGAATGTGAATTTCGTTAAGTTTGAATGAAAATCAAAGAACCTTGTTCTTTCAATTTCATTTAGATCCGTGTATGAATTTTAACCGTTGGTTTCAAAGTCTTAACTACACGGTTATTTGGGTTACTAGAAATATAAGCAAGGTGGTTCTAGGCACAGTGAAACCGTGAGTGATGAATTAGTAAGATTTTATTTCCAGTGCTTGAATCGATCAGAACCTGTCTTGCAATTTGTGATGCTTTAGGAAAATTTCAAACAAACAAAATAGTCGGGCTAGAGCGACTGTCAAGGGTAGCACCATCGTCGTCAATTTTAGTTTAATAAATATCGATTTGGGAATTGACCATATTTCAACCTTTAAGTATGTAAATAAATTTACCTTTGGGCATGTTGAGATGTCAGAAAAGAGCTTCATTTGTTTAGCAAATGCGTATGTATGTACGTAATGAGCTTGCGAGGTGTACATACCCTGACATGTTTTTATCAACTTTGTACACATTGCAGGTAAGTCGAGAACAAACATTGAATGCAAATATCGGCATTCGACATACGTATGTATGTACTTTATATTGTGGGAAGTACACTCTCGCCCAAAATTGGTATCATTGAAAAAGTATGAAATACATATATCTACAGATATTGTTTGAAAAGAGACAGTTGGATTCAAAATATGTACATATACTCGGTTGGGTATTGGATCACTCGCTTACATAAATATAAGCCCATATTCGAGAGACTAGAAGGTTGAGAGTTTATGTTTAATGAAGTATCAAAAACGTATTAAATGCAGCGACATGTTGTGTATTTGCATTGCGCGGTATTGGGAAAATATCAAAAACTTCAAGTATCCTTCCTATTATTCCGCCCAGAACATATTTACACTGGTCAAACATCTTAGAACTACCTGAACTCCGCGGTCCCTGAACTTTGTTCTAAGACATATTTAATTAGTTAGTTTTGAAAATACATTCATAGATTAACCCCAAAAAAGGATTGCTCAGGTGAGACCACATGTGCGAATAAAAGATAAAAATAATCCCCGCACCCTTCATACGACAAAGTATTCGTATTCCTAGGATCACCGCCCTGCCAATAATTTTGTGCTCAGAAACTGCTTAATTTAACCATAATAATATGTGTATGCATGCACCGTGTTGGCTTCAACGATCTGATGAAAACTCTATGAAAGCTATTTTTGCCGAAGATCGTCTTGTTGAGATTAATTATAAATTATAAATTAATTATATGAACAGCAAGCAAATTCGGTAGTTTCATAAATGTGTATATATACGTCATATTCCTGCATAGATTTATGTATGTATTAACAAATAATTAACTAAATTGTTTAAATATTTTTAAACTTTTAATTTCTTGGGCACAGGTGATTTGAGAAATTAGTTGATTTCTTATTCTTTAAAAGTTTGCATGGAGAGTATTGCAAGGTATCGAATTGATTGGAGAATTACATTCAAAGCATCATTCGGGTAGTGAGCGAGAGCGAGCGAGCGATGCATAGGATGATATCATATCACTGCAGGTACCAGATACGCACAGTGTCTCATCATGGAACGAGACGTTCGCTTATGATTAATTGTGTATATATATACATATATGTACATACATACGTATATTTATACGCTTAACAATTAATGCATTTTGATTACACCCATATGACAAATGCAGGATATTCACGTCTTGCAGCAATGTTCTGGCAAGGTGCACGCGAAGTTTGACAGAATATCCATTTCATCCACACAGAAGTTAAATTATTTGCTAAAATTTTAATCTGATTTTGATACACTTCAAAAACATGATTGAAATACAATCCCGAGAAATACATGTCAAGCTGAAAACAGATGAAGGCAAAATTGCAAAACCTGTTTGTCCTAACCTTTCGTCGCTTCCTGTTTTGCTCGTAAGATTGCATTTGAATTTTTTCATGTAAGTATTTGCAAAAATAATTAATTATCTCCCTTGGATTAGAAATATCAACCGATTGATGACACCCGCGTCGAGATAGAGTACCGACATATTCATTTTCCACTGTAGAAAATTGTTCGTGCAGACTATCCTGCCGATGACAATTGCAACGATAATTGTTCCGTACGAAAAGGCTTTTTTAAGATTCGAAAACCGGTAAAACGGCAACGGAAGGTACAGAATACATTCAAATAAATAATAATCTTTTTGAGCCAAATTGTTTCATCCTGAACATTATTTAGGTGTAATTCCTAGGAGTGTTTAATTTTGCGTATACATAATACAACTTATAATTTTTAATGTAGATTCTTCTAACAAGGAAAAGGAGGGGAGCAAAGTGGTCACGGGCGAATCCAACTCCCAAGAAGCAAGGTGGTCATTCTAAGAGGCTGTTGGTGAAAGTCACCCGTTCGTCCAAAGTTTTCATTGTTTCGGATAATGATGCTAATTAAATAATTACTCATCCATCTATTTTATTAACGCATTGTCATATATGTACCTCTTTACCTAGGTCCAGGACGATATTCAACCATTTGAAGAATTCAAGACTACACATTTGGGGGGCCAGAAGGTCAACCTCAACGTTCCATAACAGTGACAATCCAATCACCCAAACTTTCTAAGTTTCGATTAGCACGGTTTACGTCCTCATATATTGTTACTGATTCCAGGAGTGGAGGATACGATAATAGTAAAAGTCACTATTATCTATGAGTTTAATATTCATGTGCATCAGTAGTTAATCGTATCCTTATATTCAGGCTAAATTCAATAACTTTCTGCATGTTACTTTTTGGACCTTTTGATCATATACTTGCATTCAAGAACTTTTTGGACCTCATCATACAGATGAGGGCAGCGTTCAAGGAGGAATATTTAATAACCATCGCAACCCCAGCGAGTTATTGGTACTTGAGGCACTTCAAGATTGACACACAAAATGGGAAAACTTAATCAAATCCTGCAAAATTTGTACATGTAATGCAAATTATTTCAAAATATTTCCAAATATTCCAAATAATTTCCAAATATTTCCAAATATTTCAAATATTTACATACGTAGACATGAAAACGTCCCCTACAAAAAACAAGTCTCACCGACTTTCTCTCCAAAAAGTTGTCGAGATTTTGCTTTCCCTAAAGTTTTTATATTTCTTTCAAATTAATTAAATGCCAACTTAGCAAGATTTAACTCCCATTTTATAATTTTATGAATTTTGTGATTTTAAATTTACACAAAATATGAACTACGCACATCCGCATTCAGTAGCAAAATATGATACACTGATAAATCTGGTGTTGTCGCACAGATATTTATTTATACCGGTCCGTAAAAATTTCCTACCGCTATGCTAAAACGTTATTACCAAGCAGTTACTACATGGTATCACTGATCAATACCACTTTCACAGAGTAATATGTGAATACCGTTTGATATTATTTTAATACTGAAGTTTCTAAGAACATACTGAATTATTAGAGTGTAGATATACATATATTTAAAAATGATCATAACTTAATTATAAAAAATAAGTAAATATGTAATTGTATCAATTGTTTGTCGTATTTACGATATTCCAACCAAATAAGTATTTCCTACATGTTTATGGCATTTCCTACCTAACGTTTTATATGTTTATGGAATCCCTACCTAATTTTTTTTACATGTTTACCGTATTCCTACTCTAATTCCTACATGTTTTCCGATTATTGGACGGGCCTCTTGTTTTATAAACAAGTAATTGATGCCATAAAAAAATCATGTCAAATTTAATACCTTAACTTCCTCGTGCATACATATGTACGTGATGAGCTAAATACTTATCGCCAAGATTTCAGAGGTGGAGGAAGTTTGTCGGTAAAATCGGGAAACGAAATCGAGAAGCCAGACAATGCGGAACTTGGTAGTTGTGGCGGTCATTCTATTGTTTTTGATGGGTATGCAAATTGGTCGAGGTTTTCCCTAATTTGTAAAAAATTCGAAATTTCCAAATTAAAAAAAGTAATTTGGCTCGAAAGAATGTCTTTTGGGGAAAGGCATTTTAAAGTTTCCGGGAATATTCTAAAATTCCTCGAATTCTTTCGAAAATTCTTGGGAACATTCGAACATGCCTGGGAGCATAAGGAAAAATAATTTCGAAGATTTTGCCAGACTGAATTTTTAACTCTTATTTTAGGTTCGAACGCTCAAAAATGCTACTCTTTTAGCTGGTTCGGGTCCGTGCCGGGGATTTGTTACCTCGCCCTGAATTGCGTGGCACCCTACAAGGTTCTCAACAGTGGGGCTGGAACCTGCAATACTCCGTATGAAGTTTGTTGCAGCGATGTGTGACGAATTTTGTGAGGTCAAAGGTCAAATATGTACACTTGTATTTTAGAGAAGAATAAATAAAACGGAATCGTTACCTCAAAAAATGTATAATTATTGCTGTTTATTTATATGATAATCAGGGGTCGGAGATGTTTTTATATTCAAATTTTGCACTTAATGAATACCGGAAGTCCAACTTTATGGGTGTGTTTCTCCTTAAAAAATATAGTTCTGTCACAAAATGCTAAGTATTGCCGATGCTAAGGTTAGACGCCAATCATAACTTGATGCGTATTTCTAATCGGAATAACTCCCTGAGATAAATTTTTGATTCCAATGGAATTATTAAATAGAGAACAACTTTTTGCGTAATTTTAAATGGTTTGTACCAGATTCAAAGGGAAAACTGATTTTTAAAAGAAATTTCGAAAAATGTTCGGTTAGGGTTTTAAAGAAAAAAATTCATGACCATATCATAATCATCAAAATCATTTTGGCGGTAGTTAGCATTTTGATATCTTTATCCGTCACCGTGAAATTAATTTCCTGCTTAGCAAATTTTGCGACTTTCGCCCTCCTACCCGTTGAATAAGGGGTGGAGTAGAATTAAATTATTAGTACCGTCGCACTCACAAAAATCAGCCCAACAAATTGTGCAAATCGATTCACTTCGGTTTTTGCAAAATTTTGCAATATAATTTGACCAATTTCCAGAATCATTAAAAAAATCATTGCAGTAACTCTGGATCTCAATCTGATTAACGCTTTTTGGAATTTCATGTTTCATACAATTTTTCATCGGGCGTTAAAATTACTCAAATTCCATTTTTGTAGTAAATTGTTAAAATTACTGAAATTTCATTTTTGTAATAAATTGTTAAAATTAATAACGAGGTGAATTTTGATAATGAGATGAAACTAATTTCGAAGTAGTTACGAAGCAAAGTATTCACACCCATCGATTCACTTAAGTTTTTGTTAACTGTGTAAAATCCTAAAATAATTTGATAAGTTTGTAAAACCATTCGTAAATTAAATATTAATTGAAAACTAGATTTTAATCTAACCCATTCTTTTTATATTTTCATGTTTCATATGATTTTTCATCCGACGCTAAAATTATTCAAACTTCATTTTTGTAATAAATCATGAAATTTTTTGTAATGAGGTGAAAATGGTGAAATTTATTTTATTCAACTGATAAATTCGTCGAATTACTGATCATGCCGATATTTCTAAGATATATAAGCCAACCAAATAGTGAGGCAATTCGCGCAGACGTTAGTAACTTTTGTAACATGTGTAACTTTTGTAAAATAGATTGTACAAACTTTTACAAAGCAAGAAGATACCCTGAGTAAGTTTTCAAAAATTGGTGAAACTAATTTCCTTCAGAAATATTGGCAAAATTTTGTAAAAGTTTGTAAGTTTGCAGAATTTATGGATTTTACAATGTTACCAATTGCGTGAATTGCTTCTACATATATTCATTGATATATTTATTAATTTTGTCACGTATACTGTGAAACTTGCGCCTTGATATTAAAAATCTATATTTTCAACCCCCACAATTCCTAACGGTCAAGGTCTGACACTCTTTTTAAGTCGTTATTTATTCATAATTTTGAATGCAGATTTCTAAATTCGACAAAATAAGTAAGGAACAAAAATAGAACACAAACTAAATTTAAAAATTTCTTGCACATAATTTTTTTATTTGATAATTATTTACTTTTTAAACTTTACAATTTATTTATTTGCATACTTAGATAATGTATGTATAGTCGTCCTTATAACGTAATGTCTGATAGTCTTAGCAAGTTTTACATATCTTCCTATGTTTCCTGTTATACTGACATTTACACAATTTTCTTTAAAAAGCTCGTAACACAGATTTTTGTTTCAGCAAAACGCAACTGGAAACTTAAATATGATTCAAAGTGATTCATTGCATACGTACTTTTACAAGTAAATAATGTGGTAATAAATTTTCAACAATTTGCTAATAATTTGCCAATTTGCTAATATTATTCTAATATTAGTAAAATTCTCATTACTATATTTAGCTACGATTTGTTACCGAACAGAGACAACTTTCAAATTCTACAACTTGGCAGTGGCAAATAAATTTCAGAAATTAGTCCAAAATTTATCCTGGCGTGTTATAAGATTCGTCAAACTTCGGTAGTAAATCATTACCAATTCTGTCACAATTTTGTCACCACATTATTTACCGTGTAAACTCTCACTCAAACCAGATTCATAATAATATAATTATCAATTAGCTCTAGAATTATGTACTTTTGTCATTTTGTTCCATGTGCGGACTTTCTCCTGAATAAAATAAAACAGAAAAAAACTGTCAGAAAAAAACCGCAGAACGAAAAAAAGTGACAGCTTAACAAAAAATGAGTGTAACGTAACGTAAAATGGAGAACAAGATACATACGTGAAAATAAAGAGTTTGTGGTGATAAGTGCTTATCCTTAATTAAGAACACATTAAACATGAACAAGGAAAGAAAAATGTTACAACAAACACAAGAATGTTTGAATGAATATTTGAGTACGACAACAACCGTGGGGAAAGATTTGAACATGATTTTTGGACATTTTTTTTAGGTTTTTGAGTCAATTTAGTTGGGACAGTTTAGTCTGTGACAAATTTGGTTGGGCAGAAATTTTTTTAGAATTGTAAATTTGTGAAATTTTTTAAAATTATAAATTTGCGAAATTTTGTAGGATTATTTTGTAAACTGATTAAGGACGTTACCCCCTTCAATCTAAATATTTATGTTCCACTTTCAACTTAAACATAATTTTTAATCTGTCGTTAAAATTATCCAAATGTCCAAGTTTTTGATAATTTTATAAAAAATAATTTTTTACTTGGTTACAAATATCCGAGTGAATTTTGCTGAATGAGGAATTTATTTGGAAATTCAAATTTCGCCGTTTAATTCAGCTCCTGTTTGGTCATGATTCTGTTCAAATCTTGTAAAATTTTCGTGGTCCTCGGTATTATTTTGAGTCAAATTTTCAGTCCATTTTTTTGGAGTTTCGAGTAGTTCAACTTTCTCCACGAGGTCGTGATGCTCTTCTAACAGTCTTGCGAATTCGGCTCGTCGTCGTTCAGCACTGGCCTAGAATTTTTACCAAAAAATCATTTTTTACGAATTTTTAACCCGTTTTAGGAAATTATTGGACAGCGATATGTTTTTGGTGTTGGGAACAAAAAAAAAACGGAAAAATATAAAAAACGAAGAAAAATGCATCATGAAAATTTATAATTTTCATAATCTTACCAAAATTAATATTACTTTTGTTTTGACGGATGTTATTACATGGGAAACAAAAAACATGTATGCAAATGTCAAACATAAAAACAAAGCGTAATTATTTCTGATGCGAAATTCGTGCAAAATTCGTGCCAAAATTAGAATTATATTCACGATAAGACCATACCTTTACACGTTCCGACAAAATATGCACATGACATGAAATAGATCGACTTGCTATTCCGGCATGCAAATTTATAATTATTTATGTTTGCGAAATTTGCATGCAAATAAGTTTGACAGATTTTGGATTTATGCGAAATTTTCATGCAGTAGATACATACATAACTTTGACACATTTTTGATGATCTTAAGACAGAGAAAAATGCAGTGACAAAATTTCGAGACGAGACGCTAGTTAATTTTTTGATGACAGGAAACAATACCGAACGAGAGTGACAAGAAATACACAGTTTGCAAATTTTTGTGCAAATCGAAAGACCAAAATTGAAGAGATTGGAGCACCTGGATTTCTTCCACGGTCATGGCTTGTTGGCCATCGTCATTAATTTCGAGTGGTCCGTCGACATCGGCGACGAGAATGCTGCACGAACACATGCCGTTACACAGCAGAGCAGATATTATATTATTTACGACAAGATGCAAATTAATATTCAATTGTGCAAGTTTTGGTATTTGATTAAAAGACTACTGAAAAAAATATGAATACGTACTGAAATAACTATTTAACGAAGTTAACTAAGGTACATTCGTTATAAAAATAACCCTGTAAAAAGGTGTGACACCAAAATTTTGTGGCAAAATTTGTCTTATTTTTATAATTATCCAGTGGTTTATGGATCTAACAAAAGTAATGATGTGAATAAATTTTTTCGCACGAAATGTTTGTGACGTGAAAATATGCAAAAAATTGACGTAACTACAAAATGTAAAATTGTATAAAAAAATATACGTATCAATCCACTCAGATATTTGTAAACTGTGTAAATTGTGTAGAATCGGAATTTTCGAGATTATTTTCTACCGTAATCTTTACAACCTTGAGTTTACTAATGTTACAAATATTCGAGTGAACCTTTAAAGAAATTGTGAACTTTTTACAAGTAGTTTTTCTATTGATTTGAGTGTGTTTAAATGAGGAAATAAAATGCATGGGCGTGCGTGCGTGCTGTTATGTTTGTGTGATTTGGCAAAATGTGTGAATTTTTTGTGGGGTGTGGTTTCATTTCGTGCTGATTACCTGACCCCTGCAGGCGCCTCGGCGTCTTCAATTGTGGCAGATTTTTCTACGATTTCTTCTACTTGTTCGTCATCAACTATAATTTCGTCTTCTACTTGTTCCTGAGCGGGTTCCTCTTCCTCTGGGGCAGGTTCCTCTTCCGGGTCGGGTTCTTCTTCTTCTGGGGGGATGGCGACTTCCGTTTCCGGTGCGGATTCTGCCACGATTTCCTCCTCCACGACAGCCTCCACCTCTTCTTCTTCTGGACCATTTTGCACCGCTAACCATCATTTTTATTAAGAGGTTCTTAATTAAGACAAAATGCTAACCTTTTTGATAGATTGGTGGCGATGATACTGACTTAATGCGAAATTTGACGGGTGGGTGGGTGTGAAATGAAATAAGCGAAATTTAGAGAAAGATGAAGGCGACCAAAGTAGTGGAAAGTTATTATTAGTAGTGATAAGTTCGTACAAAAGTTGGGGGAAAATATAGGTAAAATATATAAGTGAAAAACATGGGTTTTCAAAAATTTTGGGGAGAAAAAGCAAGAAAGATGTATAAAAAAATAAGCAAAATGAAAAAAGTGAAAGCAGGAAAGAATTACATTCACGGAAACTTTGTAAACTGTGGGGAAATGAAAAAGTTCAGAAAATTAATGGAAATTTGCGTGGTTTACACAAACAGTACTCAATTTTCCTGGAGAGTCAATTAGGACCTCTTAATTTTGTAATAGTTTGTAAAAAAGATACACAGTTTAGAAAGTTCCCAGCGTGAATTTTGAAGTTAAAAGGAGTAAGAAGAAGCGTATGTAAATAGAACCGAGTGAGTTGTGGGCATGAAGGATGTGACCTTTTTTGTTGATTTGAAAGGTCAAACCATGACCTTGCTAGGCTAAATAAATATGTCACATCCTTTATGCATTGTCACATTTTTGAGTTATCTGAGCAGAATGGGTTATCTTGTCGATAAGATAAGTGATCATCAACCTGGAGCAGGTGCTTCCTCTTCCTCCATCTCATTTTGAGCCTCGCACGATATTTCGTCAACTTCTTCGTCCATCGGAATATCCGCGACTTCCGCGTCGCCCTTGTCGTCACACCCAATGTCGGACGCCTCGGCCGCCGCGGAGACGGATTTTTCTTCCTCCTCGGCGGGCGGAACCGGGCTTGGCGAAGGAGGCGCGGCCACGGCAACTTCCTCAACTTCGGGAGCAGCGACTACTTCCGGTTCCGGTGGGGGTGGAGTTGGCTCCTGGTAAGAAAAAATGGTTGACTTTGACGTCGCTTTGGCATGTTGTAAATATTTTAAAAAATTCAAGGAAAAAAGGTCTTATCTGATCCAAGTTCTTCTGACTAATCCGAAGTTTTTTCACAATCATTGGTCATTTAAAAATTTATTGATTTTGCAAAATTTTGTTCCTACTGAGAAAAATGATTTAATTTGAAGTAATTTTTGCATATTGCAATTTTTTTGGTAACATTGCACAAAATAAATAAAAGTTGAATTCGCCTTAAATTTCATAGAATTTTTGACGTTTCTCACAATCAATGTCATTTTTACTCGTTACACATTTTTGTAGGATTGTACAGATTTCTCAAAATTAGAAAAAATTGGCAAAATGAACAATCAAATTCGCTTTGAGTTTCATTGAATTTGCTGCTTTTCACAACCAATGGACAAAACTAAGTCGTTACAAATTTTAGAAGAATTGCATATTACAGATTTTGCAAAATTTGATAAAATGTAATCATCGAATTAGCTCATCACTGAATTTTTGATGTTTTTGACCATTAGTGACCTCAAAACTTGAACCGTAAGACAAATAAACTTTAACCTTGGAGTATTATATTATACAAGTATACCTTTGGCGGTGGTGGGGTTGGCTCCTTAGGCGGAGGCGGGGTGGGCTCCCTTGGCGGTGGTGGTGGTGTCGACTCTTTCGGTGGCGGTGGGGTCGGCTCCTTTGGCGGTGGTGGGGTCGGTTCTTTCGGCGGTGGAGGTGGGGTCGCCTCCTTAACGCTAGTCTTCTTCTTACTGGGCAGTTTGACGGTTTCTTCCGCCTTGAATTCTTCCACGGGAGGTTGTGGACTACCCGGAACGGTTTCCAGTTTGGCCGGTCTCCTCAAACTGACCGTTTCCTCGGGCAAGTTTTCCACGGGGGGAAGATCTTCCTTTGCAAGTTCCGTGATGGATTTCCGGGGTCCGGGTAGCGTGACGTTGATGGGTCTCGCGGGTGGTGGGGGTTCCATTTTTGGTTCTTTGGTCAACGATTCTCGTCGCACTTCTTTAATCGGTGTGGCCGCGAGGGGCGACGGGGCAGGAGCGGTTTTTCGGATGGGAGGCTCCTTCTCGTTAGCCATGGCTTTTTGGACCCATTTCGATTCCTGATTAATTAGAAGGGATTAATTTGGATTTTTTAAAACCCAATTTTGCATAGGAAAAAATTATTTGCGTGGAAATGGTGCACTTTCTAAAAAAGAAAAGCAGAGAGGCAAATCATGCAGGCCTTGGTAGCATTATAAAATTTGTAAATTCTGTAAACTCATAAACTTTTAGAAAATATAATAAATATTTTTTGAGAAAATTAGCTCACAAACTTCTAGAAGCTTCCTTAAGATCAACTCAGGAGCGTCTTCTCATTTGGTAAAAGTTTGTAAAAGTAGTTTACAAAATTTACGGATTTTATAAGTTACGAAGGACTGCGTGAATTGTCTCAGAGTTTCGCGAATTTTTTGTGTATGCATTTAGGAACTTATTTTTAGTCTTTTCAATTTGAGAGAAGAAATTTGAGAAATTTGTAGTATTTTTTTAAACCGACCCGAACTTCTCGTTTGATCCCATTATCGCCAAAAAGTGTTTTCTTGCTGTAGTGGAGAGGTTGGTAAAGAATTGCTGGAAAAAGAAAGAACATCATTATTATTCCGCAATTTTAACGGGTTTTCGCAAATCGCTAAAGTTTCGCAAAGTTTAATGATGCGATTTGAGATTCGTATCCTTAATTGATAGCGAATTGGTAGAAAATAAATAAAGCCTCATTATTGTATTTCTGCTTTTCCATGTGTAATCATTTGTCTACATTTTTTACGATTTTTCGAAAATTCAGACTAGAATCTCCTTCAGAAAGTAGTAAAATCCAAAATAGATAAAAAGTCGTAAAGTTAAAAATGTGCGAAAAACAAGGAGAGCAGCAGATGTCGATAACATAATTGGGTGAAGAATACAACATTTCGTTAACCACGTACACTCTAAATAAGCTTATAGTAAATTGCCGCAGTATTCCGATTCGGAAATTTAGGAATTATTCTTAACTTCCGAATTTCTGAAATGTCTTTAATTTCGTTAATTATCTCTTCCCTTGTAACCTAAAGCCCTATTTAGCTCTTAAAATAATAAGTCAAAATTCTTTTTGGCGTTAATTTGACTCATTTTTTCATCACATAAATTTTTTTTTTAATTTGTGGTTTCCACTTTTGCAATATCTAACATATTTCTCATCGATACATAATTTTTGCAGTAGTCAATATAGGTCAGATTATTTTGCGTATTTCACCAAATTAAACCAGTTTAAAACTTGAATTTTAATAGTTCGGAAATTGTGTAGGTTTAAAGCTGGAAATTGCATATTGAAAAAGTAGCATAGTAATAATATGAGCTAGAAGTGCCTACATATTGGTTATAATTTCGTTACAACTATTATTCAATCAAATTACGTATTTCCAAATTTCGTAAGAAGTGAAACTTATTTAAGAAAGAATTATCATAAAATTTTCACTAATTTTTTTATTGAATCGCTTATGAAACAATTCACGTAGTCATTTGTAAAATGCATAAATTTTGTGGAATAATTTTGTAAACTTTTCTAAAAATCTAAAGAGCCTTGATCTGAACAAGTTTACAAAAATTTGTGAGATAATTTTTTTTTCGAAATCTTTGTAAAATTTTATTTTTACAGAATTCACGGATTTTACAAGTTACCAATGAAATGACTGCGTAAATTGTCTTAATTTAAACAGTTTTAAACCAATTCGGTAATTGCTATGTTTGGTCAACCGGTAACAATTTTATTACCGCATTGTTTAGAGATAAATAGTAAAAATTATGCAAAAAAATACCCCGCTTCGCCGAATTCGCAATTGAGGCAATATTGGCCGCATTTCTCTGCTTGGAATAGTAGGATCTGTACGTAACTTCGTCACGGACGGAGGAGGATCGCTCGTCTTCGTCATAACCGGGGTAGAATCGTCGTCGTTTCGGGATTGGTCGTCCACCCGCAAAAGATAAGCATGCCAAGTTCTGACGCCCTGTGAATGCAAAAGAGAAACAATAACAACGGCGGCGGATGTGAGACAAATGAGGCGGAGGAATGTGGAGTAAGTCAGTAATATGACCCAGATTTTGGGACACCGTGGCGTTCCTCAGGATTAATTAGGTGGACCAATTGTCACTTTGTTTTGCTAAATTGGCGACACATTTTAGCGCAGATGAGACGTAAACAGGATGGGGATTAGACTTTAGAGAAGAGAGATGAATAAGATTTTGGCTAATTTTTGTTGCAAATTTGGAAATGTTAAGAAAATTGAGGAATGAGGTTTTTGCGTGGAAATTGAATAATTTTGCGAATTTGATTGCGAGGCGAGGTTGTAGAATTGGAGAGGAATTGGCAGCAAATAATTGGATTATGAGCACATTTTGGCAGACGTGAACAAGATAAAGATATTTTTTAAAGAAAAGCAAAATTGTGGTAATAATTTGCAAAATTTTTGCGATCAGGGTAAAATTTTGAAACGTTTATATTTATTTAAGCTTGTGGAGGTGAAAATTGTCACTGTGAGGTTGCGAATTTGATAGGAAGTTGTAAAATAGGAGAGGAATTTGCAATAAGTAATTGGATAATGAGTCGTAAATTTTGCACTTTTTAGACATCAAGATAAGAAAATAGTAAAGTATATTTCCTCCATTTTTACGTAACGGAAAATAGTTTGGCACAAGTTTGCGAATTTTTTGGATCAGCTAAAAACTACTGAGAGCGAATTGTACGATTTTCGACAGGCTTGACGAATCATAACTTATTTAACAATATTTTGGAATGTTTGCAAAATAATGGCAAATGATTACTCACCAATGTAGTAATATTTGGACTCGAATCCGCACGCGGGGTCGGCCCTGTGGATGACCGGCATCCTGTAAAGCGTCGCCTTGTTGAACGGTTCCCAGGCCAGGGTCGGATTTCGATCTCGTACATACAACCGTCTCATATCCGCCACATCCTTGACCTCACTCGCACTCCTGTCAAACAGATTGCAGGAAATGAGATTGGCAAAATTCGCGACATTTTGAACCCTATTTTTGCAACAACCGTGCAAAAACTCTGTCAGGCGGAAGAAACAGGGATCAAGGAATCATATTCTCCTCAAAGCTGTGACTGCTGGCAGGTAAGGTGACTCCGAATTTATGACATATTTTAGTCTAAAGTTGAACGAAATGGAAATTTGCGAGTAATTTAAAACTTTAGCGAAAACATGTAAGAAAATAAAATATGCATAACAATTCATAAAAATTCATTTTCCCTTCATCGGCCGTAGTCTTAAAATTCTTTAAGTTTGTATGACCTTAAAATTTCTTAGAATGTTAAGACTCTCAGATTAAAAATTATCCAACCGTTAAAAAAATAACATTATTCAAATCGGTTAATTTTGAGGAAATTTCTGTTTCTGAATTTAATCATCTCTACTTTCATATGTCGGCATACATATTTTTACCAAAAATTGAAAAATAGTTACCAATATCTAATATCAATAAAAACGCAAGCGAAAATTAAAAAAACACGTTTGGATGTTTGTAACCTCAGATTTTAGGATTAGTTTCATAACTTTTGTGAACTTGAAGTTTACGAGCATTCGACCAGAATTACGTGCACATTTAAGAAATCATGAATCCAACTTGTAATTTGTGATCTACTCATAGTAGTCCTTAAGCTATCTTATTTGTGAAAATATTATTTTCTGTGCAACAAAATTTCGGATTTCAAATTTCTTTTCAAGGTTTTTGATAGTTGGATAAGTAAACGAGACAATTCACGCAGGTCTTACTAACATTATAAAATCCGTAAATTTGTAAAATTCTACAAATATTTCTGAGGAAAATTAGCTTACAAATTTTTGTAAAGTAAATTTGCAAATATACCGAATTTTGTGGTGTTATAGATATTTTTGAGTGGCATTCTGTTATACAAATTTTGGATACCGATTAGTAAAAAATTTGCTAATTGTGATTTCTATATCAATTCTAAGATATCTAGTAGCCCTTCTCCCAGTTCAGAAATTTTAACAATATTTTTCCAAATTATTAGTATGAATTGACTTTTAACCTGTCTTCGGATACGATTAATCAAATTTTTCGGTCAAAATAACATAAAAATTTGCATATTTACCCAATTTTACTTCTTTATCAATTTTTGAGTGGCATTCTTTTATGCATAATTTTGATGCAAATCAGTTAATAAAGTACTACTTATGATTTCTAAAGCAGTTGTAAGATTTTTCACAGCTTAAGTACATATGTAGATTTCTCTTCTTGGGACGCAAATAGCTTCGCCAAATCTGAACATGGGCGGATGGTGTCATTTGCAAATTTCATGTTAATTAAATTTTAATCGATTGAGACTAGTTTCGTCAAAATCTGTGAGCATCGAGACCTCCATTGTCAATTGGTTCAAGGGCGTTTTTTGTATTTTGTAAAATTATTTTACAAAACTTTCATATTTTACAAGTTACCAATCACTGCGTGAATTACCTCATTAATTATGTTTCGTTGGTAAACTGTGTAAACTTTGCAAACTTATTACAAACGTTTCGTGTTACGCGTTACCGAGATGACAAAGTAGTAAGGTTATCATAACTTATAGATAAGTTGAAATAAGGGGAGCGTGGCTTATCTCAAAATAGTTTACCTCATCGGGATGTGGTTAATATTGTAGAGAGAGGATGGACTAAATTGCAGTCCGGCTGACACCCTGTACAACATGTTGTCCATGTCCCGTTGCACGGAGTGAGTTTCGCGTTCAATTTCCTGGAAAATTTGGAATCATTTCACATTTTCAAATTTAATCTGGGTATGGAAGATGAGGTCCCCTTAAAAATTAGGGAACCTCCTCCTGCGATATTGGGCGTACTCACGAAAATTGTGGCAAATTTCACAAATTGAGAAAATACTTAAGAGAAATTTGGGAGATGATTTCGCAAAAACATTTTCCCGAATTATTATAGGATTTTTATTTGCAAATTTACCCGGGATTTATTACAAAATATTATTATTTCGTAACTTTTCGCAAATTGAAAACACAATCATACTTAACAAGTTTTGAAATCTGCCAGATTTCGCAAAAATATTTCGACGATAAATCATGTGATTATTATTCGCAAATTTACCAGGATTTATTTCAAATGATTATTATTATTATTTTGCAGCTTTTTGCTAAGTTAGTTACGCTTCGAAATTCTTGAGTACGCCCAAATTAATATTCCTAAATGTCCTTACACCACAGCAAGTGACACAAATTTGCACGAAATTACCAATAATTTTTGCACACCCACCTCGATTCCGGACCGATTCGTTAAATCCTCAATGTACGTAATTCTACTTCTCGGGACCGGAATTGGTGCCGGGGTGGGTCGATAGTTCACCAGGACGAAGGCATTTCCCGTCCTGCCCCATTCCAGGGCGTCGTAGACATTGTGGCTGACCCGGTGGCGGCGTGGCGGCGCGGAGACGGGGGTCAGCCGGTGATGCACCATCCGTGACATGGGCATCGCAAGGACGGCACGATGTGGTTTTCGACCCTGTAAATTTCGTGGTGGCGACCGAGACAGAGAGGTGACGAGAGTTAAGAGATGACGATTAGACAAATTATGAAATGTCATTATGAAAAAAATGTGGTGACGAAATGAGAAAATAAAAATAATATCGTTCCCCAAAAATAAAAATTGGAGGCCAAAATGCAAAAAAAATCGAGCGATGATGGCGACGATTAAGGAAAATTCTAGATATGTTGTTCTGAGATATGATAAAATTTAGATTTCGTTTAATTGTGCAAAAAATGCGAAAATATGGTCCCCAAATAATCACACGCAAATTCGTAGAGATAACTATTATACCAAATGGTTACAATTTCATGAAATTATTCGCGAAAATTCGAAGCATTTCCAATCGAAAAATTTTGCACAAACGTGGCCCCCAAATAAATCATGCCATAAAACTTGAAATGATGGCGATACGCTTGATAAATTAAATAAATTTTACTATGCAAACTCGTAAAATGTTGTATGTCTTTCCTTCCCCTGCAAATTTTTGGCATGACGCCGACCAACCCGACTCGAATTTTGGGCTGGATAATAACTTCCGGAGAGTTTTTGGTGAAGTGAAGGGAGAAAAAACGTGGCATGTTTTTTACACGAAAAGAAAAAAAAATACTTCATTATTTGAAACGTCTTTGTCCTTGTGGTTCTGCATGTCACTGGTTGTCTGGCGTGGTCACAAGTCAAAATTTTGCTGCATTCAAGTCCAAATTGGCGAATCGATGCATGTTTAATTTCGCCCTCGCCAAAATTTTGGGCAGAGGAGAAATGTTGTTTATTTACAAGATTTTGTTGGCCCAAGTCCCACGCAAAGTACTAAATTTAACTGTGTGCAGTTGTGTATGTATGTGTAAGGAGGGTTTAAAAGGTATCTGAAATATGTGGGAATTTTGCATACGGGAAAAATATTTAGGTTTGAGAGAGGATCATTAATTAAGTAATTAATCAATTGTTGTGCAATTGTGGGAGTGTTGTGTACATGTTTCTTTGGGGGAAATGATAAATATGTGGATAAAAGTGTGGGTGGTCGCGGGGGTAAGATGAGATGGATTCGAGGTCGATTTCTGGGGTCAGGTCAGCCTGGCGTGACGTCGGGATCAAAATGTCAAAATGGGAAATGCATCCATTACGTACGATTTCAAATTATGATTGATTGCGTAATGGGCCTAACTGATCATGGGGCATAAATTATTAAAAATCTAAGAAATGTAATGCTTTTACTGAATTTCGAAATGCACAATTTTGCAATTTCAAATAAGTTTCAAAAATATTAAATTATGAACACATCTGTGAAATGTAATGCTCGCTGGTGAATTTCGAAATCCACAGTTTCACACCTTAATTATGCCGTGATTTTCAAAAATATTTCTGAGAAATGTAATGCTATGCTTCTGCTGAATTTCGATTGCCATTTTAACCCCTAAGTTCTGATTTTCAGAAATATTAGAAAAACTTAAAGTCCAAAAAGTTATATAAGTTACCGACTAAAACTTGTAAATTATGATTTGTTGCAAAAATGTGCAATATTTCAGAAAAATCCGCACATGAAAAATCTCGCATGACAAATATTTTTCGCAGCTGGTTTCATACATACGTATGTAAATCCATACATATTATGCAATTTCTATAAATAAAAACAAAACTCGGCAGAGGAACGTAATAAACCAAAATAGAAGAAGATTCATTCAGTCAAAATCCCATGCAAAATGCAGCTTAAATCATACATATTTACATATTTATCATCTACGTATATAAAAGTGCAGTTAGAATATTTGCATGTTCGCTAAAAAAACTGTGTGCAGAATAAATAAATATCTGTTTTGTGCAAAAATATTTACATATGTGGGAACTTTTACAATTAGAAAAAGTATGGCTGTCTGACGTCAAGTCTTATCTTGCATGTATTTTATCGTGCTCATTTTAGGTGAAGTAAATACAAGTCATGCAAAAATGTGTGCAAAAATTTACATACAAATTCGAATAGATTTTCGCTCTCCTCTTTTTTATTTAATTATTATTAATTATTATTTAAATTAGGATAATACTTACGAAACAGAATATTTAATGATTAAATATGTAAATTAACTGATATTATGCAAATAATGCTGCCTGCTCTAAAGAGAGAAAGTTTTTCTTTTTTGTTTAGTTTGTGAATGTAAATACGTATACGATATTCCTGCTTTTGAGAATTTTTTGCAAATTAATTGTCCTCTATGTTAATCGTTTTTTGCTAACATTTCAAAAAATGTACTAATTTTCTCCCCGTGTAATTACATAATTAATACAATTCTCTCAAGAAGCTGATCAGAAAAGAAAAGAAAAAACTCGCGAAATTCCAAAAAATGCAAATTCAAGCGATTTGAAATTCTGGGCTCCGTTTTTTCGCATTTTTGCTCATTTGTAGGAGAAATCCCTGTAATTATTTCCATATGGAGACTTATAACTCGCCGTGGAGAAGTAAGACCCGCCACCCGGTCCACCTCGGGTGGATTCTGTCGTGTAGGAATAGCTTCGCGGGCCCGAGCCATAGTCGCGTGTTTCTGACGTGGTCGAATACGTCCGTGCCGCGCCCCCCGGTCCTCCCAACGAGTCGGACGAGCGCACCGTCCTCGTCGAAGTTTCCACGCGTCGCACCGTCGACGAGGTGGTGGGTTCGGTGCTTATCGTCGTGTAGGAGCGTGAAGGAGTCTGCACAACATGAACACAACGAGATAGACATGACGTCAGAAAGCCACAGAAATTTTGGGAATTTTTGAAAATTTTTGGAAAATTTTGGATGACAACAAGACAGGAAAATAATAGACAAATATTTCGACATGAATTCCGAACAGGACACGATACAGAGGATGCCAATTAGTGAGAAGTAGTAGTAAATAGACGACATGCGGTTGGTATTTTTTGGTAATTTGGGGTTTAAGTGGCGTGCAGATGTATCATCTATCATGCGAATTTTTACAAATAAAATGCAAATTTTTTAAAGACAAATTGCAAATTTTTTAGAGGATTATTTTTTAAAAAAGAAAATAAATTTAAGTAAATTGGACTTTTTAAAGACTGGTATCTGTTCCTTATTTTGGGATGATGTTGATTTTTGATGAAATATGAAATCCGGCATGAAAACGACGCTTTTTTAAAAGTAAATTATGCAACTCGACCCCCTTCATTTTTTTTTGACGTGAGTAGTTTTAGATTTTGTGAAAAAAAAATTCAAAAATTACAAAAAAACATGTTTCAAAAAAGCATGTTAAAAAAATTGTCAAAAAATATTTTTTCCTCTTTTTCGCACGGTGCCTCGTAAATTAAAAATATATAAATTTCTTTCCGGAAACTTACCGAGTATGAATACGAGGTCGACACGATCGGCCGGGACGACGTGGAGTAAACTCTTCTCGATTCGTAAACCATGATGAAAAAACTTTGGACACGATTTTATTTTTTTGAAAATTTGAAACACTCAAGAAGAACGAGAATCAGAGTGAGTTCGTCCCGAAGAATGAAACCCGACTGGGAAGAATTCGGTTAAAAAGTTGTTCTTTGGTTCGTTCCCTACTTTTTGCATGCATACCTTTGCATGAGAACAACCCACCTTATCGGAGATGAGATGAGTAGGATAACGAGTCGGCGGAGAGAGCAGCAGTTATTTTTAAAATTGGCACACATTCAAAAAATAATATTGGGAAATATCTCATCCATCCGTTTACGCCAGGGTTAGATTAGTGTATGTACATACTGTATTTTATGGTGGTGGGGATTTTAGTGTATTTCTTAACGGCAGTGACCGCGGAAGCGGGGGGGACAGAGGGACAATGTTCGTACCGTTATTCGATGGATATCATCCGCCCATGTTGTATAAACCCCTATCCTACAATGTTAATGTCCCCAGATGTCCCCTGTGGGGATTTTAGTCGTGAATGTATCTCTTAACGTCAGTGGCCGCGGACGTATGGGGACAGACTTCTGAATTTCTGGGGACAATGTCCCAGAAATTTTGAAAATCCTATTATTAATAAGCCCCTTCCCCTCCTATCTCATAATGCTAATGTCCCCATATGCCCCCCCAAATTCCCTCGTCATTACTTTTAACGTCAGTGGCCGCGGAAGAGTGGGGACAGGGGGACCATGTTCCCACGGTTATTCGATGTCTCCATATCATCTGCCCATATAAACCCTTTCCTTCCTTAATCTACAATGTGAAATGTGTCCCCCAGATGTCCCCACAGCTTCCGCGGCAACTGCTTGCCATGAGGTAAAGTAAAAATCGGCACATCTCGTCATCTTTACTGAACTAATGACGTGCTCCCATTATCCCGTTGGCTCAGTCTCCACCCACGCAGCTGCACACAGTTCGGAAAACAGGAAGGGTTTTGAAGAACTACAAAGTCACGGTCAAACAAAATGGAAGTTGAGTTGACATGATTATTTTTGTATTTGCTTTGTCATTTATTTTCAGAGCGCGGATATGTATATATTTATTTTCGACTTTGTCTTTTGATGGCGGCCGACGGCTAAACTTTGTGGGTGTGTTTTCTGACTCTTATAGATCACAAAAATTTCAATATATTTTTACATGTCTTTCTAGGTTTTTAGACAAGTATTTTCGCTATTATTTGAAAAATCTTTTACATATTTTTCAAAAATATATTTCGTACATGTGTATTTTGTGACGAATTATGCCTTCCCGACCCTAATTACGACACTTTTCTGCGTATCCAACGCACTCCCAGGTTCTTTCTGCTTTTAGTATTATGTACTATGATGATAAAAATAACTCAACGAGCATTTGACAACTCCTTTGATAACTAAAAATGAGTTTGACGCAACGACACACTTTTTACAATTAACAAACCTGTTGGGGATGTTGGCTCCCAACGAGCAAGTGTGTGAAAGTTAGTGTTTCGAAATTTGTGGATGGTTTGTGATGGTAAAAACTGAACGGCAGAGTTTCTGTGCGGATAGCGAGACTGCACAGAAGTGTGTATGAATGGAGTTTCTGTGCGGATAGCGAGATTGCACAGAAGTGTGTATGTGGAGTTTCTGTGCAGTGTGATGATGTGGCACAGAAATGGATCTGTCCAAAATGTAGAAATGGACAGATTGTGAATGAGGCAACTTGAGACGATAGGAGATTGCTACGCTAAATTGAAATACATTCACATTTCTGAACAAAACCCCTTGTTTATTCCCACTCAATTTCACATTAATAACGGAGTGCTTTGGAGGAGACAAGATCAGACCAGCCCTGCTTTGACTACGGAGAATAAGTTTGACCAGAACTACTAGAAATCTTGCCTCAGCTGAGATTGTAAACAAACCTGCCCTATTTAATATAATTTCCCCCAAAAGAACGAGAAAACCCCCACTCTAATATACTACCTATCTGTATTGAGGGTGGACAACCAACCAACAACACATAACCAAGACCGGACAACCAGATCTCGTACTACTACTACTTACGCTACCGCTGCTGACTTGATGGTTGCAGGCTCCCTCGCTGCTTGGCAACCCTCGATCTGGTCACTCCGCACGACTACTCGCAGCGAATTCCCAACTCGAGGCTACTCCTTTGTAACACCCCGAGCCTAACTAATTACAACTTTACACATAAAATTACTAGCTATCCTACTAATTAACTATACGATATTTTTATTACTACTTGCTATTACTATTTACTTACTAATTATGCATTAACATCCTTCAAAATATAACTAGCACGCACACACTGAGGCATCAACTTATATACATATATCACAATTTCAACGGTGTGAAACGAAGTTATTGCCCAAAGAAATTCAACCACAAAAAAATCCAGTGCGAAATTTGTATTTTTATATTTTTTGTACATATTTCGTAAATATTTGTGTTTTTTTAATATTAAATACATATTTCAGTGATTACATTTTCATCTTGTGGTCATTTTGGTCTAAATGTTGATATGCAACTCTTCAAAAAATGTAATTTGACATGATTAATTGTTTTCTCATTTTGGTTTAAATGTTAGGATGCAAATCCTCAAATCCGATATGATCCCCAATCTTATAGTACTGCTTATCCCCGCCTGGTCCGATGTCGCAGTCCGGAGTATATTCCTCGTCTAACGAGTCCCGTGGTGGGAGGTACGCGTCGACCAGTTGGGGCGACATGGCGTCACTGTTTCGCCATCGGACATTTTGGGCGTCATCGTCACAGTACAACGAGAGATCTTCATCTTTGCAGCGGAGTTCTTCCGACCGGATTCGGGCATCGTGGATGACCCGCCCGGCGCGTTCTCGTTGGGCGAAGTAGGTATCCGTTTCGCAGGGAGGAGGCCAGGAAAAAGAGGTCGAGGGTTCAGATTGGCAGGGGGGATCGGGTCGAGGGCTGCAAATGGAAGCCAGGTTACACCGGAAGGAGGGGGCGACGAGGGACAGGAAAGCACCGTAGTTTATGCAGGAGCCAGATTTCCGGAAGGGTGGGGATGGTTCGAGCCATTTCATGACGCACTAAAAATGGGTTGGAAATTGGTACAATTTTCAAAAAACGAAAAAAATTGATACGTGCAACTTTGTAATTTTCGAGATTTTATATCTTAATCTTTACGAGTTGAGTTTACGAATTTAACAGCATTTTATAAATATCGGAGTGAAGGAGGCTATTTATATAGTCATTGGTAAGTTTTTAAAATTCGTAAATTTTGTAAAATAATTTTACAAACTTTTACAAAATAAACAGACACCCATGATTTGAGCAAGTTTACAAAAATTTGTAAGCTAAATTTCTTCAGAAATATTTCTAAAAATTCTGTAAAAGTTTGGAAGATTACAGAATTTACAATGTTACCAAGCACTGCGTGAATTGCGTCAGTGTAAAACTTGCAAATTTTTAATGTTGAATCATTTCTTTTTAGTCGGGAATTAGCCAAAACCTAATTTTGCGTTTACGCTAATTTAAAATTACGTAGGTATAAATTTCGTCGTTAATGTGTACCCAAAGTTTTTAATTTAAAAAAAAATATCCATATAAAAACAGAAGGTAAGAGTCCCTAATTTCCAAGCTATTCCTTCTTGGTGAGAAAGTTTACAGAAAATTTGTGATCTAATTTTCTTCAGAAATATTTCTAAAATTTTGTAAAAGTTTGAAAGTTTATGGATTTTACTTACAAAGACTGCGTGATTTTATTTATTTGGGAAATAGTAAAAATGGTAAGAAATTGGATTCAAATTGGTAAAAAAAATATTGGTGCAATTCACTCACAGTACTTGGTAATTTTGTAAAATCCACAAACTTACAAACTTTTACAAACTCTAGCAAAAATATTTTTGAGGAAAATTAGGTCACAAATTTTTGTAAACTTTCTCAGATTAAGGGCGTCTCACTATTTTGTAAAAGTTTGTAAAATTATTTTATAAAACGCACGGATTTTTACGTTACAAATGACTCCGTGAATGAATTGCCTCACGCTTTTCTGAAAGTTAAAATTCGTGTTCCATTTTAAGATTAGTTCCATTAATAAAGAAAAATCTGATCAAACTCAAAAATATTATTCGAGCATTCGCAATTATTTTCAGCGGCGCTTAAACCAAGCAAATTTCTTGATGAATTTACTTTAAATAAAAATAAAATTCTGCCCTGTGAAATTTCACCGGGCAGTTCAATGGAAAATTTTGTAAACTCGGTAAATTTTGTCGGAAAAATTTCTACCAGACCGGAAATGCTGGGGGACACCGAATTTCAAAATTTCTAATTTCTTTTTATGTTCTTACGCTTATATGCGCCGGTGACGCCGTGGGAACACCGTTATGCACCCAATCCAAGTAATGAAGGAGAGCGCAGTAGTTGAGTCTCGAACAGTCGTCGACACACGTAAAACTGGATAGAAATTTAAATATTTAAGAAATTAACGAAAAATAGAGGGATATCAATATTAATGCAAATTTGGTCTCACTTATCGATAAGATAATCCACGAGGAGGCGATCCAACGGAAGTCTGGCGCCTTTCAGTGTGGCACGTGCAGTTTCTTTGTCGACATGACCGAAGCGACAAGGACAAGGGTCATGGTAGCGGAACGTGTATTCGACCCGGGCGAGGAGGAAATGGTCAAAATGATAGCGTTGGAGTTCCGTTTGTATGACGGATCTGGGGAGAAAAATATGTAAATGCATATTTATTTTGGCCTACTTTTGGCACACTTGTTTATTTAGCATATCAGTCATTTAGCGAATATTTTGCACATATTTTACAATGTATATAAGAAAAACATGTAATTCATTGAGGTTAACTTTGGACTCGATGGATCATCACCAAAGTCGTCAAAATCCACACATTTTTAATCATTTCTCTACTCTGGGAACTTATTTTAAAATTCTGGACGACTAATTTGCAGTAATTAAATTGATTAATAGAATGGCGGTGAGTTTTTTAAGCCAGTTTCAATTTTTCTGAAGGTTTCGTAAACTTGAGAACTGTAAACTTCAAAAACGGTCAAAATCTGGAGTGAATACTTTTTAAATTGGCAACGTTCTGCTTAATTTTAAAATAAATTCCCAGAGCCATGAAATGATTTAAAATGTGATGATTTTAACGATGACTCAACGAGTCCTTCGATAAGTTTGCACACAAAAATATCGTCCTTAACGAATATTTTTGACTGCAACAATCTATACAGTCTTTGGGTTTAACATAATTCAAAATCAATTTACAATGGAGTTGAAGTTTAACGATTGATTGTTGGACACGATTTATGTAGCAGAAATATTTACGAAAAAATGCTTTTTCGTCCAGTAAATAAATTCGCAAGATGCAAAATCGCAGCTCTTCCTACATAGTTCAGAGTTATATTCGCGAGTTATTCGCAGATTCGATATTCCAAGTTTCGCAAATTTATGTTAGCAAATTTGCAATAAAAAAATTTAACAAAAAAACGACCATGGAAAAGATGTATACATTTTATTCTTACTGTAACGTTTTAAAGTCAATGCCCACCTTGGGCGGGTCGACTTTAAGGCCTCGAAGTAGCGTCGTGATCTCATGCTCGTTCAGAGATTGTTTCATCAGGGTGACGAGAATGGACCGGAAGTCGTCCCGGGATATGATCCCGTTAAGTTGGGAATCTTTGCAGGAAAATAATTGGAGGACGGACTCACTTTCGAGAGGACCGAATGCTTCTCTCACCTGGAAATGAGATTAGTCAGTAAAAAAAGGTGAAACTTGTGTTAAATATAGCGGAATAAAATCGTGAGAAATTTTTTTTAGAATTATTTTAAGACAAGAAATGCATAAAATTGACAAAAGTTGTGGGTTCGCGACTAGTATAAAACTGGGTAATCTTTTTTATTTCGAATTTAGTGAAAATTTCAAAAAAAATTGAAACTAGTGTACTCCGACAACGAAAAATGTATTAATTTTATATATTTGAAAATTATCAAACAGATAAGCATGCTCCGCATCACCGAAAAATGTGATAAGTTTTATAGCATGAAATTTTTGATGGAATAGTTTTAGCTTCGTTTCAGAATTTTAACTTTTTCGGTTTTTGTGTTTCAATTTTTTAAAATCTAAACCAAATTCTATTTTGAATTTTTTATTAAAAATTTTAATTTGATTTGAAAACCGTGTAAAATTCAAGCTACTACATAATTATAAATAATTTGCACATTACAAAATAATAATTTTTAAATTAATGATTCAGAATCCTAGTTTTGTTTCAGAACTTTAAGCATTTAGGAATTTGTGTTTCAATTTTTTCTTATTAATTTTTAATCACTAATGACTAAGCGAAAAATTATTTCGAATTTTGGATTTTGTATGAATTTTGTGCTCCAATTTTATTATGTTCCGGAACGACTCACCTTATCGATAATCAGGCAGAAATTGGCTTGTGGAAAGACGCTCGAATTAGCTTCCATATAGCTCAGCGTGAATTCATCCGCCCCCGTCAAGAGAAACGTGAAGCCGTTGATGTCCAAAACGTTTCCGATGAAATAATCTTTCATTTCGTAATATTCGGATTCTTCCCCCAATTCGAATGCGGGTCGAAGACCGTGACCTCGTTTTCGAATCATGGATCGTGCCAGGAATTGACCCTGTTTAAAACCTAAAAAGAGGATAAAATTTCGAAATTAAGATCACAAATTGGGAATTTGGGAAGAAAGTATTGGGAAGAAATTTAAATAAGAATTTTCGCTTAATTTAACTATACATTTTTCAATATTTCTAATTTTGCTATCCATTTTCTTAAATATCAAGACTATTTTTTAATATTCAAATACTTTTGGATTAATTTTGTCAACATTTCGCCAAGAAAAAGATTTTGTTAAAAAAATTCATGTAAAAAATCATTGTAAAAAATGAATGATTTTCATAAATATCAAAATTTTGTATAAAATTTTTGTTTGGAAGATTCCGGGCGGAAAAATTTGAAACGTGAAAATGTTCTAGGTTTCAAAAGAGTTGTGAACGAAAATATGCGTAAAAATTAACAAGATCAAACTATCTAGCGTGTATATTGGTAAATTGGTAAATTCATTGTGAAATTATTTTGATGCCGTCAACTTGCACATTTTTATGAAAATATACTCTTTTTAAAATTGTTTATAAAAATCTGACATAAAAACGCTTAAATTTTGTAACCCCTGAACGAAAATCCATCTTAAATTATGCACATAGTGATGACGGCTAGGCTTAATTCTTATACCTGTATTTGGATGCGGCTTCTCGAAAATTTGCATTTTATTATCCATCATAAATATTTTGATTATGAATCTCCTATCGGCATTCGCGTTGTGTTGCGCGTTATAAAATTGGGCTTCGAAACAGAGCACGTCTCTGAAAAAAATGGAAATTTAAAATTAACAATTTGAGAAAAAATTAGGAAAAATTAGAGAAATTTGGGAGCAAATCTTCACTGACTTGTCCTTAATTTGAATGAAAATTTGTAAAAATTTTAAAATTTGGGGAAAAAATTGGCATTACACTGATTTCTCCTTAATTTAAATGGAAATTTTTTGGAAAAAAATTGAGAAAAAATTTTTCACTGATTTGCTCATAATTTAAATCGAAATTTTAAAACTTTAAAATTCGGGAAAAAATTTGAGCACAATTTTTTCACTGACTTATCCTTAGCTCGAAATTCTGGCAGATTTTCTTGCTTCGGGGGAGGAACAGGTTCGAGTTTGTCCCAATTATGGAGCGTGTCCGCTTCGGTGCCGATCCCGATGTGGGGAGGAACTTGGACTCGAGGGGAGGCACGTTCCGTCTCACTTTTTTCAAGGACGAGGGGCGTAAAATCGTCTAAATTAGGGAAAAATAGAACTAGATTTTGTTCAGTTGTGTAAGGATAAATTTTTGAGCAAAAGAAAAATGCTAAAAACTTTAAGGTTTCAAATTTTCAAACGTACGAAAAATATTGTGAGAAATTAAAATGTTGCGTATTTTGAAAAATCTCGTCAAACGGATCTTGAATATTAAATTTAAACGAATTTTTCTTTAAATTTTGCTTGTGTGCTGTAAACTTGAACATTTTTAGAGAAATTAATTGTTTTGGATACGACGCACAATTTCATTTTATTTCTTTTCAAAATAATTTTCAAAGTTTGACGCCATTAAAAAATTAGCGTGAATTAGCGCGATTTAAAAATACACAGATTTTTGAACATACTGTAGGCAATTGTAGTATGCTAAATTTTATAAATTTTATAAATTTTCGCGTGCCAAATTTTGCGAATTTTTGAACTGGGAGATAGTATGACGTATTTATCAGTCTTATAATATGTTTGCGTCAAATTAGCTCGAATACTTTCATGTTTGCATAATTGAATAGTATGTACTTATTTCGATCTGGGGGGATCTTGGCAATTGAATTTTGCAAAATTTACGCTACGATGTTTGACGCCATTAACAAATTAATGTGAGTACATATATGCAGCATTGAAATTTACACAGATTTGTCACCATTGGCGTTGTTAATTGTACTATTTTAGCAAGATTTTGCAAAATTATCGCGTTCAATACTTTGACAATTTTTGAACTGGGAGAATGACGTCCATATTTATCCCGTAATATATGTATTTGTGTATGGAATTAGCGTATTTGCACAATTGAAGAATACCCAGATCCGGAGGTGTATTGTTTATTTTTAATTTGCAAAATTTACGAGTTTTGATGCCATTAAGAAATTAGGATGAATTTGCACAATTGAAAATTACACAAATTCCTAGTTTTAAACTCATCGTATTATTAGCTAAACTTTGCAAAATTTTCGCGTGCCACATTTTGCTAGGTAGATAGCCTAATGGTACAACGTACTTATGCTATAACATGTTTGTGTCAAAGTTTCGTAAATATTTATTTGCACAATTGAGTATCCAGATCCAGGAGCATCTTGTTAATTTAATTTTGCAAAATTTACGTAAACTATCAGGGTGCATAAACTTTTTTGTTGTCCGTGGTTTCTCCTAAGGGGGTGGTGCCAGGATGGAAATTTTTATTCAAAAATTAAAAGTTGGGGCATTGCATGCACTTTTGCCATGACAACCACCCAAATCCATTGCAAAATTGCATGCAATTCCCCAACTTTTAATTTTTGAATAAAAATTTCCATCCTGGCACCACCCCCTTAGGAGAAACCACGGACAACAAAAAAGTTTATGCACCCTGGTAAACTATTATTCGCCAATTTTTGAACTGGGAACAAATACATATGTACGTTGAGGTATGTAATTCAGGCAATCATTGATAACTTTGTAAAATCGATAAGTTCTATGCAATAATTTTACAAACTTTTATAAAACAAAGAGACTCACTTAACCTGCAACCTGAGCAAGTTTGCAAAAATTTGGGAGCTAACTTTTGCTCAGAAATATTTGTAAAATTATGTAAGTTTACAGAATTTACGGATTTTACAAAGTTCGCAAGGACCTGCGCGAGTTGCCTCGTTATGCCGAATATTACTTACCAATCCCATATTTTTCCCTGTAATACGTTTGAGTCGCCTTGTCGCAGTCGACGAGGGTGAATAATCTGCCGTACACGTTGATGACCGCTCCGATGGCGAGGTCTTTGTCGGTGACGAAGTCCTTCTCGTCGATGCCGGGACAGAGCGAGTCCGTCATGTAGGACGGGGCGATGGCATGCTTGCAAGAATTCCCACCTCCCACCGTGTTCAAAATGAGGAGGGCGTCCTCCCGAATTCCGACCGTGGGGACGAGGTCTTTGTGATCCTGGGGGAAATTTTTTCAAAAAATATGTAACTCCGTAAAATTTTGGATATCAATAAACTGACGAATATTTTATTTTTGCAGAAATTGCAAATTTTATGAAACTGGATACCTTATAGATTGTGGAAATTACATCTTTTCAATGAATCTCGATACTATTTAAGTATATTTGCTTACTCGTTATTATAAATGGTGGGATTTAACTTGTACAAAAAACTGTGTAAAGTTTGCAACGTTCTCTTTAAAGCTGTGTTAAAATGCAAAAATTTTACAAAACTGAATAACACGTAAAACTGTGTAAAAAGTGAAGAGTCTGAGAATTATTTCAAAATTACTGAGAAAATTTTCAAATGATAATTTAGCAAATTATGTGCAAATAATAAACTTGCAAGCATTTGACACATTTTAATCATTACACCCCAAAACTCTTTTGCTCTCTAAAATCCATCTGTATTCATGTAAATTTTCTTAAAGACGTGGATATTTCGCAAAATTATATTTTTACCAAAATTGAATTGAATTGTCTATTTTGGCCAAAATTGAAAATTAAATTCTGCGTCTCATTCATCCAACGCTTGCCTCGTATCGTATAATGTTATTCTAAGGCCTGGAATTGAACTTTTACAAAGAACTGTGTAAAGTTTGTAATTTTCTCATTAAAGCTGTGTTACGCAAATCTTGCAAGATTTTGTACAAATGTGAGATATATAAGGTACCCAAATAAATGAGGTTGTTTTAATTTACTATTATTTGAAGCGATTTTGATCTATGTAATTTTCCAGAGGTTACAAAGTTTACAAAATTTGCACAATTGCAATTGTGCCAATTAATTGGCACAAAAGTTAACTAAGAGATCAGAAAGTTTGGTACCTTACCTTGAGTAATTTTCCTTTTCCGAGGAACGTAATTGCACCCCTGACTCCACCCTCGGGGTCCACAATTTCCTTAATTTCGACGGTGTCGTCTTGTAAAAAGTAGTGAAAAATGTATTTCTTCAATTCGCCCCCGTATTCGCAGCGATTGTCCCAATACGCCCAAAATCGGAGGACTTTCCCAGTGTTCGCGATGAATTTCTTGGCTTTTTCGCTCTCCAGATTTATGCTTCCTTTACGGGAAAATAGGCTGAAAATTCGCTGCAGAAAAAAGTGTCAAAAGAATTGTTAAATATTGTTGCTAAAAAAAGTTGCGAAAATTGTAATAAAAACAATGAACTTACAGCTCATATTACAAGTAAAATTTAAAAGAAGTGCGAAAACAAATGATCGAATTTCGCAAATTGGAACAATAGCACAAATTGAAACAGAATTGAAAAACTTGAAATTGAATTGCACAAATTGAAATACAATTGCACAAATTGTATCAAATTCGCAGAATTGTTGCAAATTTCAGCACAATTTTTACAATTCGAAAGAAACATTCACAAAAATTGCACAAACTGAAATACGATTACACAAATTGAAATGTACAAAGTGTATCTAAATTTGCAATTTTTTGCAAATTCCTTCAGCACAATTTTTCAACTCACATCCTTCCTCCAATTAGTATACAGATCTTCCGGCATTTCCAGATTTGCCAGGACTTGGCGTCCCTCCTTCCTATTGAGATGAACTCGTGTGGCATCATCCACCCCGGAAATGAAGAACGTTTTCCCGTAAAATGTGACCTGACAGCCGACGTCGAGGTCTTCGAGGGAGTACGTCGCGTTATGGGCGGGGCGAGGATATGGGATCTTGTGGCGTCGAATGATTCGCCCTTGGGGAAATCCGGGGTCAAACGTCTTCGGTTCGATGACTTCGATGGTTCCGTCGTCCAAAAAGTAACGAATTTCGCACTGGTGGATTCGATAATTTTCTATCATACTTTCCGGGATGGGTTCTTGGTAGAAGGCGAAGAAACGTAGGATCTGGGAGGAGGTCAAAAGGTCACGGTTTATTAAACAGGGCAAGAAATTAATGTTTATGCATGAATATTGTGGCAAAAATAAGGTCACTCGTAATGTCTGAGAATTATCGCAAAAATTTAAAGTGATAATTTGGCAAATTATGTGCAAATTATTATAAATAATATTTCCGTAAACTTAAAATTTGCGAACATTTGACCCATTTTAACCATTAGGCCCATTATTCTCATTATTGCAATTATTATGTCATGGAGTGGTTACATCTTTTTACCTCCAATATTGATTTGTATGTATGCAAATTTTCTTAAAGACGTAAATGGTTCGCAACATTATAAAATCTTGTAAAATTGAAATTGAATTGTGCATCTCATCCAATAGATACTTGTCTCGTATTATATAATGTGCGAAATTAATTTAATTGCATATATTACCAATTGACCAATTACTTAGTTTTTGCAATGAAAATATTTTTTGCATAAAAAATGCAAAAAATGCAAACAATTCTAAAGAAAAATAGTCGAATTTCCCTCAATGTTTTTTTTTACAAAATATTACCTTTCCACAATGCACCAACCACGAGGGACGTCCCCCTTTCGGAAGTTTGAAGCGATTTGGAAACGAATCCGCAAAATTTCCGGGTCGACACGTGTCTTTAAACATGTGACAATTTGGATCGTTTGAACACGCTTTTGACACCGCTTCGGGTTGACAACAGTACAAATCTCGTACTTCCTCCGACGACGAGGGGGCTGATCCCCCGCAGTCCAAATTTGGCGGGTAGTTGTACTCCGCCGTGGCGTGCTGATCGCAGTGATACATAAACTGATCCTGTCCCACGGCTGACGGATTGTGGCGAATATTTGAATAATCCCGGCTGTAGTGTTGATGTTTTTCTTTGTAGGCGCCGTACCCATACTTGTTTTGGGCGCCGGAACCGCCATAATTGATCCCGTGATCGGACGGGCCCGCGACAGGGGGTGGTTTCCAGGAGGAATGGGTTAAAGCGTAGGTTTCGTTGGGAGGGGCAGGTTTTTGGGGTGGAGGTGGATTTTTGGGAAGGGTTTGAGGGGGATTTTGAGGTGGTGGTGGTTGTGACCTTTGACCTGCAGATGGATTTTTTGGCGGACGGTTTTGACCAGGGTTTTGAGGGGGTGGAGGTGGAGGCTGTGGTGGTGATCTTTGACCCAAATTTGGTGCTGATTCGCCACTAGAGTGAGATTCATTGCTACCCCGACGTCCTCCTGAGCCCGATCCGGAACCACTGCTGGACATTCTTGGGACAAAATTGAAGAAAATGGACAAAATTTAAGAAAAAAGTGGGACAAAAGTGGATAATCCGGTGACAAAATTGACTCGATTTGCGAAATGTGTACAAATAATGTAATACGAATTTTGAAATTCAATATTCCCGTGTTATTTGTTTATTACAGAAGAGTTATGACAATTAATTATTCAAATTTTTGTAAAAATTCGGTGCAAAATGAAAACTCGAAACTGCATCGGCTTGATTTTTTTACACATACAACGCCGTGAATGCCCACCTTTTTTCAGAAACGTTAAAGCAGTGGCCTCTGATGACGCGTTGAATTTCATAAATTGTGACCTGCACGAAATTATGATTAATTTTTTCAACATTTTAGGAAAACTGTCCGTATTTTGATAACTCACCCAGAGCACAATTTCCGCCATGATCAATCCCGGAAACCACGTGAAGGTTGCGAAACTCGTCATCGGAGCCAATTTCGTTAACTCAACGACAACCAAAATGACCACGGAGTAGATCAAAATCAGTACCACACCGGTTCTGATGACCATCGGTTTTGTAACATAGGACTAAAAAGGAAAAATATTTGCACACAAAATTTGCACAAAATTTGCACACTAATTTGCACCTGCGTCATAAACGGTACGAAGGGGAGCGTCACACAGGTCACGAGGAGGCAGACGGTCACCATTGGAATACAGTACGCGCCATAGGCGAAGGTCACACAGCTCAGAACGTGAGCGAGAAGACAGGTCTACAAGAAGGAATAAAAGGTCAAAGGTCACACGAGGTCATGACCTATCTGACCCTAGCTTACCAAAATGACCAAAAATGTCAACGTTATTAACGGCCACCATCCCGCCTTTGACTTTGAAACAATCCGAATTGTGACCAGGAGGACGAAAAAAATTCCGAGCGAGAGATACATCCAATTGTGCGTACGGATCAGAAAGTTTCGAACCTCGCTAAATAATAAATGATAAGGTCATGATATAATAAGTGACCTCTACTTGACCTTGACTTGACCTTGACCATACCCTCGTAACAAGACGGTCAGCAGCCACAAATTGATAACCAAGAGTTGCGCAGCCTTGATGAGGATGACTTTGGTGAAGAAATGGGCCTGCGCTCTCCACTCGTCTTCCAGTCGGGGGCTCACTTTGTAGCGGCGGCGTTGCATCCATGCCTTAAAAAAATCGAAATTTTGAATTGAAATTTCCAAAAAAATAGGAAATTTTGCATTTTTTAACCTTGGGATGACACTGATGACAGCAACTGAACAGCGGTTTTTTCCCTGCCCTCCCTGACGAATCTCGGTTACTATTGTCACAACCCGGACCGGTCCCTGACCTTCCCATGTGACCTGTCCAATCACCCCCTGACCCGTAACGCATCTCTCGAGCGATGTTCTGTTCTATTGGAAATAGAATAAGAATATTTTTCAAAAAGTGGGAGAGAAATTGAAAATTTCATAAATTGCGAAAACTGAAAACATGGCAAAATTTTTATGTGCGAATTGACTTGATCGTGCGTGAACGATTTGACTGCAATTTCACGGCTCAAGTAGCAATGATCTAACTTCTTGAGAGTATTTTGCAAAAAATGTACGAGAAATTGAACATTAGATAATTTTGCGAAAACTAAACACATGGCAAATTTCGTGGTCTTTGACGGACTTTGACCATGCGTGAAGGATTGGAGTCCAATTTCCGGGGTCAACTAGCGATGACTTCACTTATGTCGTCAAAAACCCACCAAAGTCACTTAATTTATCACAATTAACAAACTTTGCATAATTAAAATTTGTACCATAGGGTGCAATGTGCTTATCCCGATTGCCCTGATCTGCCGGTGGCCACTGGGCGATGATCGCCTTCTCCAAGATGACTTCGTCACTCACATTGGCCAACTTTTTCTTGCCCTCGTCCGAAATGGAGTCATCGTCCTCAAATCCACGGAAATGTGACCCCCTGAGCGTCTTCGTGGTGAGGGAGGCATTCTTGTGGACGTGATGATGGAGATGGTGACTCGTTTCGATGGGTGGAAGTGAGGACAACTCGGCTTCTGCGGGGTCAAATATCGCGTCGATATGACGTGACCCTTGCGACTGGAGGGGGGCCGGTTTTACTGCTGGAGTAGAGTCAGTAAGAAATGGGGGGTAAACTGAAATTATTTTCGGTGGTGGTGGTGGAGGAGGAAGAAGATCATGATTATTTTCGAAGTCGCGTCCACCTGGTTGGTCTCCGTCTAGAGGAATATATGCAAATTTTATTTGACCAGTGTGACCTTGGAGAAATGTCTCGTTTCTTGCACTGCAAAGCAAGAATTGCAAGAAATGCAAGGTGCAAGAAACTCGCGCTATCTAGCCACGCGCCCGGCGGGGCGTATTTTCTTGTGCCGTGCATTTTTTGCAGGTCAAAATAGGTACAAGAAAACTTTTCAGTGTATCGTTTCTTGCGGGTTAGCTACATTTCTTGCTTTGCAAAGTATAAAACGTAAAAAAATGCGAGGTGCAATAAACTGGGAGAAAGTGCAAGAAATATGCGCCATACAGCCACGCACCGTCCGAAATATGGTGGCGGGACGTAGTTTCTTGCGCCTTGCATTTCTTGCAGGTCAAAACAGGTGCAAGAAACCATTTCTCCCCGTTATTTCTTGCAAGTCGTTAAGTGCTTGCACCCTAATATATGAATGATCGATATCAACCTGTCGGCAACACAGTGATGGAAGCGATGGGATTTTGCGTAATGATTTGGACATGACGAGCGTGCCGATGATGCTGCAGATTTAGCAAGGCGTCGTGAATATCTTGGTCCGGGATGGGGTCCGTGATCGGCATTGTTTTTGGGTTCCGGTTCGGCGAGTGATACTAATTTATTGGTACATTTGTTTCGGATCATGAAATAATGCAGACAGGAAAATGTCGCATTTTTTTGTTTGTATGGAATTTTTGCAAATTAATCACTATGCATACTTTTTTATATTTTTTTTTGCAAAAGAAACATGGTGACCAAAAAAATAATTCGATTGAAAGATGGTAAGCAATTCACTCTACTATTTCGTAAACTGTGTAAAATTATTTTCCAAAATAAAGTGAAAATAAACTATTTCATAATTATGTATGATCACACATTTCTACGTTTTTAGTGAATTATTACTTGATTTTATTTTAGAAAATTGCTAGCTTTTAATTAACCACTGTCATTCATAGTACATATTTGCATAATTAATAAGAAAAATTGCGGAATTTTGGGTTACATCATTACGTGCAACGAGAGTATGATTTTACTCAACGTCATACGAAATTTTTGCAAGCAGCACAAATTTGCATCAGAATAAATCGCATTAATCATTCAGATAATCATTTAAATTGATTAAATTGATACCAACAATTGCTAATATACAGCAAAAAATATAAACAATTCCTCATAACCTAATCTGGACAAGCTTATTGACATCTGGACACAATTTGAGTCATGTGAGTCACCCAATTTAAGATATCTTTTCATTCATTATCGTCCATTTACTCGAGTTGGTCAATCAAATTTTGCCCGATTATAAATTGATGTAATGGAACCTCCACAAATCAGGGGAAGAATAACGAGACGTTTTAGCGAATTGGTTAATTTTCGTCAAATTTTAAGCACAAGATGATTTTTGCATAACATAATTAATTCGTGTACATTCCCCGAGATGACTTTGGACCCAAATTATCTGACTTATCTGGCTCGTGTTGAGGATAGCACAATTTTTAGAGTTGTACTTATGCCCATTCCCAGGGAATTTTTGGTATCCAAAATTTGTACAATATTGCAATTTATGCCCAACAATGTAAACTCTTTAATAACCAAGTTTTGGAGAAGATGTACAATTTAATTTAATTTTTGGCAAGATTTTTAAAAATGTGTGAAATATTAACGCCATTAAAAAAATTTTTGAAACGTATTTGAAATTGTCAGTTACACAGATCATTAGTTTAAGAATTCGTATTTTTTTATTTTTACGATGAAACTCGTGAAAATTTATGATTTGACAGATCAACCCGGAATTTGTATCACAATAATAAATTCCCAGGAAATTTACACCCCGTCCAAAATAAAATTCGATGCATTTAAATATTTTCATGCCGTGTCCATTACACAATTCTATTGGATTATTACAATCATTTTTTACACAATAGAATCGCATGATTGACCTGAGGATGCATTTCATGTTGTGAACGATGACGGTAATAAAGTATCATTAAATTATGAAATGAAACCATTGATCACAATTGATGACAGGGAAAAAAAGAACTTGCTGAATGTGAAACCACTCATTAAACGGCTGAATTTTTTGTGGAGACATTTCATTTGACACGCGTGCAGTCATGCGAGCTTAATTCGGGTTAAGGCTAAGTGGTTGATTTAGTTAGTTAGTTATAGTGGATTAAAATTGTGAGGATTTGCATTTGCTTTGTAGGAAGTGTACTTTTGGGTAGAAATTGCAATTGTTGCAAAAATTGTATAGATGTGCGAAAAATTTATAGGATTGAAAAAAGAGTAGAAAATAAGTTACAATTTTTTTTTAATTGTGAGAATTTATATTGTTGAGTATAAATTGCAACTTTTGCAAAATTTGTAAATGTGCGATTTTTTAAGGTTAACAAAAAAATAGTAGAAAATAAGTAATCGGGATTTTGTTGCAAAATTTTTTTTGTGCAAGTGAATGGTCGCCAATTTTGTTTTGATTTAAAAAAATTAGGAAGATTTTTATCCCTACGAAATTTTGACATTGAAAAAATCAGTGAAAAAAAACCTTGCCAAAAATGGTTCGCGAATTCACCTCTGAAGAAATTGCAAAAATCGGTCAATTGCGTTCCCTCCTTACCGCAGGGAAGGTTTCACCCCCACTCAACGAAACCTTCGAGGACGACTATTATCTAGTAAAATGGCTCCGAGCCAGAAATTTGGACGTTTCCAAAGCTCAAGAAATGTTGCTGACGTCACTCGCGTGGCGTCGGGAGAACCGAATCGACGGGATTTTAGACCGAGAGGAGGACGATGTTCCCCTCAAATATAAGCGAATTTACCCCGTCGCCATTTTTGGGGATGATGTCGAGGGAAATCCTATCATGTGCTTGCCCCTGGGTCGCTTCAATCATCGCGACAACATTCCGGAACTCGGAATAGAGAGGTTGTTAAGGTTCAATATGTACTTTATGGAAACGATGGTGAAAATCGTGCGAGACAAGGAGGTCGAAACAGGAAAAAGGGGGTTACAACTGATCCAAATTATCGACATGGAGCAGTATTCGTTTAAGTGAGATGATAATTAATAAGTTTGATTATTGTTTTATTTTAGAAAATTGATTCCAATTTTTTATGAATAGTTGGCTCAATTTTTGTATGTTTAGAAAATGTATTCCAATTTTTAATGAAAAATTTCCCCCATTTTTTGTATGAATTTGGTACTACGAGCTTTTAGAATTACTGAAAAACTTAACTTTAAATATTTTCTTCGAAAATTATCACCGAGTTTTTCCAAATTTTTAAAACGTTACTAATAAATTAAGTAAAAATTTGTAAAGTTAATTATATATTTACTACTATATAAAAATTGGGATTGATTTTAATGGAAACTTGCTTCAAATTTCTAATTCTATCAAAATTATTGACAATTTTTGAAAGAGAAATATCGAATTGGTTATAATTTGCAAGAAAAACATTTAGTTATAAATGTACCATATGTGATCTTTAAACTATTTATTTATCTAATTCATTTAGTTTTTTTCACAAAAATCGTCCAAGTTATACAATTTTTATTCAATTCGATTAGAAAATTTCATGCTGATTTTTTACGAAATTTGAACCAAGATACAAATTAGATGCAAATGAGATACAAATTTATTTTGTAAAAGTATTTTGAAATTTTCCAAAAAATTTGATATTTATCAGATAATTAATGTGCGCCACTAATTATTTTTCATTTCAGAGAACTCACATGTAAACCGGCTCGCGAATATATTGCGGAAACACAGAAAGTATTGGAGGCGAATTATCCAGAAATTTTGAAGTCCATGCTGATCATCAATGCGCCCAAGATATTCGCCCTGGCGTTCAAACTGGTGAAGCATCTCCTGCCGAAAGAGACCTTGGCGAAGATGGACATTTACGGTCAGCACGAGGACGAATGGAAGGACGTCCTGAGGTCAAGGTGTGCTCAGTTGAATAAACTTCCCGTCCGGTGGGGAGGCACGCTGAAGAGCACCGACGTCTGGGGGGCGGACGATGTCAACGTTTGGTTGGATGGACCCATACCACTCAGTTATTTTACGGATGGTGAGTTAGCAAAAATTTGCATGGGAGATGCATGCTAATTTCAGAGTTGGCCAAAATTTGCATGGAAGATGTATGCAAATTTTCGAGTTGGCAAAAATTTTGGATACAAGATGCAAGCAAATTTTGGAGTTGGCAAAAATTTGCATGGAATTACACAGTGAAATAAGAGTTAAGATTTAGGGTTGAAATTCTTGAGAAATTGGTGGTTGACTCAAATATTCCTAATAAGCTTTTCCACCAGTAATTTTACGAACGAAAATCAACTTCGTAAATTTACCAAGCCAAGAAATACAATTTTGTGAAATTTTGTACAATAATTTTACACAAGTTTTATGCAGTTTAATGCGTTACAAACCGCGGAGTGTACTTAATCAGAATGGTGAATTGGCAGAAGTTTGCATGGAATTCCGCAAAAAATAGATTTTATTAAACCTGAAATTCTGGAGAAATATCTATGTAGTTGACTCGAATGTTCGTAACACAATAAATTTTGTCACCAGTAATTTTACGAGCGAAAATCATGTTGGTAAAATTGTCAAGTTAATTACGTTAAAAACGCTAGGGGGAAGTTTGTTTTTAATTCTACAGAGCAGGGAGGGAATTAATCATTTAGTCCTCTATTCTATTATCTGCCATCGATTTTGAGGTTTTCAAACTTTTTCCAAATTTTGGTCGCCGATTTGAGGTGTTCAATTCTGTTCAAAATTCTTGTAGGAGGTTTCAGTTCTTAGGGCCTCAGCAATAGTGATTTGATTGCATGATTTCCTACCGAAATTTTTGGTAGCATTAACCACGAAGCACGAATTATGATTCATAATTTATGAATTATTCACGAATTATTAAGCACGAAGCATGAATAGTTGAAGATTACATCTTAATTGAAGGTTAATATTTTTAAATTATACAAAATTATTTATGGGCTTTAACTTTCTCAAAGAATCAAAATTTTCAAGTTTGTTACATGTCTTAGATAAAAATGTTTAGGTACATAAAATCGTAGGTAAAGCTCAAATTTTCATTTTCATTCCACTTCTAATTTACTCATGTTTCGTACAAATTCGATACGTTTTTTTGAAAAATTGTAACCAGTCAATGGAAATGCAGCACGATTTAAGCATAATGTGTCAAAAATACGTTTCGTGCAGGGACGTTTTTTTTACAGAAAAATCATTTTTCCCAGTATTATATTTTCAGCACAAAATTGAAATTCAATCCAAAATTAAAACCATGAAAAACCAGAAATTTACTTCTCAAATGCACTTCTTAATAGAAATTATTTCAGATATTTCTTGCTTTATGTAAGAAATTGTATGCAAGGTGTCCACTTGAATTTACACATTTTTCACAAATACAATTTACAAATTGTGTTAAAAAAATTTCATAATTTTATTTGGACAAGAATTAAACTTCATGGCTTTCAAGACTGCTATCTAATTATTATTGAATTCATTTTCTTACAACCTATAATTTTCTGCAATGGCGTCACTGCATGACAAACTTGTATATTTGTGCTTTACTAATCATCATCTCGTAATTATGCAACATTTCGTAAAAACAATTGCAAAAAGCTGTGAAATTTTTAAATTCACATTTTGGACTTTTCTACTCCCTTTCTTACACTTTGCAGAGTGACAAGATCGTGTAATCGTGTGATTGAACAAAATTAATTCAAAATGAAATCAGAAATTTGCTTTGAAAATGCACTTCGTAAGAAAAATTATTCCAGGAATTTCTCGCATTTATGTAAGAAATTCATTCCTTTGTATTCAAGGTGCTCACTTGACTTGATACGCATTAAAAAATATATATATTTGTTATTTTCTTACCACTTTCTTAAGAGATTCGCTATGTGAAATTAAAAATTTTGACGAAAAATTGACAGAAATAATTTTCCAAGTGAAAATTTGATGTGCAACATGATTCTCAAAAGTATAACTACTTCGGTCAGCACGCGGTGGCTAATTATTTATTTAATTTCGGTATTAAAATATTTTAAATTTTGAATTTTAAATTTTAACTTTTAAGTCAAATTTTAATGCCGAAAGTTGTAACTTATGAAAGTGTATCATTTGAAAAGAATTACAGATGTTAAAACCATGACCTGCTTGGTCTAATGTACATTACAAAAAAGTCTATGGGCATTTTTAAGTGATGACGAGTAAAAACCGAAAATTTTTATAAGATTTCAATGCCGCCAAGTGATAATTTAAGAAAAGTTGTAATTATAAACGAATTACAGATTCAATATGTTTAATTCTGCAATTGAACAATGGAAAGACATTTGGGTATTTTTTACCTGATAAAAGATTAAAACTGAAATTTCATAATTGATCTCCCCTTATCTTATTCTGAAAGTATAATTACTTCGGTCAGTAACCACGAAGGAAATTATTTATTGAACTTGGGTATTAAAATATTGAAAGATTTTAATGCCGGAAAGTTGTAATTTACATATGAAAACACGTCATTAGAGATGAAATACAGGTTTTACCGTAGTTATTGTGTAGTTGAAAATTGCATAAAATCTTTGGCCATTTTTTATCCGATAATAAAAACTGAAATTTTGTAATTGACCTTTGACCTCCCTTCTTATCTTATTTTTAGATGTCATTGACTCTCACGGCTTCAAAAAGGTGAAAGTCGGAGCCCGCGACAAGTATAAAATGGACGTCCTCACAACCTCATCAAGATCCGAGATCCGATGGCGTTTTAACACGGAAGGTCACGACATTGGATTTCAAGTTGTGTGTCCACGTGGTTCCACGCTCGTGCCGTGGCGTCGGCTCGACTCGCACAATTCGATGCAGGAGGGAACCATCACTTGCGAAACGGTGGGAAAGTACCAGCTCGTTTTTGACAACAGTTTCAGCTACACCAAGGCGAAAATGGTCAAGTATTATGTCCAAGTTGTGGAAGAGGATGAAGACGATAATTTACAAGATGTCGAGCTGATTGATACCGGAAGTGAGCATAATATTGGTAAAAGTACGGTTGAAAATAGTTGAAGGATAATTACTGAAGTGTTAAATTGATGAAATAATGCAAATTAAAAAACCAATTTTTTGTTAAATATGAAAAGTTGAACGCCATTTGCAAAATATATAAATTAAATAAAAGAAATTGCAATCTTAATTAGATTATCCAACGGCGTGCTTCGAATAGAAAATTTGATATAAAAGATGGGGAATTTTTGAAATAAATTTATTAGATTTCATAAAATAAAAATCAATTTATGCAAATTTAATATGTAAATGGTATCCATGTAATAAAGTTTCAACTATTTACACAAAGCCGAAAAGAGCTAGTATTATGTCCAAGTTGTTGAACAGGGTGAAGATGAAGACGATGATTTACAGGATGTCATAATTGTTGAAGTGATCATAATTTTGGTGAACGTGTGGTCGAAAATAATTGAGGGTTAATTATTGACAGGCTAAATTTACGAAATACATAATGCAAATTTAAAAAATAATATTTTCATTAAAATTGAAAACCTGAACGTCATTCGTCAAATAAATAAAATTTATCATAATTTAAAAAATTTAAAAAGATTGATTGGGCAGTATCCACTAGTGGGTATTGTAATGTATATAAATAGAAAAATTGATTTTAAAATCAGGATCTTTTTGAGTAAAATAAAAATTACTTTATACAAACTGAACATGCAAATAAGGTCCCGTTAATAAATTTGTTTAGAGTAATTTTTTAGAGGTACCAAATTACATATTTTAATTTTTTCTTGACAAATTTTAATTAAAAATAGCTATGGGTTAATTCATGAAATAAAAATCAATTTATGCAAATCTAGTATGTAAATTATATCAGGGTAATAAAGTTTCAAATAAATATGTAACGTGTCCAAGACGTCGCCGACGACGACGATTTACATTTATGTCGAGCTAATTGATACCTGATGTTAGCATAATATTGGTGAAAGTACGGTTTAAAATTGCTGAGGGTTAACTGTTAACATTCTAAGTTTATGAAAAAATGCAAATTAACAAATTACGTTTTTAAAAATGTGCAAAGTTGAACGCGATTTGTAAAATAAATAAAATATAATATAATTACAAAGTTTGATTAGATTTGGCTTTGTCTTTAATAAAAACATTAATCTAAACAATCCGGGATTTTTTAAATAGATTTCATAAAATAAAAATCAATTTATGCTAATTTAATCTGTAAATGATATCCCGAGAATAAGGTTTCAGCCATGTAAAATGGTGAAGTATTATGTTCAAGTTGTTGAAGAAGGTGAAGTTAAAGACGACGATTTACAAGATGTCGAGCTAATTGATACCGGAAGTGAGCATAATTTTAGTGAAAGTGTGGTTGAAAATGGTTGAGGATTCTTGACAGGTTAAATTTATACAAGATAGATCCCTAAAACGGGCGGCTTAGGTGAAGCGAAGGGAAGTGCGACTAAAATACTTGCAATAGCAACGAACCATATAGCAATACCACGTGACCAGTGGTACTTGCATTTATGAATATTGTTGCCATTTCTTATCCGATTTTGATTATCTCAAAGTTAATTGAAAGCTAAAAATATTTAGAAACTTTTTTTCACAGTACATTTTTGATTTAGGTCCTCAATTTTTTCGTATAAAGCAATGCCACTTTTTGGAGGGTGTTTTTTGAGAATATCTTAGGAATGGGTAGGCTCACAACCGACCGAGTTGGAATCCAAAACTAGACTATCATAATTAACTCTCGGCACTTATTTCGCAAAAATCGGTTAAGAAATGGTAAAGTAATGTGGTTTTGTCACTTTTGAACGTTGTAGTAAATGCATACTTAGGTGTTTTTTAATCATTAGATCACCATAGCTTCACCTAAGAAAAATAATGAAAATTAAAAAAAAATGTTTTTCAGTTTAGAGTATTTTGTAAGGTATCCAAAATACATTGATAAACTTCAGTTAAGAATTTTTCAATTTTGCTTGACAAATTTAATATGTTGATTTTGTTAGCTATTTTGAATTTTGCAAAATTTTTGCATAATTAGATGCTAAATTATGGACGGGTTCAATTTATGAAATAATGTAAATTTAAAAAAATAATTGTTCTTACAAACATGAAAACTTGAATGTCATGTTTTAAATAAATCAAATTCATTTTTAAAAGATTAAAAAGATTGATTTGATAGTATCCATAAACGGATATTGTTTCATAAAGAGAGAAACTTATTTTCAAATTCAAAATTTTTTTGATAGGTTTCATAAAATACAAATTTATGTAAATGTAGCATATAAATAAGGTCTCGCTAAGAAATTTGTTTATAGTATTGTGTAAGGTATCCACATTACATAAACTTCGAAAAAGAAATAGGTATTCTAATATTTCTTGTAGCTAATAAAAGTTTTGGAAAATTTTTGAACAATTAGAAGCTAGATTGTGGATGGATTAAATTTATGAAATACTGCAAATTAAAAACAATAATATTCTTACAAATGTGAAAACTTGAACGTCATTTCGCAAATAAATAAAATGTTATTCGCGAAGTCTAAATAGATTAAATTATGATTTAGTGAGACGTAACAAAAAATAGATTAAAATTAATGTTCCGGATTTATTTATAGATTTCATAAACTAAGAATCAACTTATGCAAATTGAGCATGCAATATAAGATACCGTTAATATGAATATGCGTTTTAAGCCGTTTTTTATATATTCAAATTACATTAACTTAATAATAATAATCATTTTTTGGTGAATTGAAAATATTTTCTTTAATAGCCACATATTTCGAATTTTGAATTTTTTTTTTGTAAAATTTGAGGCTTGATTATTAACCGATTCAATTTATAAATTAATGCAACGTAAAAAACTAGTTTTTCAGTGTGAAAACTTAAACGCCATTAATCAAATAAAGAAAATATATAATTTCTAAAGTTGAAATAGATCACTTTTTGGAGTCATTGAATAATTGATAAACTTGGTTGATAATTATTTTGTAAAAAAGAATTGATTTAGATAATTGGGAATTTTAAAAATAAAATCAATTAATCAAACTGTGTGCAAATAGTTTCATTATTGACTATGACTAATTTTTTATATGCACATAGGATTTTTTGTAAAATTCCAGGGTAAATTATTGACAGGTTAAATTTTTTAAATAATATAATTCAAAAATAAAGTTGTCACAAATACTGATACATAAACTTGAACGCCATTTGTCAAATTAATTAAATTAGTTATTATCTATAAAGTTTGAACAGGTTATTTAGCATGGAACAACTTAATGGGTGCTGTTTCATAATTAGAAAATTTGATTTTGTTGATAGATTTCATAAAATAATATTTAATCTATGCGAATTTAGAATGCAAATAATATCCCGTATTTAAAGTAATTTTTCATGCATCCAAAATACATGTTAAGAAATATTTCAATTTTTCTTGACGAATTAAAAATTTATAGTAAAATAGCTAAATTTCGAATTTGAAAAATTTCTGTATAATACGATGGTTAAGTATCGATAGGTTAAATTTATGAAATAAAAAAGGTATAAATTAATAAAATAATGTTTTTAAAAATATGACAACTTTCTCGCCATTTGGCAAATAATTAAAATATATCAATGCAAATATTAAATAGATGTCATTTGTTTCTTCAAATACAAATTTAGTATATAAATATGGTCCCGGTAATAAATGTATGTTTAAAGTAATTTTGTCAGGTATCCAAATTACATAAATTTGAGTGAAGAAGAACTTGATTTTTTTGGCGAATTGCAAATAGATTTTTGAAAGCTGAGTGCCCCGCAAGTTCGCGAAAACGATCAACTGCTACCATAAGATAGATTTCGCTGGGAAACCGAGCGTTTTCGCAAACTTGTGGCTCCCATAACTTGCTGAAATTTTCGAATCTGCGCAAGTGCCGGACTAAATATTGTCTCTAAAGAGTTGCTCTTTCAAACTAACATGCTAAAAAATAATTAGGGTTGAACATGGTTTACGTACGTCCCCATTGTGAGTGTAAATAAGTTTCATCACGGGTTATGACTTCTTTTTCATAGGCATACATATGACCGAATTTGCGTAAGTGGTTCGGAGTGTTAACTTAATGTGACCTAAAACGTCTCATATTAGTGAAAACCATCAATTTGCAGGATTTAATATGAATAATTATTTTATTATTTACTTTATTATTTAAATTTTAGGATTAGGAGCCACTTACGAATTTATTTGAAAGTGTTACTGATTTCAACATATGTCAGATCTTTCGGTTTGTTCGATTTAATTGTGACTTACGTCAACAATTCTTGTCAAAAATTATGAACTTTACAAAACTGTAGGTAACAATCGAAACGTGTTCATTTTTTTGCATAGATCATCAATTTGCAGTGATTTAATACATGAATAATTCTTTTGTGACAATAATTTTTTATAAAATTGACATATTTATTTTACCATATCTGTCTTTTCATAGAGGGGAGACTCGAACATGTAGGGTTCGAAAGTTTTCTGCGTTTCGGGAACGTGATGATAAAACAGACTTCCCGAGAAATGTTTGACTCCACTAGAGTCACTCCAGTCGGCAACTTGGTCGGCAACTTGGTCTGAACTGTGTAATTTTGCAAAAATTAAATTATTTGCGGATGGGACTCACTCGGATGTTTGTCAATTGTACAATTTTTGCAAAAAAATATTTTACAAATTTCTACAGAATGAAAATTTTTTTGAAAAACTTAACTTACATATAACCTTGACGGTTGACCTAAACATATAATTTTTGCTGTTGCAAGATATGCAAAAACGCGTAACGACGTCTAACTTTGTCAAATACTGTGCAAATTCAATGTTTGTTAAAATTTCAAAATGTGCAATAATGCATATTAGTTATGGAAATTCATTCCCTCGGATGTTTTAAATTCTGCAAATTTTGCAAATATTTTGCAAACTCTACAAAATGAAGAGATCTTTGAAAAATTATGGAACTAGTACATAAACTATTTTAACTATCAGACTCTGAACAAACCTAAAGTGTAATTAAAGAAGTTGCATGATTTTAAAAAATACGTTTAAAGGCTTCTAGCTTTGCCAAATGCTGAGGAATTTGTTGTAACCGAATAAAACTGTACAGTAAGTTTTTTCCAGGTTGCTACAAAATAAGGGGGATCTATGTAAATTTGTTTTTCCATCCAAATTTCTTCAAATTTGTTTAAACAATTGTATAAATTTTCAGATTTAACGGGGTTAAAAAAATTCTCATGAATTGCGTCCATGATCGATGACTTCACAAACTCCATTTAAGTCAATCACAATATATCGATTACCAATGGTAATTTGCCTTTGTAAACTTGCACAGATATTTATAAATTTACAAAAGTTACACAGTTTTACAAATATCTTCATCAATTCATAAAATTATGCGAGATTATGGAAAACAATTCTACAGAAGTTATGGACTTTAATGCCTTACAAGCACGCGATTTTAATTTGCATTTGTGATTTTTTGCCACTTTCCAGAGATTCCCTATGAAAATTTATGAATGTCGACATTATTTAATTAACCTAAAAAATTCTGAAAAATATAATTTTCCAAATGCAAATTTGGGCAAATTTGAACACCATTTGGAAATTTCATTTAAATAAAATATAAAATTCACGAATTTTAAATAGATCCTTCGTTGACGGGTGATAAGATATGTCCTAAGATATGTCCTAAGATAAAAAAATTAGTCCGGAATTTAAAATAAATTTCATAAAATAAAATCTAATCAGACCCAGTTAATAAAGTTTCGATGCGAAAATGGTTCAAGTTTTTGAAAACGATGAAGACGACCACGATTTAGAAGATTTCGAACTAATTGAGACTAGATTGAGGGCATGACAAATTTTCAGGCACAAATAAATGAGTGTAAATATGCGATATGTTGCTGAATTTATTGGGGTTATAAAACAATGCTAGGATTATCTCATGAGTGAGATTTTGAGTTACCGTCATCGTTTTTAAATAATGGACACAATCCTAAGAATTCATGAAGGATTTACACATTAATCCTATTACTACAGAGAGTGAATCAAGATACAAAACTCACTTTTGTTTATTTTTCTACAGCTTTATTTTTCGTTTGTGAATTTTATAAATTGCTTCAATGGGTAGCCCATTAGTTTGTC